CCCGCAGCGCCGCAGCGCCTCCTGGCCTCCAGTGCATCGGCATGATCGTGGAGTTTTCTGTCGTAACTTTCTTTGGTGGCTCTCCTGTCGTTACTTTCGCTTGATGGATTCGGTACCGTGTCCATATTCGCCTGTGGCCTTCTTCTGGGGCAACCATCATGCTGCATCAAGCCGCGTTTGACATCGTTTGACCATCTACGGGTGTATGTTGCTGTAGATGCAGAATTCGTCGGGGCTAGGGACTTAGTTTCTTCTACAGCGATTTCTCGTTCAAGGGTTTCACGGAAAGCGGACTTGCTACTGGCATGCTGTTTTTTTTTGCGATCTTCTTGGCGTTCCCAGCCCTTTTTCTTGAAAACCTTCGGAGATGTCTGCAAGGTGCAACAGGAGCACCATGGGTACCATGGCCTGGCTCTCGGCCAGACATTTGCTAGTGATGAAGAATGAAGACTCGAGTTGTTTAGCCTTTGCCGAAGCTTGCCAAGCTTGGGTGCGCATGTTGACGAGGTTACGCTGCTGGCGATGTGATTGGTGATCACGACACCGCCCTCTGCTACATTCTGGACCCGGGCTTGGATGCTCATTGTTATAGCACTGAGCTACAAAGAAGAGTTACGAAATCCAAAGCTTGAATCTCTTGACCGGTCACTAACACTTCCATGTCATTACGCACCGTGTAGTGTTGCAGTTGCGGTGAACTTCCATTCTGTGTACCTTGTTTCGCACGAAATGATGCGACACCGTCTCTTTCCGTGGCATTGTCCAACCACGCCTTGATGACAATGCTTCAGACCTGTCGGCGAGGACCACTACACGGAGCTGTTGCCCTCCTTCAAGGAGCTTGACCCGGCAGAGCGGCAATCCGTGCAGTTCACACAGCCAGGGCCCAGGGGAAGTCGGCCGATTGCTCCTCCTTCCTGCTCATCTCGAGAATGCATGCAGGTGAAAATCTTGCAGAATTCACACAACGAGCTGCGCGGCCTTTCACCCTAGGAATGTGACAACCCTCCAAAAATGCTAGGAGAGCGTTTTGCCCTTTTCTGCAAAGCATTGCGAACCCTAAACCCCTCACCTCACCTTCAAAGAGCTGCCAGATCCCTTTAGCTCCAAGGTGCAACCTATGCTTCAACCACGGTTGGCTTGTGCAGGCCGAGGCTCGTCGTGGCCAAGCCCCGTAGTGTCCATGTCCACTTCATGCAAACGTTTCTCGCCGCGGTGATGCACGCTACTCCCCTACTCTTTTGCACGATTCACGTTACATGGGGGCGTGCAGGAGCGTTTCCGGGGTCAACCCAACCCAAGACCCGTAGTGCATCCCTAAACCATCCCAAGCCTGAAGCCCCAAAAGACGGGGTATCGGAGCTGCAGTGTACCCTGAACCATGAACCCCAGACTCGAAACACCCTGCAACCCTCAGGTTGCAACCCTCAGGTCTTCGAAGTTTAGGGTCTGGTTAGGGACTAAGATTGAGGCGGGATGAGCCGGGCTTTCAGGCTTGAGAATGTCCCGCCTCAGCAACATGGAGCCGGGTCCAGAGGAGGTTTACAGTAAGTATGGAGCCCGTCATGAGTCTTGCAGAGAAAGGGGGCACATGGGGTGCACATCATGGGACACTCGGTGCACAGGGGTGCATAGGAGGCACTTTGCAGGGAGCGCGCGAGCGGCACACTGGAGGACGAATTCGAACACTGCAAGGTGCGCATCACCGCAAGTCCTCTGAAAACAGATGCACGAAGCGGACCCGCTCAAGAGCTGCATCATGGGAAAGGCTTCAAAAAGGGACTATTACGGGCCATCATGATCGCGCGTGGCCTGCTTTTCTAGTTGTTCGTAGGTGCCACCAAGGCGCAAGCTGAGGTGTCTGTGCATTCCTAAATTGTTAGAGCATCCTGTCGTTTTGGGGTGGTGCGCCCGCGAAGCCTCGCTGCAAGCCCTGCTGTACAGTATAGCTTGGCTTGATACGTTTAGTCAGTCCTCTTGTTTGGCATCAGCTGCAGTGATCCTGCCATTTGATGTATCCAATCCTCGATTTTCATGAGGTCGTTCATATGCAACATCGCCGGAAGGTGGCACTTAACGAGTCGTTGTGGTCGTCTTTCTTTTTGCAACGTAACTTCAATTCCAATCGGCACTGGATATTGCTTCTTCAGGCACCTGGAGGATTGCTTTTAGGTCCCCCCTCCTCTTAATTTTTCAGGGTACCCAATCCTAGCCATCGGTACGATGCGTTGTTGCGTTGATTGTCTTGTTGTGTGTGTGTGTGTGTGTGTGTGTGTGTGTGTGTGTGTGTGTGTGTGTGTGTGTGACTACCAGCCCTCTCACCCAATTACCTACCTTCCCGCTTCAAAGGCGCCACCGGGAGCAATCTTCACCAAGTTTCGGGAAGCCATCGCCAAGGATCGGCGGCCAGGGCCCTGAGTCTCGTGATGCTGAATATGTGCGAAAAGTTTATGTGCCAAGCCCGGTGCGCGTTTCGTGCCGCTGTTCATATTGTTATTCACGGTCAGTAGCAGTAATGTAGCATCGCAGAAGTAAGCGTCCCAAGACGATCAGAAACAGTGGGGAACAAAGCGTAACAGCCTGTAACAGACTCGCATCAAGTTTGCGGCTTTCAGGCTTAGAGGTCTGCGAGCTTTGGGATGAAAGGGCCAGGTTGGTCTGAAGCCTGAAGCCGTTTCATTAGGGACCCAAAAAGGACATAAGCATAAGCATTTTGGATATCCCTACCTTATTGGGCTTCATTGTAAGGGGGTTACATGGGATATCCCTGTCCTAATTTTTGCTTATGTGCTGTTTTGGGCCCCCATTTCAGGCTGCATGCTGGAGCGAGAGATGTGGCCCTGTATTTTGTGCACTGGCTGACTGACTTGGTGCCAAGCTTAGCCGGCTTAGTGCTCTGACTTGCCCCGTCACCGCCTTCGGTCTTCGTCGTTGATTAGAGGACGAATGAGTTCAGAGATGTTCCGAGACTCTTAATCCATGATTCGATGGTGCAAAATTGGGGTTCGTGAAGGCCTTGCACACACGAAACAGCAAGTCACCCAATTTTCAAGCCTCGGCATCGGGGATTGTGAGATTCTTCCAAGGCTGGTGCTGAGCCGACACCGCTTGGCGGATGTGAAAAGTTTACGATCAAGTTTCCCCTGCACGTCTCGCACTGAGTCTAAAGGTCTGCTGCAGTTGTGCAAAAGGCCCTCCGTTTCGGTGAAGCTGCCGCTGAGGTGTTGAACAGCTTCCTGCAATCGTTTAAGCTCATCGAGGGCATCACGTCGCAGACGGAGACGCAGGCACAAAATGCGGGCAGCCACCGGGGCGAAGAATTGTTGAGTCGCTCGGTGTCGCTCGCATGGTGGACTCGTGGTCAAGCCGCAAGGCTGTACAGCAGTGACCATGCGTTTGCTGACTAGTCGCCAACTGTGGCCAGGAGTAAATTGCCTGACATTTCGAGCTCAGTTTGCCAGTCATGCTTCGCAACAACGACGCAGCTGTGCACGTGATGGCCGTCTGAGTTCAAGCTGCAACGCTGTGACCTGCTCGGCATTCCCGCACGTTGTGCAAGCCACTTCCTGCAGCCATGCCTTCTCGTGAAAAGGCCGTGTACTTTGCCACGGCCTTTCTGTTGAGTGCTACGAAGTGTTTTACTGAACGCAGCACCCTTGTTGAGTTGCGTCTGCCGAGGCCAAGCTTGCAGAGCAGGCAGAGCGCTATGATGAAATGGCAGGTGGGCAGCTTGTGCATGCTTGTGCATGCTTGTGCTGTGTTTTCAATTTTCAATCATGCGCCTGATGTTTTTGGTTGGAGAACCTGACAGACTACATGAAAGAAGTTGGCGACCACGGTGAAGAGCTTTCCGTGGAGGAGCGGAACCTGTTGTCCGTCGCCTACAAAAACAATGTGGGCTCTCGCCGTGCTGCCTGGCGCATCATCACCAGCGTCAAGCAGATTCTTGGATAGTGTGACAATCTGTTGGTAGTCTTGTTTGGCCCCTTCCCACCCCGTCCTCCTCCTGCCCCCCCAAGGTAAGCCGACCCCCAGACTGTAGGGGTTAGGGATAACCCCGGTCAGCTGACGCACTCTCATTCTTGGTCTTGTTTAGAGACTATTGATTCTCCGGGTCATTTGGAGTGCGGTCAGTTGTCGATGTTTTTGGCATCCTTCTGCGACCTGAGGAAGGAGACCTCCAAAGGCAACGCAGACAACGCTGCCCTCGCCGGAGAGTACTGCGAGAAGGCGTGGTATGTTGAGTCTTTGTTGCTATGGACAGGTGAACTGCACCTTCGACCCCTTTTGAATGTCCAAGATCCCTTCCCTCCCTAAACTGGCCCGGGTACTCCAACATTCCTGTGCTTTGCTGCGGGGCTTAAGGGCTCTGGTAAGCCAAGGCCTGGGAATTGCCTGCAGTGTATGACGTGTACTTGATGTCCAAGTCGGGATTACCCTGGGGAGAGTTGTTTGGTTGAACTTGTAGCGGAGACAACGCAAGAGAACATGCTGGCCCGAAAGAGGTTGAGGCCGAGCTGCAGAAGATTTGCGACACCATCCTCAAACTCCTGGATAGCCAGCTGATCCCAAAAGCCACCAGCGGCGAGTCGAAGGTCTTCTACCAGAAGATGAAGGCGGACTACTACCGCTGCTCTCAAGCATTTGCCTATCGCTTCGTCGCAAAACTTTTTTCAGCTATGAGAAGGCGAAAAGAACCCCGAACCACGCACAGCGAAGCGACATGAAGCGACCATGGAAGCTGAGGCTACATTGCGGAGTTCCGCGACGGTGACCAAAAGCACGCTGCAGCGGAGAAGGCGCGCCAGGCTTACAAGGAAGCAGAGGACTCCTCGGGATCTGAAAGACGTCCCCGGCAGTTTTCCCCAAAAGAGAGTTGTTTCGCATCTTGGGTCTGCATGGTTTTCGTATGCCATAGCCCTTGACGTGTCAGGAGATCGCAGCCAAAGACCTGGCTGTGACCCACCCAATTCGCCTTGGCTTGGCCTTGAACTTCTCGGTTTTCATGTACGAGGCGCCCAGGGGGCCCTGGGTTCAGGTCATCTGGAGTTTGCAGAAGGGCAGAAGTCTGATAATAGCCTGATGAGGCCCAGCATGTGATCTTTTGCAGGTGCTGTGCGATCCCGAGAATGCCTGCAAGATGGCCCGCACAGCATTCGAGGATGCCATTGCCGAGTTGGACAACGTCGCGGAGGAGTCCTACAAGGACTCGACCCTCATCATGCAGCTGCTGCGCGACAATCTCACCTTGTGGACATCTGACCAAGAGGGAGAAGCGGCCTAGAATCCGGCCCAGAACAGGCCCAATCCCTCCGGAAGGGTACCATACAGCTTTGGGACTGTCCCCTTTGAAGGGGATAGGGAAAAAAGCACCATGCATACCGCCTTGCACAAGAACGGGATGCGAAAACAAGTTGCGGAGCTGTTTTGAGCTGTGTTGCGGGCAGGGGCAACAGGGAAAATCTCAATGAACCTGCCCGTGACCCGTTCTGTGCAGGTCATGGAGAGGTATCTGAAGTACCGGTGGACAGACCACGTGCCTTCCTTGAAGGAACCACCGCAAGGTGGGCGCGACGTCGATTGCCTCACCCCCCCGCCGACCCCCCGACCCCCCCCACGCCCCTCCAAAAATCAACATCAACAACAACCAGGCACATCCTCCTGCCTTTTGAGGGCTTAGCCTTGACAGGAAGTTGTGTCTTCTCTTGGGACCGGACTTCTATACATGTGTACTCATGATTATCAAGATAGTAGTTTGGATCGCCGTGAACTATCTGCGCTCTGTAGGCCCCCATGCCATTGCCGCCATGCGCCTCCTCTGCATGGCGCAGGCAGATGCGGGTTTCATGTTGTTTTCCGGATTCGATGTCAGGCTATGCCGCGTTGATGTGATTTGACGTTGCAAGCTTTTCTTTGGTCCTAGGTCTGCACGCTTGCTCGCCGTTAGTACTGTATGCGAGGCTTGGGAGGTGTCGAATCTTAGAGGTTGTTTGTTCTCGTTCCTCAACAAGGTGCAGGGACGGTTCTTGGGCTTTGTGTCATATCGTGCCAGGCACGCACATGCAAACAGACTGAGCGAGGCAAATGGGCGGACAGTGCTGGACGCGTTCAATCTGGAGCTGCCGGACGAGGCCAGCGCTGGAAGATTCAAGGGGCGCGTGTATCTTTCCATGGCCTTACGACTTGGCTGCTACATCTGCATGGTGGCGGATGGGCTTGTTCACGGCAAGTTGCAAGGGTGTTCCCACAAAAACTATGACGTGAGAACAAAGGCGGCTTCAAGCCGATGGGCCCCTTCAGGGTCAGCTCTGCTTAGGTCTCCACTCGTAGGAATGCGCGGTCTCCAGCTTTGCTGCCTCTGCCTTGAGCTTCCTGAACCTGCAAGTCCACAACAATACAGTAGGAGTTTTCTTGTCAGTACCATCGAGTCTCCATTTTGCTCAGGACAAGGAGGTGTTGAGCGTCGAGATGGCTCGAACCGGCTGCACAGGAATCTGTGCCGCATCTTTCTTGGCTTCATTTTACGGCTTGCAAAGGAGTTCGCACCTCTTACCTCAAGTCTAAACTTTTCCATGATTTTTAAAGAGTTCGACAGTGTCGCCTCTAAGAGCATTCGTGCGCAAAACGGCCAAGTAGATCACTTTGTCTCGTCCTGTCGATGCGCGTGCCCTCCCACAGCTTGTGTTGTAAGCCCCGAGATGTGACAGCTGCCTCAGCGTTCCAAGCATCACGCAACGCAAAAGAGCCAAGGCTCAGTGCCTTAAACTCACTCGCAGACTGCTCAGCCAATCCGAGGCCAGTCCTTCTCGCCGACGTTGGTACCCAAAGAGATCCTGGCCAGACCAGCCTGCATCCCAATTGGGTGACGAGAGGAACAGGAGAGTTTGGACTTTAGGATTTTAGATTCCTCATTCGACACTTCCATAATTGCTTAAAGACCATGTGCCCTGGGGCCCTGGGGTGGTGGCATACCGTGCCGTGCCGTGCCACGCCGCGCCGCACCGCGCCGTGCCGTGCTGTGGTCTTGGAGTCTTGGAGTGCTCTTGAAGTGGCCTCTGTTGGAGGTCTGCGCCGGCATATTTATGCATTCTTTTTGACCCTCCCGCTGGCGTGCGCATTCCAAATCGCAAAAGGCGATGCTGTTGGTGTTTTCGTGTGCTGGAGACGCTCTCACCTAGGTGCCGTGCACTTCAGAGAGCCCGCGCATGTCGGCCGGCATCCACAGCATCGCAAGTAGGGCATCGTGGCAGGTGCCACGTTGCGTTGCGGCCTAGGTCCCGTGCGCACGTTCCGCTGTATCGTGCTCCCCCTCTAAGTCCTGTGGTTGCTTTGAAGCTTTTCATCGCTTCAGAGGGCTTTCCTGCATTTTGGGCTCTTGGATTCTTTTTCTCTCTCCGCGCCATTTTATAAGGAAATGAAGCACTTCACGGTGTTGCATGATTTGCACATGGCACTCTGGCGCTTCGGTCCCTTGCATATGCGGTGAAGTGCAGGATTTCGTTGGAGTGCTCTGGGAATTGTCATGAGTTGACGTCTTCTTGGAGTGCTCTTGAAGTTGCTCTTCGAATGCTCTTGTACGCTGTTTGGGGTCTACGCCGGCACATGTTTCATTGATCCTCATTACTTTGATGTATCCTTCCTATTTGCCGGACACAGTCCCGCACGATTGCCTGCTTGTCATCAAAGTTGGCTGTAGTGAGGCGCGACCAAGCAATGGCTGTTTGTCAGGATTTATGTCATGTAGTTATGCCCAGCGTGCTTAGACCTCGGGCGGAAGTCGCGGCCGCGCAACAATCGCAAGAGCAGCCGCTGCGACAATGCTTCTTGAAGTTTGTGTGGAGTCCTTTGCAACGCATGCAAGGCAGGGCCGGCCTTCGTGATCTACTATGGTCCAGCCTTCCTTCAAGCCTTGGGCCGCAATCTCGGTGCGAAGTTCTTCATGGCCCGGGGCATGCTGTTTGGAATTTGCTTAGATTGCTGGTGCTGCTGCTGCTGCTGCTGCTGCTGCTACTCCTCGCTACTCTTTTTACTCCACTGCTACTACTACTACTACTACTCCTACTACTACGATTACTACTACTACTACTACTACTACTACTACTACTACTACTACTACTACTACTACTACTACTACTACTACTACTACTGCTACTACTGCTGCTACTACTACGACGAATGCTGCTCTACTACTACTACTACTACTACTACTACTACTACTACTACTACTACTACTACTACTACTACTACTACTACTACTACTACTACTACTACTACTACTACTACTACTACTACTATACTACTACTACTACTACTACTACTACTACTACTACTACTACTACTACTACTACTGCTACTACTGCTACTGCTACTGCTACTGCTACTGCTACTGCTACTGCTAACTGCTACTGCTACTGCTACTGCTACTGCTACTGCTACTGCTACTGCTACTACTGCTACTGCTACTGCTACTGCTACTGCTACTGCTACTGCTACTACTGCTACGACTGACGACGACGACGACGACGACCACGACCACGACCACGACGACCACGACCACGACCACGACCACGACCACGACCACGACCACGACGACGGCTACGACAGCTACTGCTACCACTACTGCAACAACAACAACTGACGACGAGGATGACGACTACGACGACCACAACTCCGACTCCTACTACTACTACTACTACTACTACTACTACTACTACTACTACTACTACTACTACTACTACTACTACTACTACTACTACTACTACTACTACTACTACTACTACTACTACTACTACTACTGTTACTGCCGTGGGCCCTTGCTGTTGCTGTTAATGCAGCTGTGTCGCTTCTGCAGGTAGTTGGATCATACATCTGCCATTTTTTGCCACATCTGAATTTTCTCCCAGGTTCGGACTGGGCAGTGCTCCGCCCGGAGCTCAAATCAGAGAGGGGGCTTCCAATCGTTTCGCATGGATGTTGCAGATGACGCCGTGCAATTCGCGAAACCCAGAAGGGGCTTCACATTCTTGGGCAAGTCCGGCTCTCCCCTATGCAGTTCCTGTTGAATTCGTGGGGGGCTTGGATTTAGATCTGACATGTCCTGGTCACCGGATGAGGACTGCGTATTCTGGCCGAGATCTACCGTTGCTCGCGTGAACTCTGGCCAGAGGCCTGGGGAAGAAAAGGCTTTGCAGCTGCACGTCTCCTAGATGTCAGGAGACCTTCAGCCCTGATGTGTTGCACAGAACAATTATAGCGAAGCTGGCCAGTCTGCCACTGCTGTGGCCACGTCCGTTCACGTCCGCATTGACACCATCAAGGCCTGCTTCAGTCTTGGATTGCAGAATGCACGATGTCTGTTTGCATCATCGACCGGGCTGTGTGATGCAGCAAGTGGCCAGTCCAGTCTTTGAGGTCTTTTCATACTTTCGGATGACAGCAGAGTGTGCTTGAAACCTAAACCACCAGGATTGGGCCCAAAAGGCGACCGCATCCACATCATGGTTACAAAGACTGTTTGCCTTAATGGAGGAGATCTAAAGGGCGGGTCGGGGCGCTCCCTCGTTCACTTAAGGACATTGCAAGACACGGGACTAGAGAGTGGGAATTGGAAAAAGATACGGTGCTTGGATGTTAAGTGGATGGGATGTGTGCTAGGTAGCCTGGCCAGCAGGTAAGAGAGTAATGGCTAATGGGACACCATGAACATGCAAGAGGTAGTTTTGGCTGATACCGTTGCTGGACAATGATGCTGGGATATCGAGACGGAATATGATTTGGATAGTGATACGGGGATGAGGATATTGGATAGCGATGCTGCGAGAGGGATATGGGTGTCAACGCCCGGATGCACACCCAGAATTTGGACACACACTGCAGAAATAATCATGTGAGAAGCAAGGTTGTAGTTGCCCGCGCCCAGGCTGTTCAAGTTCGCACATGCCTCTAAGCACCGCTGCATCACGTTCGGCATGGTTATGTTTGGGCGTGCGTAGACATGTAGACCGGTTCCTCTGGGCGTGTTCTAGTGATTGTGCCAAATGTCACTTTAACAGTTTAAAGACATAGTTTAGAGACATGGCGAGCCTTAAGATGTAAAGGTGCTTGAAGCTAGTTCGCCTGATGTCGTCAAGATGTAGCTGGCACATGCTACAACGCTGAACTTGCCGAGCAGCTCAGGGCCTGAAGGTTGCGGAGATTCTGGACGTGTCAATGAAAGGCACCTTTTTTTTATGTCTGCCAAGCCATCTCCTCCCTTGCGGTGGTAAAGTCTAGGAGGAAGCATTGAACTAGTTCCTGATGAGCCGCTCGTTGTGGAAGGAGAGCTGTGGCTTGTGACGAAGCACAATGAAAGCGAGGCGCACTCAGTTTCACCAAGCCTTGGCCATAGTCTGTAGATGTCGGGCAGTTGTACTAGTACCAACACGGTCAAGAGTAGTCTGAACCCGTCTTATGTCCCAAAGCCTTTTGCAGCAGAACGCTTGCAAGGCGTTCGTGGAGAGGGCCTCTCACAGGAAGCTCAACAAGTGCTCTCCCCGGGAAAGAACGGGTTGCTGCACGTGCAGCCCTTCTCAATGTAGGCGTGGTAGGATTTCCTTTGGCCGAGGTTCGTGAGAAATGGCCAGAAATTCCAAATCCTCGACTTGGGTGGCAATCTCAGTGTGGCATCAAAGCTTGTGGCCTTGTGTGCTTCGGTTTCTCCTCTCAGGTTTCCTACGCGAGAGTCACAAACAGTGACATCAAACTTGCGTGAGGGGGCCTTGGCGGTACGCTGTGATCATGGTACTCAGAGCAGGGTGTCAGACGCTTCACGGAATTCCTTATACCTGATTGTTCTTTGCAAGCCGCACTGATCTGCGGCGGAATTCTATGCTCTGTTTGCGTTGTCCAACCGCAATGATCGGCAGCGAACCGCGCGAAGACTTTTCTCATGCAATGCAAAGCATTGCTATGCTCGATGCAGGGCATTTTTAGATGATAACCCCCCCACAGTGTTGCATTTGCCCTAAGTGACATTCAACCTACACTTTCCCGATCCCGAACCATCGCCGAAGGTGCGCATGTGAGGGTTCGGGTGCGACCAAGAAGCGAGTTTTGCTGCCATGCGATTGGGGTTGAGGTCACCCTCACTCTCACTGGCGATGCAAGTGACACCTCCTTTACACGGAAGCTGCATTCCCAGCACAAGGCCTGGATACAAAGCGAGTCGAAGCAAAGAGCCCAAGTCTTATGCATTGAACAGGATTGAAGAAGCCACCGAAGGCATCTTCTTAGGCTGTGAAACCGACTCGACTGCATCCACAAAGTGGATGGATAGGTTGTGTAGGTTGCAGTTGGTCCTCTTGCTGCCATTGCTAGGCTATCTCGGTCTTTTCCTCCAACAAAAAAAAGGTAGATGAGAGGTACAGCCGTAAAGTACGGTAGGCTCTCGAAGCTCCAAGAGGACCGAACGCCACAAGTGGTGCCAAAATCTCCACTTGGACCTCTCAGGGTCTTTGTTAATTCCTGCGCGATTTGAGATCCACCGGCCGGCAAGTCAAGTTGTGACATGCGATTCTGCGAGGCAAGTTCAGCGGAGTATTTGGTCCGAGAGCTGCCCATTCTTGGGGCTGGAGAACCGGCACTTGCCGGCGAGGTCTGCAAGGACGCGTCTTTCTCAAAAGGCCCCCACGTCTGGCCCCACCTGCTCGGGGCATCCCTTTCGGATGAAACGAGGGTGGAATCGAGGGGGCTTGATGATTCCAAGTTTCATCGGTTCTTCTGAGTTCAGGGGGGCAATGCGGGTTGGTCTTGCTCACCCAGGTTAACCCGGCTTGAACCACGTCAACACCCCAAAGGTTGCAAATTTATTAAACATCGCTGACCTCAAGACCTGAAGCTGGTGGAGGCAGAGGCTTGTGGAGGCTTTGTGGCCTGGCCTTTGGCCAGTTTTCCACGTGGCCACGGTCGCTATTTTGAGGAGCGTCTGGCGTGAACCCGCGTGGGAACAGTCTCCTTTGCAGCTGCAGAGGGTTTCACGGTTTCAGGTCGCAGGTTGCTCCCAGCGCCTTTTCTACAATGTTCTCGACGAGGAGATCTGCGCAGCTGTGAGGTAAACCTGTGACGTTGCATGACACAGCCAACTGCAACGCGATATGTGAAAGCACGAAGAAGATCTCAACTTGAAGCATCAACCAGCACGAAGCATCAAGCCACCCACAAACTGTCCGAGTTGCAAGTGAGTTCCGCTCTGATGAAAAATGCTGGGCAGTGGACGTGCTCGCAGCATGGCGTGCGCTTCCGGCGTCTGGCGGCACTTTCGGCGCATAGGCCTTGGCTCTCGAAGAGTCTGTGCGCAGTGTATCGCTCTAAGAGGCGGCGATCGTGGGTCGCAGTGTGGTCGCATTGTAGGCCCCATGTATAGGCCCATCGTAGGCCCGCCGTAAGCCCATTCTGCAAGGCCCGGTGCAGCGCAGGACAGGCGGGCAGGGTGAGTATGTCTTCTTTGTGGCACCCAGGCATGTCTTCGAAACTGGGAGAGTGCAAGATGCTACAGGGCTTCATGTAGGCAACTGCTTCGTGCTTGTAATCACTGTATAATCGACAAATAAGGATGGTTCAAACACACGAACTGCTTCGTGCATCACTTCATGGCTAAGAGGACATGTGAGGCATCATGGCCATAAAGCATTTGTGGGAGAACATAGGTAAGCCAAACGCACACGTCTTCCAGAGCTCCGGCCAAAATGTGCAGATTACGCAAGTACACAGAAACTCCTATGTCATTTGTATGGTATGCGGCGCTTCCTGCTTTCATCGGCGGGACTGGAGCCGTGCGGTCCCTTTCAGTGCATTCTTGCCGCATGCGACCCTCAATCCCTACTTTGCAAAGGTCTGGTTGCTGGCTGCAGCCTGGCACCTGCTTGCTCGGCGGAAGGCCCACTGCTGCCTTGACTTCAACATGTTATCGTAGCTGTTTTTGCTCATGCTGGCCTTGTTCCAAGAAGCTTCCCTGATCCAGGGTTCGCGCCCGGAGTCTTCGGAGGTGGCTTTGTCTCGCAGCTGCATGCAACCCGCAACTCTGAAGCATGCCGCCTCGTAGCTCTCGCAGCAAGTTGCCGGCATGAGATGCTTTATCGTCGTGCTGAACTCGGCTCAAGGCCACTGCGGACTCTTTGACATGTCTTAACATCACCCATCCCGGCATCGCCCAATGCAGGGAGGAGCTGCAGAGGATCTGGTTCACCTGAGACAGGTGGGGAATGCGATCGACATCTGCAACAAGGCCACCCTCAGAAGTCATACCAACCAGGCTGAGGGTTTTAGGTTTGGTGCAAATTTTGCGGCTTTGAACGTTTAAAGCTGACCCGAAGTCCAAGAGTGCGAGAACTTAGGAGTGTTCTGCCATGTTCCCCTGCTTTTCATTCTGCACAGGAGACTCCCAGCAAGCGACAGAAGGAGGATCTGGTCTCCCCTCCTCTGGATGTGTTGAGGGTGGAGGACGAGCTCTTCATCTCGCCCAGCCGGATGCCCAAGTTCAGTTTGAGGAAGTTTGGGGAAGTTCAAGGAAAGACAGGCCGAGGATCTTCTGTGCGTCGGTGCATCTCCGACACGTCTGCTGCCGAGGCGTCGATGCGGCGCTCCTACGAGCGAGAGCACCTTTCCACGATTCAAGAGTCATTCTTATCGGCTTAGGCAGCTACAGGGTCTGGAGCCGTTCGTTTTCAAAACATTGAGTAGCTACCAGCTTAGGAGCTCTTTGCCCTATCGGTGGCGCTGCCGATAGCTTGGCTTCACCTGGATGCAAATGTGGAGAGCAGTCGGGCACGCAAGCACGAGAGGGTGAAGGAGTCTCTTTGCATGCATCTCCTTTGGTTCAGAGTTGTTGAGGGTTTCCCATTCGCCGCTGCTTTAAGTGCCTCCCGACCAAAAAGAAGCATAGGGAGAGGGGGAGAGGGGGAGAGGGGGAGAGGGTGGGGAGAGGGTGGGGAGGGGTGGGAGAGGGTGGGAGAGAGGGTGGGGAGCGGGTGGGGAGAGGGTGGGGAGAGGGTGGGGAGAGAGGGGGGAGAGGGTGGGGAGAGGGTGGGGAGAGGGTGGGGAGAGGGGGAGAGGGGGAGAGGGGGGGAGAGGGGGAGAGGGTGGGGAGAGGGGGAGAGGGTGGGGAGAGGGGGAGAGGGTGGGGAGAGGGGGAGAGGGTGGGGAGAGGGGGAGAGGGGGAGAGGATCAGGGATCCAGGTTGCCTAAGGCGGAGTAAGGCGCGTGGTGGTGTACCTTGGGTGCTGGTGGGGCAGGCGGTCGCTCTGGAGGTCGTTGCGTTCCGTTCTATCCTCCATCTATGTACTTCGGACGAGTGCTGAACAGCACAGCTCGCGTTTGACCTGTTTTGGGGGAAGCAATCCCCTGCAGGAAGGCGCTGAGAGTGTGATCCGGCTGCAGGAGACCTTTCGTGACTTGGACTTGAACTTCCAATCGAAGCCAGTGTGTCAACGAAGTGCAGACTCTGAGCCTCTTAAGATTCTTGCTGCTGCTTGTGGAAGTGGTGGCGGCTGTGCACTTCTTGTCGAGGTTGCAAGATATTGGACAGATACTTTTTGGTCTGGTCCTTCTTCGCAGAGGAGGAGTTCTACCTGCTGTCGTTGCCAATTCTTTTCTGGTGTGGTGACTACAGGTTTGCACGCCGCCTGACTGAAGTCAAGCTTCGAGGCTCTTTTTGCACGACTGTGCTCCCCAACCCCTTTGCCCACTCGAAGTAAATCTGAGCCTAAACACGACTACGGCCTGCAATGATTGGTTCTGCTGAATTGATCCTGTGCAACAACCTTTGAGGCCACATGACTTACGTGGTCTGTTTCGGCCTGGTGTGGGGAAACCTTTTGAAGGCCGATTCTGCACACCTGGGACATAGTAGTACTGCCTCGCACGGGTGAATCAGTGAAGTCTCTCCTGTGATCTAATGGCGCAGATGTTTCGTGTCGTACCTGAAGCCGCGGTCTGGAATCACTCGGAGTGGCGCATGGAAAAGGTGTCCGTGTACGTCTCAAGCTGACCAAGCCCTCACCTGTCCAAGAGGACGTGTTTCGGCTCCCTCGACCACGGAATGTAAACTCCAAGGCAGGGGGGGGGAAGGAATGCATGCTCGGTCAATCCCACTTGAGCGAAAAGTCAGGGCTTTCTCTCCCATCTCGCCTGACCCAAGGGCAGTAACTTGACTCAGCTCGCTAGAAGGTCTGGGTGCCAGACAGCGCATCCCACATCGACTCCACAGCCTGCCGCGACTTCGGTTTTCCGTCCACGCACGCGATGAACTCAGCGGCTGTGGATGAAAGGGAAAACAATCCAGGTTCAAGGAGACATCAGTTGAATCGATAGGGTTGCAGCCTTGATATTTTTGGAAACATGACTTGAAGGCCGCAGGTTTGTGCCCTGCCTCCACATTGGAGCAAGCCCACCGCATTGACACGGCACACCTAGGTCAGCAATGCCTTGTTTGCAGTTCTCTACTGCTTGGATCACTGGGTAAACATCTCTGGCAGCTTGCTGGGGCTGCTTGCCGGTTGCTGGATTTTCTCCATCACCTTCGGCCGGCTATACCTGGGGGTCCACTCGCCTATGGACGTTAAGGGCGGCATGGTTCTGGGGCTGGTGGTGGCCCTGGTGGCGCACAGCCTCTGTGGGGCCTTTGATGCTTTTACGCTTGGAGCTCCCCATGTTGGGCTCCTTCTGGTTGCCTTCGCATCATCCGTGCTGGTCTTGAGACTTGTAGTTAGTTCAGGAAAGAAGTGCAAAATCGACAGCACTAGGCAGCATGGCAGAGATGTGCCGAAGGGCCATTTGAACCGAGGAACCCGCAGCCACGGCCGATGACCCCGACTTTTTTGCAGAACTGCACCTGCTGCGGCCTCATCCTAGGTTGCGCCGTTGGCTTTCGTCTGGAAGCGGAGCGGCGCGGCGGAACAAGCTCTTTTCAAAGCGGTTCCGCACAAAGCAGCATGGCATCGTCGGCGCTGCGTGCCGTCATCGGCTATTCGGTCCTGCTTCTGGCGAGAGTGGCGCTGAAGAGTTGCTTTACCGCACTCTTGCGCTTGATCGGCTTGGACCCGAACCCTGCGAAGCCGGTGCCTCGCAGCGAGGTAGAGCACAAACATGTGAGGCAAGAGATCAAGGGCTGGGACCTGTTCGCGGCGGCCGTGCTTAAGACAAGCGTCTACGCCAGCATGGCCTGGACCATTGTCTGCGGTGCGCCTGCTATTTTCGACATGCTTGGGATTCCATGCGCAATGAACGGCTGAGCCGTGATGGAGCCCTTCTCCTCGTCTATGTCTTGAGCCAAGCTCATAGCCAGAGCCATCCTGAGCGCATTCATTACGTACATTCGTTGTGCGACGTGACTCCAAGAGTGTAGGACACTGTAGCAACCAAGCCGTACACTGTAGGACCTAGCCCTGCAGGGTTCTTAAGTGCACATGGTGGCTCTGGCCCGGGCATGGCCAGAGTTAGGTCAGATTGCTTGCAAAATGCAACCAATCTGCAAGCTCATGCCGCCATGGGGGCTGCGGGCGGAGTGGAATTGTTGAGAGGAAAAGGGCCGGGTTCATCTTCCTTGAAACTACTTGGGCTGGTCGGATTCTGGGTGGTTGAACATCCTGTTACAATATGGCCTTTCCTAGAGCCTGCAATCGTAGCAGTGCTCCGATTGAGAATCAGGCCTACGTAGGTTTGTACAAGGGGATTTGCATCAAATCTCGTGCTTGTGACGTGATTTCATGTTACGAACAAACAGGCCCACCATCCCAAGTACTCGACATGGATGCTTGGTGTGTTTATGGCGTGCTGCTCACCTGTCCTGACATGCAAAGCGGTCGCCATGGCCAAACTGTCGCCACTTCTCCGCCCTAACGGCTAACAAGCAGCATTGGAAGTCCGCCGGCGATGGCATGTCCGCCTGACTTCGAGGGTTGAGCTGAAACCAGTGCATTCCTTCTGCAGGCGACAGCCCTTCGCGAAGCCCGCACGTATCCCGTCCAGTTGGAGGACGCATTGGTGGCTACTTGTCGGGGGATACTCGTAGCTCCAGGATTTGCAAGGTAGGAGGAACACAAGATGGCAACGCGCTGCTCGGAGGACCTGGATCTCGGGGAGGCTCAGGGACCTGAGCCTCAGCACCTCAGCTGCGCAAGGGCCACCCAAAATCCGAGGGCCACCCTCCTGGCATTCTGAGAAACCCTACAAATCCGAAGCCAGCCGTGAAAATTAGCAAACAACCCCTAAGCCCACCAAAGAAATCAACAGAACTCACGAAGCAGCTTGGAGTTCTGCAGCGCCGAGGCCTGAAAGCCAGGCAAACCCGGTCGAGGCTAGCCAGGAGGTGCCCCAGTGTTTGCATGCTTTGGGCGCACCGTGTTGCCAAAAAATTGCATCCCAAATGTATTTGCATGTGGTCCCACAAACATGTTGCGGTTGCTGCAGCAGTCGGAGCGCATGTTTTGCACGGCGTTTTTGCAGGTTCTCGCCAATGCGCAGTCTGATGCCTGGTCGGGCACCAGATGCGCTCGTGTTGAGCATGTTTTACCCCCTTTGCCGCAACTGGTCTTGAATTCCGCGAGGTCCGAGCCACTCGAGCCGGACGAAGAGGCTGAGCTTGCAAGCCCCCAGCCGCTGCGAGATGCCGCAAGTCTCTCGTGAGGTCCCCGCGGCGGTATCAGCTGCCACCATCGGCCTTGCGTTAGGGGTGCCATCCAGCATGTGTTGTGCTGATGAGGGCTGTCCGCGATGCTCGCTGATCTTCGTGGCACAATGCCACTACAAGCGTGAGATCAGCAGTCGCTTCCGCTTGACCAGCAGTCAGTACATTCCTGGGTGAGCGTGTCCTGGCCTGGGGCTTGAGGCCTGGAATCCTAGAGCCCTGAGCCCATAGCCTCTGAAGCGACAAACATCAGGATTCGAGAGTTAGGCACCGTCTCGGGGCGATCTTGACCGGTAGGGGCCCCCGTAAAGGGGATGTACCACGCAGTATCAGCACCCCCGCGCCTCCGTAAGGAATGGAAGCCCGGGCCTTCAAAATAGGAACGCTACCTGACAGGAGCAGGAGAGAGCTCTCCAAGAGCTGGAGGCCAGGAGCGTTGGAGAGCTGCTCGCAAGTCAAGCATAGCTGCTAGTTTCAATCTGCCTCAAGTGTCGCAACACAGCTTCATGGAGTTCTTGCCCTAACGTCCTAAAGGCCTTTTTTCCCTCCGGCTGGCAAAGTGTTGTTGCCATGCTGGCGAGTCCTCTCAATAAAAACTCTGTGGGGTACGCATCCGGGTGCTGGGCGGAAGCTTCTTGGCTTGGGCCTCAAGGGTGGCTGGGGGCTGCTTACACAGAGCGGCTAGTAGCGGCTAGTCAGGGGTGGCCAATGACTCAATGACGTTTACGGGGAGGCTCCCCCGGAGAAGGCGGCAGGGAAGGCACCCGTAGGCCGCCCCAGCAGGCTCCATCCACATGTCTCCCTAACCCCCTACAAGTCCTACAAGTAAATAGTGAAGTATCGTGAGATGGTCGTGAGACGTTGTTGCGACAACAAGCCTGCAGGATGGTCTCAGGGAAGACCTGAAGAAGAAGGGTTCCGATGATCCCAGAGACACTGGGCACGGAATATGGTGGTGATTGTCTTGAGTTAGGGTAATGGCCATGTAATGGCCCCCCTTCCCCACGATAAGTGGAAGTCACGGCCGCTGTGGTGTCACGGTGTCACCGGCTGAAACCTCTCGAAGCTTAGGACCTCTTCTCCAATCGGGCCTTGCAAATGTGTGCCTCCACTACATTCTCTGCCTGAGAGTCCTTTAAGCGCTCCTGAGCTCTGCCTATGAATACCATGTGGTGTCATGTGCAACCACCAAACACACCGTCAGATTCGAGACGTTGTGGTGTCCATTGCAGAGCTGATGTAGAGCATGCTGTAGGCAATTGGGCCGTGTCCTTAGACCGCTCACGAAGTTTCACTTCTGTTTCGCTGCCGCGTGACGAAAGCCACAGCTTGAGAGCAGCTTTGAGACGGAGCGTCCTGCAGGCGTGCCTGCCAGAATGTTGTGCAGAAGTGTTTGAATTGTTCGCCAAGATCCAGATACCTACCTGTGTCCCGCGACCGGGAACATGTAGATAGCAGCCCAAAGCAACTGCAGTTAGTGCTCGTGATTATTACTGCTTGGAGGTTGGCTATTCCAGGAAGATCTTGGGCTGTGAGAGCGACAAAGGCTGCGAGTGGATTTTCCAATAGCTGCCCAAGCTGTACAGAGGGAGATGCAGGAGGGCACAGGGAGGAGGCGCCCTTTTCAAGCCACAGATCAGTCTTTAAAAGAGAAGCCGGAGAAATCTTGTGGAATTGCAAGAGCCTTGAATGGTGCAGCTCCTGCCACTTTCCATCGCGTTGTTAACCGCCAATGGAGTCCAGGTGACGTGATGTCATGCGCCGTTTAATCATCCCGAGTAAAAGCTTCGCGAGGCCCTTGCAGAAACCCACAGCAGATTTGAAACACAACTTTGCACAATGCATAACTTTCCAAGACTGCAGTCAATAGTTCAAGCCTCGACACTTGCATTGATTAATGCAAGCGCTCTTATCTCAACTCCCTGTTTACCTTAATCCCTGATCGAGGTGGGCTGTCCTGCTCAGGGTCTGGCACCCGGGAAAAGGCACGGCGGTGCGAGATTGATTTGTCCGGTGCGCAAAGTCCACACTGTCTCATGGGTGCCCCGGTTGACTTTGTCTCTTGAAAGGTATAGAGGTGCTGGTTACAGAAGGTCAGCGGGCCCCTGAAATTGCCAGGGCGCCTGCAGCAGCGGCAGCGGCAGCGGCAGCGAAACTGCGGCAGGAAGGCTGGATCTTGTCATCTCACAGAGCAAGCCTTGAGTCAGTTCGGAGCAGCAAATCCGACAGGCCTTGCAAGGCCTCGGAGGAGCTTCTGTGCTTTGATGCCGCCATTTCATCTTGCTGCCACGCTCGGCAGTGGCAGCATGCGCTGCGGTTGGTGGAAGACATGCAGGATGATGGGCTCGCACCCGACACAGGGATCTGGGACAAGTTGCTGGAGGCCATGGTGCTGTCAGGCGAAATGGCTGCGGCAATGGCTTTGTGCAGGGAGGCGAAGGCTTTGCTCGGCTTGCGTCCTGCGGCACAGGGCTTGGACCTGCATGGCAAGACGGTTGAGCTGGCAAAGCTGGCTGTGCGTATAGCTCTGTTGGACGTAGCACTTGCCCTTCAGCACGGGCAGGCTGCGAAGAGCGCAGAGCTGGGTCTAACTGCCCAGGGAAGTTTGTCACTTGTGGTGGGTTTGGGACGCCAGTCTAAAACAGGCGAGGCGATCCTTGGCCCAGCTATACAGCAAATGCTAAGTCAGGAGCTGGGGGTGCAAAGCCACAAAGACCCCAAGAACGAGGGCTGCCTGCTTATACCGAGGCATGAACTCAAGTCTTTAATGTGCGACAGGCATCAGCAAATCCCGGCAAGTTTTTGCAAAGTTTTAGGCACCAACAGGACTCGGACCCACACAAAGCAAGGCTTGCCGAGCCTGTTCGTGTTCCTGCAGCCGTGGCAAACTCAAGTCTTTGCACCTATTTCACCTGTCTTGGCCGGTGCTTGACTTTGAGCGGCGGTCTTATGCTGTGCTTCGGTCCATGAAGATCGCCGCTGGTCCTTCTTGACTGATCCGAGGCCATGCTGTCTCGGGGCCTCTTGCGCAGTGCCTGCCGCAGGGACCTTGCACCAGGGAAAGACACAGGTTCAGCCTGCTGACGGTTTGAAGTATTTTGAAGTCTAGATTCTTGGACGTTCTGATGCTCTTCCTCTGTGTTCCTCTGTGTTCCTCCGTGTTCCTCGGTGTTCCTCTTGCTCCTCCAGGTTCGAGCGTGACATCGTGCTGTTGGATACACTCTGCAGTGCAACACGCTGCCCATGGCCTTAGGCGTTGCGAACCTGGGAGAGACAAGGGCCGTGCAGCGCCGGCCTCAGGGCTCCGCCACTACAATTGCAGCAACATGCTGAAAAGGCTGAAAATGTGGATGCAGAGGCAGAGCTAGACTTTGCAGACTTAGCCTTGCAGCATCCTCCAGGCCACGTCAATGGATGCCTGCCATGGCCGCGGTCACAGCACACGGTGCATGGGTTGGTTATGCCATGTTATGCCCTCCTTTCTGTCTCGCACTCCTCCTGCCCTGCTGGTATTGAAAGCTGGAGGCTTATCGTCGCTTTGGATCCGGAGGTGACCCACGAGCACACCTCAACCCAGATGGAACAAGGCAGCCCAGGGGGTCGAGTCATGCTGCGTCCTGCGCCGCTGTGCTGGCGAACATGAGCCCTTGAGCTGGGACTTGCGGATTTGCCCCAGGCCTGAAGAGGAGGATGCTGAGGCGCTATTGCTTGTTGCCTTTTCAGTATCTCTGGGGTATTGAGGTATTGGTCTGGCATGGTGCTAGATCTCACGGTGGGCCGAAGTAAGTCTGTTTATCAGAGCCATGGAGTGGGTCTCCAAAAATTGAGTGAGTTAGTAGTTTGGTTGCTGCCATGCGCAACGCAGGACTACCACGACCCAGACCCCACGGATCACTTCCCTCGCATGAAGCTTGTCAAGGACGACCAGAAGCAACTTCGAGTGGGGAAATCGTAACGCTATGTGACACGCGAAGCTTTGCTGCAGGAGCGCGGTCAGAGCTTTGCAGGGTGCTTGGGAAACTGGTGGACGCACACAAGTGAGCGTGGCTTGCGGCGGGGAGGATGACTGCATCCATCACTGCATCCTTACGCACGGAATCATTTTGCCCAGGTGGTGTCTCAAGACCCGCCCAAGCCAATCTCAGAGCTGTACTTCACGCACCAGGCGGAATCGAGTACTAGCGGAATGGAGTGCACCAGTCTGAGACACTGGAATTTCTTGGAAGCGGAAGACATCGCTGATTCAGTTTCACCTGGCCAGGAACACGTGCCCTTCTATCCGCGCCAGCGCATCCTGATCTGGACCAACTACAAGCTGCTGATGAAGGCCGGGCCCATCAGATGGGCAAAGAACACTTGAGTGAAACCTTGGCTGAAACAGGCGGAGTACCTGTTCTTCTACATCCCCACCATCATCATCTTGGGGCTATGCATTCCTGCCAGGGCCCTGCAGAGAGCAGAGGATGCATGGCCAGCTCAGCTTGTACAGTGACAGGCTTGGTTGTTGGGCTCCACCTGGGCCTCTAAGACTTCGTGGATCGTTTGGTTTTTTCTCTCAGGGACTGGTAAACGTCTAGCCTGCACTGTCAGAAATACTCATGCAGCATGCACCAGAAGAACTCCCGGCAGGAGTCTCTTGCGGAGGGTTCATAACTGTTGGCACAGACAGCTTCGATGTCGAAAGCATTCGGGCAGACGATGACCCTGAATCTTACAACTCACAACGTTGTCCTTGCAGAAGCTTCGTCTGGACTGTCTGCTCCCAGCTGTTCACTGGATTCATGTAGATGCCCTTAAATGCCCTTTTTTCGCCATGGGTGTGGGAGCCTCCTGCCCCCAGCCTTCGTGCTGCAATCCCGAGGGGCCGGAGCTTCATGTCGTGGAAGCTATAGCATCGGAGGCACGACTCGAGCAAGCTCCGACACTTCAAAGTAAAAGCGAGCGTAGTGATAAGCTCGAGCGCGGCGCCATCAGTTGCACCACCTTGATGGACTCTATACCGGACTTGCCGACAAGAGGAACCTCGACTGCTACTGTCATGAGCAAGGGGGAGCGGCACAAGCAGCAGAGATACTCCCACGTTGACATGGGCGTGGTACGGGGCATGCCGTTGCGAAAGTCCCTCAATGGCTTGGGTCGTGTTTGGCGCTACAACCCTTGTACATGGCAGCCTGAAGACTGCATGAGACTGTATAATATGTCAGAGAAAGTGACGTATTTTCATGTGTTCCTTTCCCACACTTGGTGGACTCCTGGAAGGTGGAAGTTCCTATCGCTGTCTTTTCAGTGTGGCTGGCACTATGGTCTTATCTTCTGGTTTTCCTCTGTGGCAATTTGCGCGGCCCTTTGCCTGTATGATGTTCTGCCGATGCCACTGACGTACCGAGCGACCATCATGGGCTTCGATGAGGTCTGCCCGATGGGCTTTTGGATCATCTCTTGCAGCTGTGTGGCCACGGGGCTTGGGCTACTGTCTACTCCTCTGTGGCCAGAAAGGCGAGAGGGTCAGGACATGTCACACTGGTAGCGGGTTTTCTGGGGTTAGGCAGACTTGGGCTCTGAATTGTCTTCAAAAGCGCCTGTGGCCTGTTGATGCCCTGCCTTGAGCAGCGGGCATCGCAAAGGTGCAGCCGCTCAGACATCGGATTCATCGATGTGTCCAGCATCCACCAGGTGAGGGCCCCCACGGAAGCCTCAATGTTCTGGACACTGCCCTCTGCAGTTTCTGCAGTTTTTATTGCTGCTTTGAATTTGGGACAATTTTGGGGATTCTTTTATGTTTCCCTTTGAGAGGTGGACAAGAAGCTGATGGAGCGTGGCATCTTCGGAATCGCTGGGTTCCTGAGCATTTCCTCCGAGCTGCGGATCCTCTGGAGCGCGCCGTACCTTTCTCGTGTCTCGGTCTTTGGACGATTGTTCCCGATGTTCCCGATGTTCCCGAAATTCCGGTTCGAAGTGCACGAAGTGCAACTCGAATTTCTCAACTCTTCAACCATCTCCAACTCCCTGAGCCAGGCTTAGTGAGTGTTAGTGGCTGATAGTGTTGTTAGATGCTGCTCACCCCACAAAACCTTCACACAACGAGCGTTGCTGGAGCCCACGTAGTTGGATGATGTTTTCTCGGACTCCCAAAACTCTCTGGGCAGCGCCAAGGTCTTTGGTGCGTCTTCGAAGTAGCCGCATACAAGAAAGTGAATCCAACTGGAAGGATCACATTCAGGCCGATGTTCGTCGAGAGGGCCGTGTTGGGAATGCTGCTTTCCTCTCATGCCTTTGCTTTTCTCATTCTTTTCGGACGGGAGATGTTCTATGGCAACTTTGTCGTCCTCCTTTTCATATATTACGTGACGTGGCCCGTGGCCATCTGCGTGCTGAGACTGAATTTTCGGGAGAAGCACCACTTGTTGTCCCAGTTGGAGAACTTCGATTTGGGAACTGTGCAGTGCTCCCATCAATTTGATCGCTCCCTGGCTGCAGTACTCGTACCAGTGTCATGCTTTGCAAAAGTGTGTGTGTGTGTGTAGCTTGCATGTTTCACTTAGGAGATTTCATCCACGCCGCCATCGAGAAGTGGTACGGGAGCAAGCAGGTCTTCGTGGATTTTGTGCGGACTGACCTGAGGGACGAGCTTGAGAAGTCGCTTTCTCGTACGCGCCTTCCGAACCAGTACCAGCTGTTATTGCTAACGCCAATCCTCAGTCTCAGCGCAGAGTACTTCCTGGCAATCTGGAAGGCCGGTGCTCCTTCTGATGCCCTGCTGTCCTTTGCAATTGGAATCTTCTTGGGCTTTGACGTTTGCTACCTTTGGGCAAGCAACCTGCTCATGATCTACCTATGTGACGTCCTGGCCCCTCGCCGCTTCGGCTACTTAGACCACGTGCAGACAATTTTCATCATCTTCATGATTGTGCTGATTCTCTATCTTGGTTCCGTGGGATCTGCCGCGGCGTACCAGGACAGTCTCACTGGAGCCTGTGTTTTCCTCGGGGTCTCAGTGCTCTTTGTTGCCTGCATGTGCTGGTTGGAAGGCCGGTCGGTTGCCAGCCTGCTCCGATATTGTGCCCGGAGATGGTCTTGGAGAGCCGACCATCCTGACGAGTTCCAGCCAGAGTCGAAGCCAAATGCTTCGCGGGTGTAGACGCGTGTAGACACTGTCGCGTGTCACGCGCCAGTGATTTAGCTTTCGAGCTCAGGCCTGCTCACGCCGTCCTGCGAAACCCCATGAGAGCACACTGCGAATGCAGATCCGTGCAAGTGAGTGAACAATCCCGAAAAAAAGGCATGACCCAACCAGGCTGAGGGCCCCTTGCTGAACCATGGGCTAGCCCGTACGCGCTTGATGAAAGGGCCCCGCTGGATGTACCGAAGACTTTTTCGCTCATTCCCCAAACAGCTTTTTCTGGTGGTTCTTAATCCAATGAAAGACATAGTTTCTGGGAAGAGGTTCTGAATTTGCTTAAATGAACGGTTTCTGCGATGCACGTTTGGACTTTTCTCCCCGTGAGCAGACCCTGGATACTGCGACGCCTGTCTGGGACTTTGATCATGTCAGCTTCGCCTCGTTTACGAGAGGCCTTCACCACGATCTACGCCTTGGAAGAGGTCGTGGCTTCCACCATGACCGTGAAGGCTCTCCCTGTCATGCGCAGAACTTGCTGGAACATTCGGGGCGATGGATGACACCCGAAGTAAGCGTGAATGCCGTAAAGCCTAAGGCCAGATCCGAAAACTCACAAACCTCTGTGCGCTCAGACGTTCTGAAGGTGATCGAGCTGTGAGCCTAAACGCACGCTTGCAAGCCTGCCATTTCATAAAGTCTCACGGCCAAACCTTAACTCAAGTGTTGCAAAGGCTACTACTTGCCAAAGCACGCTGCATCACAATCTTCCTTATTATCGCCGAGAATAATAAGTAGCAACCGACGTTTGGAGAATCCGGTCTCGGCGATTTGACGGGCATCCGTTGCCTCAGCGCATGTCGTTTCAACATGAACTGTAGAATTGACTTAGCCGCCCAATGATAAAAGCGCCATACCTGGCTTCAACAAAAACAAACTACCCCGGCAGAGCGTTTATTTAGCGTTTCCGACCGATTCTATCTGCAGTAGAATTCATGTTCGCTGTTTTTCTGCAGTAGTTTCAATAGTCAGTAGTTTCAGGTTCGGGGTACGTGGGGGGGGCACCTTATGTTTGCATCTTGAAGCAGAGGAAACTTAGCAGGCCAGCTTCGAGTCGAGGCCGAATGCCCTACCCTGACCACCTCGGCAAGGGGTACTTCAAGTGATACTTCTAATGCGCGACGCATGAAACGTGAGACGACGGGCGTCAGGAAGCGAGCCAGTGTGAGTGTCCGTGTAGCTGTCCTTCAGTGCCCTCGTGTGTGTGGGATGGGGTTGCGCGATCCAACTCGCGAGACAGAACTATCATCAGGAGTGTTTGAATGAACGAAGACGCCGAGTCGGTGTGCTCGATGGCCGCGCAATCTCGCCCCGGGATCCTAAGTTTCACGACCCGCGGCGCGGACTTATAGAGGCTCTCTGTTTTGGGTGGTCGTGGGTGCGGGAAGAGCGGGTCCAAGGTGGGGTACTCAAGAAACAGTTCTGCAGTGTCAGCAACCATAGCCACTAAGGTTTTCCTGTGTCCTTTGTCACGCGGAGATTTCGTTAATCAGAGTCTCGTGGACCAGGTCGTGGGCAGGCAGTGGTACTGGGTCTACGAGGTGGAATCCCCAACTGATGATGGCGACTCAGCAGAATGGTTTTGAGGGGCCGGAGTTTGGTAGTCTGGTAGGTTGACAGACGGTTGGCAGAGGGTACAGACGGTGGGTGGAAGGTTGGCAGGTTAAGGAAGCCTCCCTGGGAGGTGATGATGATGACGATGAGTGAAGGTCCATGTTTGCCGATCCATAGCTGTTCACCTACTACCAGCCTGCGCAGCACCTGGGCTTGCTTGTCCGTGTGTTTGCACTCTTTCCCCGAGTTCTGCGCACATGGCAACATTGAAGCAGCATTGAAAAATTGCACATGTTAATCACAACGCTTTCATGTACTTAGAACGACTTTTTTGGCACACTTTAGGAGGTTCGGATTGACGCTCAGTTCTATGCAAAAAGATGCCTGGATGCTGTGGATTTAGTCTATGGCCATGCTTTTCTCGGCGTGCGTATACATACATATATGTCTAGATATGTATCATATCGTTGGTCTTTCCAGATTGCGGCCTTTCCCGCTGGAACGTTGCTGCAGCTTCTGTCGCAAATGTGGACAGGCAAACGATCAACTTGCTCTGGCCGCAGCAACAGCACGCGATAGAACTGTAGCCGGCATGAGTCACGTTCTACGTAAGGCATGAAGCGAAGCAGGATGTTAGAAATTGAAACTGTCAAAAGCACCCTTTTGGGACTTTGCAGCAATGGGGGCCTGCTGCAGCCACACGCTTCCCTCGGATGAGTACTGTCCCGGCAAGGACAAAAGTTTTCCTTGTATCAGGATATGGCGGGATAGAGCCCCGCTCATCGGATCTTACCGAGGGCTTCGGGTATACAATGTAGAAGCCCTTGTTGAGGCCTTTGCAGCATCTCTCCCAAAGCAGATTTGTGAGGACCTGAACCGGCCCTGCATGCCCTGCGACCCAGAGGTGTCCACTCGAGAGCGGACAGGCTCCATGGCACGAAGATGTGTTGAAACCAGGCTCGAAAGCAGCTTGCGTTGCTTTCAGGCTTGGAAGTCCTGGACGGTAACCTCGAGAATATCTACCCGGAGCCTTTCAACGAAAGCTTCCCCGCGCTTCCTCCTACTCCATCAAGTCCTTCGAGCCCTCCATGCCCTCCGGGTGGGGGCTCGAAGCCCGTGCTGAGCTCACCCAACTCGCACGTGGCTTGGCAGGGCGTGGAGCGTTGAGGTGCTTTGTGCCTGTTCCGTCCACAGCAAAGCCGTGCAAAGCCGCCAAAGGTGAACTTGTCCAGAAGCTCTTCGGCCGCGAGCGACCCGAAGCTGGGCCGAGCCTCGACCCGGACAAGCGTGGCATTCCAGGCCGGCTGAGAGCCTGAGACCCGAGGGATGGCAAGAGTCCGTTTCGAGGACTGTCAAGGTTAAGAAGCTCAGCTCGACAAGTCTCATGTGCCCGGAACAGGAAGAGCAAGTCTTGGCCTTGTTCCAGAAGTTTGACGCCAACAGGCCGCCATCGTAGCGTCGCACTTTTGTTTTTTTGCACAAGCAAAAGAGCCTTTGCCCTGCAGGGACAACTGCGTGAGCCATGAGGACATCTGTGGGAAAGTCTTGTGTTGTAGGCAAGTGCTGCCCAGAAGCTGAAGACGTACGTGCAACTCCTTGCACGGATGGTGCCTGAGACCCTAGTTACCCTATATAGTTCTTGTTGGGAAATGGGAGACCTATTGTAAGAGCAACAAGAGCATCTTCCACTTTCCATATCCTACCCAGGAGCTGCGATCTGTGCTGCAGCAGCTTGCCGACCCCTCCGACGTCCGGGGCAGCTCGCCCAAACCCAAACCATTCCCCCCCCCAGGAAACACCCCCTACAAAACCCCCGCGGCCACGTCGCTCCGCCCTCCTGAATGCCGATTGCAAAACCACTCCTAAGCCCTTGCGCTGTCGGGATCCGTTTTGATTTGCTGGGAGCCTGAGGCGAGCGCTTTGAGGAGCTGCTCAGGCAGATCGACACCGACGGTGATGGCTTCATCCAGCTTGAGGCAAGTCTGGGGTGTTGGAGGTACGGTGGCCATCAAGCACTTGAGCTCTGGTAGTCCATCAAGTACACTTCCATTGCTCTCAAGATATTGAATGAGCCGTATGCCAGCCGCCAGGAGTTCATGGCCTGGTGCTTTGCCAGCGGCGACGCGTGGAAGCGACTTCGCTGGACGTGCGCCTTGGCCGAGGATGCGATGGGAGTTCAAGGTCTTTCTACTTTCGTGTTGCTGATGAACTTCAGCGGCCTGAGCGTAGTGTTCTTCGTTCCCCGTAGTGGTCATTATTTGCCAGTAGCGCAGTGCACGCAGCGTACGCAATGACAGGTCTGAGCGTCAACTCTGCATTCGTCTGTAGGGTCCGGCTCGAGCGTATGACTCCATGAGCTCTCGGGCCCACTTCGCCCAAACTGGTGGGGTGGCAGGCAAGGCCTTCCGCAGGCGGACAGAATCCGCGCGGAAGAGACCTCGCCTGTACGCCCCCTACGAGGGTAGCGCCAAAAAGCATCCGCTCGCCTCGCAGGTGAGTTGGATGTGTTGTGTTGCAGAGTGTGAGCTCGATGTCATGTTGTGCTTGGCTTTGTAAAACTACCTGCTGTAATGTAAAAGTTCCCGATCATGCTCAATTGTCTGAACTTGTTTTGTAGACTGCGCGTGTTCATAGTGACAAGTGGAGTCTAGCAGCTTGTATGCGGCAGTGTGTTTTGCGGCTAAGATCAGCCAGGTATGCCAGAAGTACAGGTTTCCGTTAGCTTGGCCTGGCCATCCTCCAGTGGTCCTGACCATCCACAGCAGACCTCAGCTAGTTACAGCTATTTCAACGAGAACAGCCTCGGATGGTGGTAACCCACGTCCGTGCTGGGACACCTGGGACCAGCGCAAGCACCGGGGACAGCCGAGCACAACCCCCCAAGCCGGTGAGTTCCTGAGCTGGGCCTGAGGCCGAAAGCTCCCCCAGCAAAGGCTGTCCCCCACGCAGTGATTCCGTGTATTCGGGTGCGAAGGAGCGCTCCAGCAAAGGGAATCACTCTGTGGCGACTGCGTTGCACCTCGCCTTTCTCCCTATGAGCCGGGCAAGTCCATCACTAAGTCCAAAACAAAGTTGCGCTCCGTTCGCGCTCGAAGGTGGCCCCTCGTTCGCTGTGGTGGCTTGTGTTTCGTGACTTTCGTGCTTGTGGGGCACCTTGAGTGCTTTGACGCAGCAGCCCTTATGAAGTTCGCAACTTGCAAGTTGTCGTTCTTTGATTCTATGAGCCGGTAGGACGAGCAACAAGAAAGGCTTGTGCGAATACATCTTCCGTTTTCTGTGGTTCGAGACCTGTCGGCTTGTCCGGGTCACTCGCTATCATGCGAAGTTATTCACTTTGATTTCTTATGAAGTAAAAGCGCCCAGACGTTGGGAAGTCTTTTGATGTCTTGGTTTATAACAACTTTTACTGGTAGGTCGTACCTGGTGGAGGTATCCCCAAAATTATAAGGCCAACAATCAAAGGCGAAGGGAATGACAGCGAGCTTATGGGTCAACCACAACAAAAAGCAACCGGGTGCAACATGTATCGGTTGCCCTGAACTGAGGTTTTCACGCTGCTGAGCTGCATCGTGAGAATTTGCGGTCGGCTTACTTGCCTGCAGCGGCAATGCCTGCTAGAATCTAACACTCGCCTGCGCAGGCAACTCCTGAATATGTGATGCAAGAGCTGGCAGGCGATCCACCAAGTCAACCCTGGTAGTTCTTGCGAGCTACACAAACCTCAGCAGCCAAGATAAATTAAGCAAGAAAAGTGCGTCACCGAGAGAGTGCAGCACTTTGACTTTGGATAGAGAAACAGTGCGTGCAGTACGGACGAACGAGCAGATCGCTGGAATGCCGATCCATCATATCAAGAAGCTTTCGGGCGACACCCTGGCATGGATAGGTAAGGAACTGACGTTGGATGTGGGATTCCCCAGCCCGATTGCAGGAGGCAAATGCCCAGAATTGTTTTGCCCAGCGCTCTGCCGGGTTCCGGAGCCGGCCTTTGCTGATTTGGTTCCCTCCTGTGAGGGGCAGATACTTCGGCCTCTTTGAACTCTGCCTTCCTGGGGGTCATTTTTAAACGTTGTGTTTGGGTGGCATTCTCCATGTTTTCCTCCCTACGCTGCTTCTAGTTCTCAACGGACACTTCTGCCTATAACGTCCGTCAAGGCATAATGTCCCGAATGCCCAGAAGTAGGCTCGAACTCCGTCAAGAAAGTCTAGCTTGGTGACGTGTTCAGTTATGTTTTCTCGCCGGTCTACCAGCTCGAAGCACGGAAGCATGTTCTCCAACCACAAAGTCCGGCCGCCGAGGTTGTGCATAACGAAGTTTCGCGGAACTCCACGTCGGGAAAGCTGGTGGCGAGGCCACAGCAGATGCTTGAGAATGTTGAACACTCCAAGAGATTTTCGGGGCCTTTTTTGCCATGTGACTTTTTGCTTGTTCCACTGTCTTTCGTGTTGAGAGCATTTAGCTGCAATTTGGCATCTGCCACACGACAGGAACAAGAATCGCTTGTCCCACTTCCACTGGCTCCACGAGATTCTCTCCATGATTGTGGAGAAGAAGTGCAAGGTTGGGTGGTGTTTGACGGTGAAGTCAGCATTACGCATACAGGGCGGAGAAGGGTGCATCTCTTGCCCGCAGCATCCTCCCAACTACCCCAACCTTGACTTTCAGGGAGTGGCAACCTGCGTCGAGACCCGTCGACGCGGCACGCCGCTCTTTGTGGTAGCAGGTGCTGCAGCTGCTGCGCCTCCCAGATACCCAGTTTGTCACAAGTTGTGTTGGTTCAACTTGGTTCAACTTGGAGCCAGTGAGCCTTTGCCAGGCGTGTGCCCCAACAGCCTCTGTGGTATGCAGGCCGTCATGTACTGCAAGGCTCGCGCCGCCTTTCGTGACTTGCCTTGCTTGTGTCTTTGTGTTCCGCATTGGCTGCAGTTCGACAAAGATGTGGACTTCTGGTGGATCAAGCCAAAGGCCGACCTGGGGTGCACATCTCCCCAGAAGCTCAGCCAGAAACCCGAAGTTGTTAAGCCTGATAAGTTCTGATAAGCATGCTTCCAAAGGTCAAGGAAGGCCCCGACTGCTTTAGCCGTCAGTGATCGGCTTCTTCATTTTCATCAAAGATTCCTTGCAAGAGGTCGACAAGCCGGATCAGCTAGAGCGAAACACCCTGGACCTGCACAAGGAGGCCCGATGACAAGTCTTGATGTCGAAGGTGAGTACTGACCGGACTCTAGACTTCCTGTCAGAGCAATGTAGGTTTCACTCATGCGTGCAAGCCTCCCTTGGGGCCCTTCCGAGGGGCTTTCCGCTTTCTTTTGGGACTGTTCCACTTTGGGCCCGATTCGGACTTTTCGACTCTGCGGGCTCCTTTCTCGACAGCGCATCTTCACGCTTCCATTTGTCAGTTATTGGAACCATGTGTGTATGTTTGTCTGATTGTGCTCTTTCTTTTGTCGTAGAGTCCTAGGGTCTTTTGCCCCCGCCTGTGCAGCTTTGGCAATCCCTGGCAACCACAGTGTCTGGCATGTGCAGGGTAAATACCGGAACGCGTCGGGAAAGTCGCGAGCCTTGTACCTGCCGCTGGCAGAGAAGTTTGTGGGAACCAAAGCGGCTTGCCTGCAAGAGATCTCAGGCGGCGATGCCGAAACATACCAAATGTGACTGATAAATCGACAGAGTGCTGTAGTGCGATGCAGGCTACACTAGGCGTGCGATCCTCCTCTGCCTCTTATTGCCTGTATTTGCTGCCTTGACGGCTTAGCCCCTTCCAGGAAGGCTCCTTTGAGTTCGGTGTGGACGACGCGGGTCGGGCTTTTATTGATGAGACAACTGCGACTGGCTGCTGTCGGATGCTGCTTTACCTCGTGTGGCAGGACCGATGAACTAACTTTCTGGCCATCCAAACGTCGAGGGGGTTCTTGCTCATGCTTGAAAAGCGCACGCAGCCCAACCGGTGTTGGGAAGTCACACAAGCAGCTCGCATTTTTTCATCCGCCTGCGAACCCTATGCTCTAAACTGCCTAAGCGTGCCTAATCACAAAGCTTGTTCTTGGCTGTGCCAACCTGGCACGCATGAATTGAATGTCTCGCCTCTTGAGGAGAACTGGAGTAGCTTCTTCGCATACAACAAGTTCATCGAGGCACACGTGAGTTGGTCTGTATCACTGAAAGTGCAAAGCTAGATTGAAGGCCTGGCTGTGTTGCACCCGTCTGCAACCCCTTCCGACAGGGGAAGCTGATCTACCAGCGCGGAAAGCCTTGGCAATGCCCCGACGGCCAGGCACAGCTAGGCTAAATCTCGCAATAGCAGCAGAAATAGCAGGGCCGCAACAAGCCGTAGTGAAGCTTCAAGCTTCTACTGTGAGCTGTCCTTGTTCATGGTACCTGAACAGAACCTTGGAGCCATCTGGAGCCCTAAACGTAGGCCCTTCGCCAGGCCACAAGCTCCGCTCCCTTCTTCGCTCGCCAGTATCGCCTCGAAGGCTTGGCATTTGTTGTCGGCAATGCGTGCGGAGAGGAACCTAGCTAGAAGCGAGGCACGCATCCTTGTCATTCCAAACCTGCCTCGTCGCAGCCGCTGCCACTTGATCCGAGTGCTACAGCGGCGGCTATCCAGTTCTTGGTTCATGCAGATCCCAGCATGTCCGGCACACTTGACACTTTCTTTTGTGATGTGTCCACAGCCCGGCATGCCATCGTCACCGGTGTCGGCGCTGGGACCGACGATCATCAGCAACGGGGTAGAGGGGTGCCGCGTCGCCTCTCGCCTCTCAGGTGAACAGTGTTCAACGATACACCGGCACACCGGTGATTATGAAATCAATTGAAGTCCTTCGAAGAAGCCTTGCAGAAGGAAGGCTCGTCGCCTGCCACGAGGCCCGTGCTGAGAAGTCAGGAGCATCAAAGCCGACCCCTTGGAAGCTGAAGAGATCCAGCTGAATAAGCACACGCTCGAAGATGATGCATGCTTGGAGGAGAAGCGCATGCACCCTAAGACACCGAACCGACAAGTTCAGAAGAACCGCGATGCCTGCTGTTGGTGTTGTTGGTGTTGTTGGTGTTGTTGGTGTTGTTGGTGTTGTTGGCGTTGTTGGTGTTGTTGGTGTTGTTGGTGTTGTTGGTGTTGTTGGTGTTGTTGGTGTTGTTGGTGTTGTTGGTGTTGTTGGTGTTGTTGGTGTTGTTGGGGTTGTTGGGGTTGTTGGTGTTGTTGGTGTTGTTGGTGTTGTTGGTGTTGTTGGTGTTGTTGGTGTTGTTGGTGTTGTTGGTGTTGTCTGTTGGTGTTGTTGCAGCAGCGTTGTTTTAATTCATCTGACGTTGCTCGCGGACGTGGTGGTGGTGCTAGTGGTTCTGTTTGTGGTCGTGGTGATTGTAGCGGTTGGTGCTTTTGGTTTTGCTGCTGCGTCTGTCGTTTGTGGCCGTAGTCGAGGTTGTGACTGCGGCTGTTCACTGGCTTGCCAGTAGATTCAGTGCATTCCTTGACCATCCTTGGCCGGTCAGGTGGTGGCCTGTCGATCGCAGGGGTCGAGACGGAGGAGACAGTTCTGACACTGCTGCCGCCCGACGTTTGCCAGGCGACCGCTGCAAGGGACATCTTTCCTGTAGAGGCAGCTAGGGGTGTAAGGCATGATGCAGGGTGAATATAGGGCTGTGACCTGTAAGCGGAATTCTGAGAGTTGGGAGCAAGCCCCCACAGTTTCCATGCGAACATGGCTTCAGGAGATGTTTTCCATGTGATTCCGCTTCCTGCGGCCTCGGCAACATTCGTAGGCGGACATTTAGACATTTCCCGACTGCCTGCACAGCTGTAAAGCTTGGCACCTTCCGGAAAGGTCGCGTCCAAATTTGGATGGCCGGCTATCTTCTTTTGTTCTTCGGACCTGCCACCTTTATGGTTTCAGGTCTTTGCACGGCGCCCTCTGGCTGAAGTCATCAGCCCGAGGGTAGTTTCTTGCAAGTACGAGTTTTCTTAGCTTTAAAATCCCAGAGTATGTATACTCTGCGATGCTCTGCGTCTGGCGCTTCGCATCCGAGAGGTCCCTTAGGGTTTTCATGCCACTGCTGAGCAGCGGCAAGCGACGGTCCAGCGCGGCGTGCGCTTAAACAAAAATGTTGTGTCCAGCGTCCAGCAGCCAGCAGGGAAGGAGGCGGAGACTTTTCAAGAAGAAGCTTGGCACTCTTCTGAAGACTCGCTTGACCTCTCTCGACTCCCTGGCCGGAGAATTTTGACACTGGTTCGTTCTGGCTCGATCTTCGTCTGGGAGTTTGCAATCGGCCAACCCACGCCGCCACCCCGGCAAGTGAAGGCCAGGATGCGGTGCACCAAAGCTTTAGCAACTTTAGCAGTGCTGCATCTCCCTGAGGGACGAAGACCACAGCCACTTGAACATGGAGGGCGCCAGCATCCTCAGCAAAGTCACCGCATCCCCGAACCCTGCCCTTCAGGCCCTAAGCCCGTCGTGTCGGAGCCAGCCCAGGCTGATTGCTGCACCTTGTCCCCCATCTCGCCGGGCAAAGCCGCGGCCCCAGCAAAGGTATGAAGAGCCGCAGCTCCTCAGTAGATCATTGAGAGGCCGTTGAGAGCTTCGGCTTCTCTTGGCTTTTTATTCTTGGGAGTTCTTGAGCTTCTTCTTTCTTGCAGGTCACCAACTCCAACGTTGAGGGTTCGGACCTCGGCCGTCTTTGAGCTCCTTTCTAGACGGCTGGGACTATGGGACTTGCCTTGAGACTGGCAAAGGCGAGAGGCAGGTCTTCAAAAGTCAGTCGAAGCTTTGATAAGCTTAAAAGGCCTTGCAATCGCTGCCTGAAACCGAGCATAGGAGCCTGCGTCGTCCCAGTCTCTCTTGTAAGATACGCAAGTGCAGAGAGGCACAGGAACCTCTTTAATATGTTTACCATCATGGTCGTTGCCATGCTCACCAAACCCCGAATCAATTCCAATGCCAGGTGGGGGGTTCACGAAAATAGGGGACCCCAACATAGACAGTCAATAGTCGGATGACCTTGTAATTAGGACCGCCAATCAGGTGCCCCTAATGTCGCAACCCCCCCCACCCCCCCCAGGTGCTTCGAACATGTCCGCCGATGGCAAGCCTCAGCTGCCGGTGGCCGCTGCAAAGAATGCGAGGAGTCTCCGGCATAGTGGCCCACTTGAAGCTTCATGGGTTGTTAGAAGTAGGGTTCTAAGTACCCTAAGTAAGGAAGAGAAGAGTGAGACCTGACTTGAAAGGCACCATCGTGGCCCGCAGTGAGGGTTGTCGGTCAAACAACTTGGAGTTCAAACATCGCGGGGCCATTTGGCGTTGCAACAAGCCATCGACTCGATTCCGAAGTCAGGTTCAACAGCTCAAAAGCCAGCATACTTCCATGCCAGAGGAGGGATAGCCGAGCTCAGCGCCGCCGCACTGCCACAGACTGTGCTACCCAGGAGGCGAACTTCGTGGACCACAATTTTTTTTACTTTCTGCGATGTGTCCGTATCAAAAGCGAGTTAGGCTTGCAGGAACACGTTCTAGGACAGTTGTAGCTGCAGGTCTGTTCTTCAAGCTGCAAGGTTGACTCAGTTTGACTACAGCTTTGATTTGGCATAGGTGGTGACCGGGCATGGCAATGTCACAGCAGAAGTTGCAATCCTCCATGTCACAGTATCTTCCGACAAATCGGGGCGGTCTTTGACACAACAAAGGTGCATTTACTAGTTTAGGCTGTGGCAAATCATCCAGCTGCATTGAGAGATGTAATTTGATCCCAGTCCTCACCGCCAGGACCAGTGCCACCCCAGGAAGATCTTCATAGGTGGTCTCGCGCACAAGCAGTGCACTTAGTCAGCGTATGGAGCATCTAGTATGTCCGCTTCATGCAGCGTTTTGCATTCCAGATGACGAAAGTTTAGGGTTTGCATTGCGCTGTACACCAGGAGTTGCACGTGATATGCAGACACAGCCTCTATGAATGAAGTGCAGTGGGTGGAGAGATTCAGATGAGACAGGTGAGATACTACCAGTGTCCGAGTTTCCCCGGATAGGCTTTGCAACTGGAGACTCGTACCTTCCGAAACCATTGAAGCTTAAGAGCATGCTGGCAACATGTTCTGATAGCTGTGCCGACGGGGGCAAGGAAAGAGGAACAAGGTAGGGCAAAGGGGGGTTAACATATATGTCTATATGGATATATGTACACACACACACACACACGCGCGCCCACTTTGTAGTGTGCCACCAACTAAGGACGACAACGCAACATCTGAGGGACTACTTTGCCGACTGCGCATGGATTGAGTGTCTAGCGCAGAGGGGTCTGGCACATGTAGTGCATGACGTGTGTTGTTTTGCGAGTGGTCTTGTTTCGGCTGCAGTACTCATGGCAGTGCTATCCTCGTCCTCAGCATACCTGCGTTCAGCCAGGTCAAGTACGGCGGAATCGTCGATGCCGTCGTTCTGCTGTGCACTCAGTTGCAGACGTGAGTGTGTGGGCGTCCTTTCTAAAGCCCAACAGGTAAACCTTCGTTTCATGTGCACAGCTTCGTTGGAATCCTTTCAGGCGCTGGCCGGATGGGCGCTCTCGTGGCTTTGGCTACGTCACTTTCTCTGAGGTAGGGGGACTGAATGTCCAGTGCAGGTGCTTGCAACAGCGCTGGCTTTTCATTGTCGGAAATTCTCGCTGAGGCTAGACTGCGGCTCATCTCTAAACCTCGATCTCCATCCCAACACCCTAGAAACCTAGAATGCTGCACCTTCGCCTTCCCGATGTGGAGTGCTACACGAGCTGCTGCCAGCTGCTATCAGGCACAAGGTGCACAAGGGGCTTTGAACGACGCGCACCAGGCCGATCGCTGCTGCGTCGGCATATGGGTGCCTCGGAAGTACAACGGTCTTTTCGACAGCGATGCCATGTGACCTGACTTGGCAGATTGGGGGGCGGCAAGTGGACGTCAAGAGGGCCGTGTCTAGCTGGCTCGCTTTGGCATCTGTCCCTAGCTGTGGCCAGGAGGGCTGTGTGATTTATCAAGGCTGATGCAAACGACGGTATGCAGCTATGCAGACGGCGAACGGCCCTTGACGCACGCAGGCCCGGCACCAACAAGCTCTTTGTGGGGGGCTTGCCGCAGAACACGGCAGCTGCAGAGCTGCGGGAGCACTTCGAGGTGCTTGGGTGAGAACCCCCCTCTGAGGAATAGCACGTCTTCGAGATTGTTGTGAATCGTTCCACATCTGAGCCATTTTCTTCATCACGGTCCTCCCTTTCCATGAAGGGCAATTCAAACAAGAACCATTTTACTTGCAGACTGAGAAATCATCAAGCCCATCCGGCTGATTTGGCGCTTTTGTCTGTTCCCCGTTGCGTCAGGCATTCGGAACCGTGTCTGATGCGGTGGTGATGCCCAACTGGCACGTTTTGGAGTTATGAAGTTGCATGCAACTGCTGTAATGAAGCTACCAGTACGTGCAGATTGATACGCTCCCCCAAATCGAGAAGGTACGGACCAATAACTTGACTTTAGAGGTTTCGATGTGGTCTTGCAAGAGCTGCTTGCAACAAATGTTTGCAAGGAGTTCCCGATGGCCTTACGTTGCCAAGACGTCCTTGGAACACCCGCTTGTGGCTCCACATTTGCCACATTGTCGGTCTTTCCATGGATACCAGTTCTGCGCTTTTGGACGAGAAAGGGTTCACGTTTGCCGCGCTGTCGGTCTGCAGGGGTTGGTTGGATGCATGAGGTCTTGCAAAAGCTGCTTGCAACACAGTGTTTGCAAGGAGTTCCCGATGGCCTTACATAGCCAAGATGTCCTTGGTTCACCCGCTTGTGGCTCCACATTTGCCACATTGTCGGTCTTTCCATGGATACCAGTTCTGCGCTTTTGGACGGGTTCACGTTTGCCACGCTGGTGGTCTTTATCGGGATACCAGTTCTGCGTTTTTGGACGAGCAGGGGTTGGTTGGATGCATGAGGTCTGGCAAAAGCTGCTTGCAACATAGTGTTTGCAAGGAGTTCCCGATGGCCTTACATAGCCAAGATGTCCTTGGTTCACCCGCTTGTGGCTCCACATTTGCCACATTGTCGGTCTTTCCATGGATACCAGTTCTGCGCTTTTGGACGGGTTCACGTTTGCCACGCTGGTGGTCTTTATCGGGATACCAGTTCTGCGTTTTTGGACGAGCAGGGGTTGGTTGGATGCATGAGGTCTGGCAAAAGCTGCTTGCAACACAGTGTTTGCAAGGAGTTCCCGATGGCCTTACATAGCCAAGATGTCCTTGGTTCACCCGCTTGTGGCTCCACATTTGCCACATTGTCGGTCTTTCCATGGATACCAGTTCTGCGCTTTTGGACGGGTTCACGTTTGCCACGCTGGTGGTCTTTATAGGGATACCAGTTCTGCGTTTTTGGACGAGCAGGGGTTGGTTGGATGCATGAGGTCTGGCAAAAGCTGCTTGCAACATAGTGTTTGCAAGGAGTTCCGGATGGCCTTACGTAGGCCGCATGTTCTTGGTTCACCCGCTGTTGTCTCCTCATCTGCCACACTGCCAGCTCTGTCAAAGGTAACCTTTGCGAGTGTTCGTCTGAGACTTTCAATCTTCACGCGGCAACACCTTTGGATCAAACAAATTAAATAAAAACAGCATTCCTGCTGAAATCCTGTCCCTGGCAAGATATCCATTGTCATAGTGCCGAACTCTTCAAGTCTTCAAGCCCAAGCACGTGACTGGCATGACAGGATCGATCCGGCGACGAACCGCTCGCGCGGCTTTGGTTTCGTTTGTTTCCTACCGGGCCAGGAGGCACTCACCACTTGCAGGGCGAACTCGCAACTGGAATTGAAGGAGGTTGTTTCAGGTTTCCGCAGCTTCTGCTTCTCCTTGACCCCAGACCCTGAACCCTTCCGGGTAGGAAGCAAAGATTCTGAGCAAAGCCAGGCGCGAACTCGGACACAGGCTCCCTACACCTACAACTCAAGCCCGAAACTTCGCATAAAACTTAGGCCCCAGACCTTAATTTCCAAAGTCCGGAATCGGAATGTGGTTAGTTTAGAAAGTGGTGTGTCTGTTGTGTATGACGATTCCGTTTCCAGCCATGTTTCGCTCTTGTCCGGAGCAGGTTTGAATCTTCCGTTTTTGCCATGCAACCTACTGACCGCCTTAACCGCAGGGGGCTGCCTCTGCTGCGTTTGCCCTGGAACAGAGTCTCGGCTGCATCGTCGTCCCGCATGAAACGAAGATACCGGGACAATGGCCGAGCCAGTTGTAGCGATGAAGGATTGATGGTGAGACCTTATGCCCTCATCTTTATGGTCAAGTCCGCATCTGCAATGGAAATCCGAGGTACGAGCACCATCGGATTCGCGGCAAGTGGATCGAGGTCGGCTGAGCATTTCTTTCATGTCTGTCATGCTTCCACTCATGGCACTCGCGTTGGGACAGTGCAGCTCGTCATGTTCGGATATGTTCAGATGCAAGAGTCTGCAGGGCTTTCTGTGTCACGGTGTCAGCAGCGCTGCCGCAGGTCAAGAGCGCAGCGCCTCCTCACAAGCTGGCCAAGGCGATCGGTCGAAGTTGCCTTAAGATCGACTTGGGGAAAAAATCATCCAGAGAGCATCCAAATTCATCCATGAGTCATGAACCATTGACCATCATTGACCCCTCCTAACTTTCCAGTCACCAAGCCTTGCGCAACCACAAACCATACAAGTTAGATTCCAGCGAGTCCCCAGAGTGCTAGGATGGAGCCGCTTCATCGCCTTCTGCAGCCTCAGAGTCAGGCAATCGACTTGACTTTTCCTAGCGTCCAGTTCTATGGTAAAGCTCCAAGGATGTGAGAACCGGGTGAAGTTGTTGAAGCATCATTTGCAGGGCAATGCCTTCGTAGTCTTTGTAGGAAGACCAGCAGCAATCCGTGGAACCACTAAACTCAGCACGTGAGGTGTGCCTCCTCAACTCTGCCTGTCTTCGCCGGCGGCCTCACCGACTGCCAGCCCGCTGGCCTGCGTCCCAGAATCTCGGCACGGGGCCTCTTAGCTGAGCCGTCTTGGGCCACAGCGGGGATACTGTTCTGCTTTCAGTCGACATTTGCATGTCTTTTTACCGTAGGTCTTCCGCGATTCCACAGACTCACGGATGGCAAATTGGAGCATGGCAGAGTATAACGAAACATGGGCTTTGAGGCCGGGTGAACTAATTTGCGATCATCGTATCACTAACAGCTGTTGAAATTCATAGCTGATGTCATGTGAAGCTTTGGAGGTGTGGGAAAGGTAGGTTAGAAGCAATCATTAGGACACAGCCTAATTGAGGGTTTGAGCACATATAGCCTTCAGCGAGTCTCTAAGGCCGGAAGTCCGCAGTCGGGATCCTCTGCTGTTGGGCCCTTAGCAGTGCCTTAGCAGTGCCTTAGCAGTGCCTTAGCAGTGCCTTAGCAGCCACAGCCCTGACTGGTAGAAGCGCCAGAATGTGCTGGAGTTTGCGCTGTTTCATGCAGACTCTCCTGTGAAGCGTTTGGAGCTTTTGGGTTATGGCTTGGGCTTGCGGCAGAAGGTAGCAAAAGGTCCTGATTCTTCTCCAAGTCCTGGCTTTCTCATGGCCCTCATGGCAAGTGGGACGTTCAATCCAAGCCCCTTTTTTAACGCAGGGGGAGCCTCCTCTACCCTCGTGCCAGTGACAGCAAGGCGACTCCGCAGGTCATGTCGTTGGCGCAGGCGCTGCGCATGCCCATCAAAGGCCAGAGCCCGACGGCAGCGGCCCCAGACTGCGTTGGACTAGGTTGACAATGGGGTTGTGGCTTGGGCTTGGACGCTTGGACTTTTGCTTTCAAATGATCTTCATACATCACGCGAGGCCACGTACCTGCATGAACATTGTGCCGTTGACGATGTGCTTTGAGGCTGGCCCACAGACCCAGGAACGGCCCGTGGTCGGGCTGGCATGTTTGATAAGCTTGCGCCGCTAGGATGGTTGGGCTCTTCCGAACTCTCTGCCGTTTCCATCCTCCCAGGCTTCCCCACAGCATCGCCACCGCAGCGTGCGCAATGTTGGCCTGCCCTCGAAGTCCCTGGAGCCACAAAAGGCAGGGCTTGCAGATGCTTGTAGATGCTTGCAGATTCTTGCAGATGAATGATTCCAAGAGGAGCATACCCATGAGGTCATGCTGCCGGGGGCCGTGGGCAGCCCACCGGGTCTTGGTGCCACAGCTGCGGCCGCCCTGGCTGCCATGTGGCTTGGCTTGGCCTGGGACATTTGTGTAGACTCTTCAAGGCCATCTTTGCCACATTTTGCCACATCTCAGAAGGTCGCCTGTTGCAACGTTGAGGCGCGCGCTGGGTTCGCCCCCTGGTCTGGAGGTCGAGCCTGAGGCCCACGCTTCGCTTACTTCGCTTGGCCTTGCAGGAACTGCCAGCATTCTCTGAGCCCTGCATCACGTTGTGTCCAATGTGGGATGAGCAAAGGGTTTCGGCTTGCTGTTTTTTTCGGCGAGTTTTTTCACGGGTCTTGGCGTGTCTTTTTTCTTTTGTTGGTGACGTAGGTTTAGGCATGCGATTCGGGCGTGTTTTGGAGAGCCATTTGGTGGCTTTGGGTGCACATTCTGGTTTCTTACAAGATCGCCTTGGGCTTGGCCAGGCCGTCGAGAATTTGGAAGAGTCTGACGCCAAGCCACATTGAAACTGCGAGCCACTGCGAGCGCTTCAGGACCACTGTTGCAGCCTCGTAAGCAAGGCCTGCGAGTGGCATGGATGCCACGCCAGTGGCAATCCATGCCACAGACGCCTCCCCGGCTGCCTCGCCAGAGCCGGGCCCTAAGCCCTAAGCAAATGGTCTACAGTCTTGAAAGGGCAGGCTTCGACATCAGGCAGGTGGACATGTCAGACAGCACGCGCACCGGATGTCTTTGGCCGCTCCACGAATGCGGGAGAGTAAGCACCCTGCCCACAAAGACAGTTGGTCAACCCTGTGCACAGGAGCCGGCTGTCGATGTCTCCTGTCGCGGGTGGCGAGTCGGACACAGAGGCTGGGTACTGCAACTGCTTTGCAATGTGAGTGTGCTGCTGACAGCTTTGGCGTATGAGGCCCACAAGCTGGGTGAGCGGCAGCTCTGTCATGATTTGTCGGAGTTTGCTGGACTCAGTGTTACAGGTTGGTGCTTTTGGTATGTCAGGACTGCTCTCAAAAACGGTTTTCAAATTTGCAGCTGATGTCCCCATGCAACGAAAGGCTACGGGTATGTGCAGTGAGGTGCAGAGCAGATGAATCGTTCTTAAAATGTTCACCACCATGGCGCAACAGGGCGCATGGTACTTGTGAGTGTTCCACTGCCTGTTTGGCCTCGGGTCAGGCTTTCTTGGCTACGTAGTGTAGGGGTGATGCATGACGAGTCACTGCGCTTAGACTTCAACTCCAGGAACACGGTCTTCTCCAACAGCTTCGAGTTGCACAGGCCAGTGTGGTTTTCAATGGCCCTGTCTTTGGATCGTGAGTGAGTGGAAAGCTGCGCGAGAGAGTCAACAACTGGCAGCTCCCGAGGAGCTTGGAGCAGCTTATCCGTCTGCGAGCAGAGGGTGCCCGAAGCCAAGAAGCCAAATGGGCAGAAGAATATCGGTTTAAGGATGTTTAAGGAAAGCCTAACTTGAGCTGGCAGGGACACTGGAAGAGGGCAATCCTAGAGTGGCAGCCCAGGCCGAGACCAGTTCACACCGTTAATTCAGGCAGAGCAGACCATGATGCTCCACCCTCAGCAGTTGGGGGCGAGTTGCGGCCGCAACGGCGCAGAGCAGCATATGGGGCCGGGTTTCTTCAGATTTGCCCCAAAAAATTTCCCCATTGCGCCCAGGGCTCCTGCCTCCCGTAGATCGAGCAGGGGCCCCAAGGGTCGAGCTGCGGCTTCGACCACGCAGGCCTGGGCCGGTTATAAGGGTAGTGCAGGAGGTTCAGGGCCTTCGTGCTGCCAGCCTTGGATCAGTGACACACTCTGCCAGCTGTCACATGCTTCGGCCAGCGAGGCTCAGTGAATTGGATGCGGCTGACCTGTGCCCATTGCATGGGCAGCCGAGAACCGTAGCAGAAAGGGCTCCACTTTTGTTGTAGTCCTTGCCTTGCCTGGTCGAAGAGTCGAAGTTGACATAGCAACACGCACGTAATGTGAAAAAGCAGCTGCTATCGCAGTGCAAGGCCTACAGTTGTTACAAGTGACGATAGACTTTGGCCAGTGCACTTTGATGCCCGCACCTTCGGGTGGGCACTTAATTCGTAACAGCTTTGAGAGCAAATCTTGCACGTCGTCAAAGGGGAGATGCCGAGATGGCCCGGACTCCGCGAACACACAGCTCCTAAACCAGCCCTGTTTCGCAGTGGCACTCATCATATAGCTTCATACATGATCTTAAATGGCTACACCATGGTTCACTGGCAAGGTTTTGTTCGGACGAAGCCCTTCAGCCTTCACATTCTTATGCATCCTTGGCGGTGATTGGACGCTAATTCCCCTCTGTCGTTTCGGTCAGGCCAAGATCGCTAGGGCCAGGGAGGTGCCACCACCCGAACTGCACCGGTGATGCTGCATGTGTCATCCTGCCGACCTGTTCTCGCAGAGGAGCGAGACGCAGCTTGTAGCGCATAAGGAGCAAGCTGGCACTTTCTTGGTGCTGAGAGCGCGAAGAAACACCTTCGCTTTCGTGCAACGCCGCCAAACGGCTTCTGCACAGTAGTTTGCAGATGCAGGTTTTCTGCATCACTAGCTGGAGCAAGTCAAATTCATGCAAGACACCAGTCTTGAAGAATGACAACATGCTCCTGTAGGTGTGTTAATTGATCAGCGAGGCAGATGAAGCAAGAGCAGCTGCCTGCTCCCCGATTGGCCGATGGAGTTCCTGCCACAGTCTACTGAGCACTCTGTTTTCTGTACAGGCTGCGCCTTCAGAATGGTTTGCATTGGCATGTTGAACCTCGTGGGTTTGCCTGACAGTGGCTACTCCAATATGCATTTCGACCATCAGCCCGTTCAAGTACAGCTCTTCGTGTCTTCGTGGCAGCTGAGCTCCACACGAGGAGATCTGTTGTTGAACTCGGATATTTCCCGGCCTTTTGGTGCCGAATGTCTCACTGTTCAGTCAGACTCGATGGCCATGTCCTTGCCTTGGTGGTTTGAGTATCTTCAGGCCAGGGGGAGGCTCCTCAGTCTAATCTTAGATGCTTTGCCTTTCAAGAGGCGTCCAGTCTGTCTGCTGCTCAAGGCAGTACTGCATTAGGCCTGGTGATGCAACACACTCTGAGGAGTGGTAGCTGGCGGAATGAGTCGAGTTGGTTTAGTTGAACATACGGGTGACCGCAAAGAATCTCCGTCAGCGATGACCCTCGTTATGGCTGTTGCCAAGGTCTTGTTGCACCTGGGTGTCCTTTGTTTAGACTCTGTTGCTTCAGTTTGCTTCGCTCGCGTGCCGATCTCATGGTCCAGATCTCAGACTTGTGGAATTTGAAAGCGTGGCAGCATGTGTGGCAGCACGTGGCAGCACGTGGTAGCTTCTCAAGCAGCTGTCGACATATCCATGAATCTGTTGGTAGGCTTTTCAGGGTCGCCGGACCCTCCGAAACACGATCCAGTTCCAACTGTCTCAGGAAATGACGCCGTGCGCGAGTCCAGGGAGAGATTTCCGAGAGTGTGGAAAAAACCTCGACAGCAGAGAGCGTGCTGTTGCGGAGGGCGCAAGGTTTCTGCATTGTTGAATGGGCGTGAATGGGCTTCTTCCCTACTTGAGGAATTGGCCCGAATCAAGGACGAAGCAGCTCTGGATTGCAAGCGCAGGAATCAATCTGAGCCGTGGAGAGATGCTCCGAAACAAGCGGCATGACTTCGCTGGTCGTTGGTCCTGCAGCCCTGATTAGTTGAGATGGTAGAAACAGAAACAAGCAGCAGGCGAACGGACAGCTCCAGCGCTATGACTTTAGTCTCCCGGAGCGGTGCACTTAAAGACGCTCGGGCAAAATAATTCGTAGCGGCCGCCCCAGATCCGAACACGGAAGACGCACCTGGCAAATGCACACCAAGTGACCCTGAGATCACAGAAATGAAACATCATGACAGTCCTGAAGTAATCCAATAGTTAAAAGCCAGTGCTAGGTCTCTCTAGAACCCCGACTAGTCGCCAAATAATCGCCTCAAAGCGCCATGCCGCGGAAGAACACAGCCCCGAGCCGAGTGAGGAGAGTCGTACTTTGGAAAGGTATCTAGAAGGCGTAGAAGTATGACGCAGTGCTGTTGCAGGCCAGGCTTTTTGTGCAGTGGGCCCCAGCAGTCCCAGCTGCAAAGCACCTGTTCGGGATGAGAGAACCCCGAAGCCCAAATGCGTCTGTAGCTGACGGTGTCGTGCGGGCATGTGGCTCGGAGGCGTGTGTAGGATCCGTGGTTGTTTTGCGCAGCCTTCACATCTCTTACACCTCTCTGAAAGATGCCTGTCGGTGGGGCCCCCAGTCTGGAAGCTTAGCGAAGAAGCTCATTCCGGTAGGACAGGGTATGGGTCGAGGGTGGTCGAGGCTGTTACAGGTGCCTCGCTCATGGGAGGGCCCGGCAACGGATTTCAAGGGCGCTCCTTGCGAAATGCACTTGCGAAGCCGGAAACTTTTTCTTCAAAACAAACCTCGCCTGACCTGACCCCCGAAAAGATGTTGCACATGCCTGTGCAGCCGGCAAACTTGTGGGCGGGGCATATCTGACGAGGGTGCAACAGTGCAACATGCAATGAGCATTCATGTTTTGAAACCCCAGTCCATGGCAGCACTGCCTGGCAATACTCAGCGTTGCAGCGCTCTGCATTGCAGCAGGCAGGGGGATGCCATTTGCCAGACCGATCCCTTGCAGGTCTTGGAATCAATGGCTTTGGCCGCATTGGTCGTCTGGTGTTCCGAGCTGCTATGGCCAATCCGGACGTCGAGCTGAAGGTCTGTTGTGCGATGATGTGCGATGTGCGGGGAGGGGCTTGTTCTCCCCCGTAGAGGCCTCACACAAGCCTGAGTGCAGGCCATCAATGACCCCTTCATGGACCTGAAGTACATGGCTACTTGTATGCAAGCCTACCTTGATAGGTTCTTGTGTCCAGGGCTGCCAAATGCGGGTTGCAGATGGACAGCTGCCAAGGTCTACCAGCTCAAGTATGACAGCGTCCACAAGACCTTCAACGGAACGGCGCCCTGGCGTAAGTCTCGAATATCTCTAGAAGCTGAGCCAAGTCCGTTGCCGCTCGAAGGCCGACAAGATCACACAAAATTACGTAGCCTGTGTGCAGCTGCTCATCCAGGTAGCATGCAAGGAGGATGGCGGCAAGGAGTATCTGGTGCCTCGGTCTGTGGCCGTTCACACTGCTGATGCAGAGATGGCTGTTTCATTGTTGAGTTGGCGCTGCCACTTGTGTCATGCCATGGTGTCTACGCAGTGTGATGGCGAAACCTGAGCATGTCCGGAAGAGGGCTCTGATGTTCTTGTGTCACCTGTCCTCTTGAGGGGTGGCACTGGAAATTGCGGTAACCAAAGTGTCTGTTTTGTGACACTGAGCTTGTGCAGAGAGGAGGGGAGGCATTTGGCCACGAGCAACCGTTTCCCGTCATTCCAACCAGCTGCAAGGTAGTAAACGGAAAGGACATCCAGGTGTTCCACGAGAAGGCACAGCCTTTCATCTCAGAGTTTCGTCTTGGACCGGGCGCGGGGTCCCGCAAGTTGAGACAACAGCACACCTTGAAGAGAGCACAACGTAGCACAACCAGAGAAGAAGGAAAGCAGCCAGCGCCCGGGCGTGCTTAACCATGATGAACCACAGGAGCCAAAGGAGATCAAGTGGGGCGAGTCGGGTGCCGCCTACGTGTGCGAATCCACAGGCCTCCGAAGTGAGCTCTGACCGCCATGTTTTCACCTGAAAGCCTTGAGCCTCCGAGTCGATGAGGCATCTTCACCACAAAGGAGAAGGCTGAGTTGCACCTGCAGGGGGGTGCGAAGAAGGTGATCATCTCGGCTCCGCCCAAGGACAGCGTAGCGCAAAGCTGCCAAGGAGAGTCCATATCGTGGCCAGTAGGGTCAGTAGGGAGGCTGCCTCGTCGATGATCCAGCTTTGCTCTGTGAAGGATGACGTTCCCATGTATGTGGTGGGCGTCAACCACACTGAGTACAAGTCCACTGACACTGTCGTGGCTTGGCATCCAGATGTCAACCTGTTTTGTGCTGTCAAAAAGCAGAGGAGGTTCTTGCAGTTACGGATGTTATGAGCAAAGATCCGTACAGACAAGAAAAAAACAGCAAAAGCAGCACAGAAATGTACAGAAGCCAAGCGCCTCCTCTGTCACGACAGCTAGCCCCCAGGGCCCAATCCCCACAAGGCTTGCCTTTCAACTACTTGAAAGGGCGCTTAGCTCAAGCGGTTTTTAGGTGAAATGCAAGCCTTCTTGCCTTGACGATACCGATTTCCCCCCCTCCATCCCCCACAAGTGGGACGGTGAATGATGACCCTTTGGGCCTGGAAGGTTTCCAATGCCTCCTGCACGACGAACTGCCTGGCCCCACTCACCAAAGTCGTCCACGAGAAGTTCGGCATCATTGAGGAGCTTCAACATCCACCCCCAAAAAAGCCCCCCCACAAAGCGCCCCCCCCAAAAGCCCCCAAACAGCCCCCAAAAAGCCCCCAAAAGCCCAAAAGCACCCACAAAGCCCAAATAGCCGGAGCTTGGAAGCTCAAGCGGCCTCTCTCTTCTTCAGGGCTTGATGACAACGGTCCACGCGATGACGGCAACCCAGCTCACCGTGGATGGTCCTTCGCGCGGTGGAAAGGCCAGGGACTTGAGAATAGCGCAAAGACTCACTATGCAGACTGTACATTTGTTCACTTTGACATGGAATATTGAGACATATTGAGACTGTCGAGCTTCAGGGCATCGTAGGGAAAAGGCTTTAATATGAAAGGTCAAGTGATCTGAGGTGTCGCGTACTGCTGAGAGGGCAGGCTTTATAGCAGTGTAGCTCTTGGTGTCGCTAGTTGGGGGCTTATTATATGAATGAGCAGGACTGGCGCGGAGGCCGCTGCGCATCGCAGATGCACAGCTGCATTCACGATTCAAGCTTCAGGTTGAGATCACGCGAGGCTTTGACAGCGGAGGGCCTGGCTTCTGAGAAAGTAGGTGATCGAACAGATATCACAACAACACGAACACAGTAGTTATCGCAATCTTGAGCATGCTAGCCGTCATGATCGTCGTCGTCATCGTCGGTGTGTAGTTGTTGCCATCCTCTGCAGCATCGTCACCGTCATCGTCATCCAAGGAACATCATCCCTTCTGCGACGGGTGCTGCCAAAGCCGTGGGCAAGGTGGGCTCGGCATGAACCAGCACGGGCATGCCGACATTTGTCTGCTCCCCGTGGCAGAGAAGTCCAGGTTATCCCGGCCATGAACAAGAAGCTTACCGGTTGCTCAGCAACAACTGATCCTTCGTGTCCTTTCACCTCAATTTGTCAAGCTTTCGTACCTTGCAACGATTTGCATACAGGAATGGCCTTCCGCGTGCCCACCCCCAATGTTTCGGTGGTTGACCTGACCGTCCGTCTGGAGAAACCAGCCAAGTACGAGGACTGTATAAGACTGTTCAGCATACATAGTCTTGCTTGGTTTGGAGATCGTTGAGGCCGCGCATGCAGCCTCCAGCAGTTGGATTCGGGCGGCCCAACCTCCCTTTGTGAGGAAATCGTTGCGGCGATTAAGGACGCCGCCAATGGCCCCATGAAGGGTGTCCTTGACTGGACGGACGAGGCAGCTTGCGAAACATGCCACAGTTCATTTCATAACGCGGACATGTCAGAGATTTTCAGGAAGTCGTGTCCACCGACTTCGTCACATGCAAATCCTCGTCTATCTTCGACGTGGCTGCTCCTTGACTTCAACAGTGGGTACTTTGCATGGCTGTTGAATAGTCGAATGCCCGAACTGTTGGTGGTGAGGCTGGCATCTCGCTCAACGACAACTTCGTGAAGCTTGTCAGCTGGTCACTCGGCAGCAAGCCCAGCAAGCCGAGCTGGTCTAGTAAACCGAAGCTCCGAATCTCATCAGATCCAGGCGTCACGCATCCAAAGCCCTTTCATACTCATATATATATATATATATGTATATATATATATATAATATCATGGAAACATATATATATATATGTACATATATATATATATATATACACATATATATATATATAGTGCAGGTACGACAACGAGTGGGGCTACTCCAATCGCCTCGTGGAGCTGGCGGTGCACATGGCCAAGGTCGATGGCTGAGGCCAGCTTTGGGACATGGTTGGGTTCGCCGCTAACACACCAACCCTATCATCCTATCATACACAGGTATATATATATATATACAATATAGTATAGTATGATAATGATATATGTATGTATACACATATATATATATATATATGTACATGTAATTCATAAATACATAAAAAGAAAAGATATATATATATATATATATTGTTAGAGCACCTGTTTCTTTCAGGAAGACATTGTGATCCTCCACCGCCACACAACTGTTTGCACCTCTTGAATGGGTTCGCTGCTCCTGCAATGGACGAGGAGGGCGACTTTCACTCATCATCGCTTTTCACGATGGCAGACACTTGGGGTGCTGGCATGCAGCTGACAAAAATCTTCAAGTTCGCACTAGTTCGCATGTGGTGATAAGACTCGTGTTTTTGGGCGCCAACCCCCAAGTCTGCCTGAAGAGAAATGCTGGACTGAAGAAAAGAACAGCAGCCTCGGCAACCACTGACAGACATTCGGGTGTTCGTGGAGAACATTCCTCCATCCATCTTGAGCTAGCACTAAGGCTACCAGGTCCGCCCTTTCTCACCTCAGCCCTTGCACCGAGGTCAAGGCAAAGCCTCTTGACGAACTCGAACCTCCGCCACCGGGTTATGAGGATGATGGGCAACCATGCACCTGCTCACTCCGAGCCACTTGAAGCCAAGAGTCGAGTCCAGGATCAGTTCGAGGGCCTGCGATCTGCCGCCCGTGCGGAGCTTGCCAAGATGGCGAGGTGGAGTGCGGAGTGGGTTTGCGTTTTTTTCTTTGCGGGATTTGAGCACTTTTGGTGTGGTTATAAGCTGCCTCGGCTCTGCTTTCTTTGGGCTCAAGAGAACGGGAGAGGCACATGCTGCAAAAAGTAGTAGGGCTTAGCAAGGCATCGGAGTTTTCTGAGTTTTCTGAGGCTCAGCTGAGGTGTAAGAGGTAAAGCATGTAAGAAGCTTCGAGAGGGCCGTGGCAAGCTGCCGGCGGTACGTGATCCCCCGCGAAGCTTTTCAAATCAGCGCTTTGTAGACTTGGTAGCCAATATATACCATTATACGGTCACATCCGACAAGTAGCAGCAACATCTGGAGACATGGTGGTGCTGCATCTTCTCTGCTACTACATAGCCGTGGCTCGGCTGCGGGCCCCTTTTTTTGTTGCGAGAGTGGGCAAGCTTGAGAGTGCTGCTGTTCCGCAGCAGGCCGACTTTCACATATCACGAGCGTTCGCTTTGAGACGGGGCTCAATGCCACCCGTGCAGTCTCTGTAGTCTCCGGCACAAGACGCAACCGAAAGCAGATCTCGCCCAAGACTGTTGATGGCTGTCAGAAGAGAATCGTACTGCAGCACTTGCAGCAGCATCTGCTTCAGGCCTTCCTGCAAGAAGAGAAGCTTCTGGCGGCCCTGAGAACAGGTGGCTTCCGGCATGTGTGGCAACACTCCCGCCTCTGCAGCCTGGAGTTCTTTGTGCTGCAGCCTGGCGTTCAGCGCATCCTTCGTTCGCTGAAGGCTCGACGCTGCTCCCGATGGCTTTCCCACCCAAGCTCTCAAAGCAAGGTACTACCCTTGGATCGCCTATTTCTTCTGCAGCTGGCTACCTCAGGCGCGGGCAGTGGGGAAGCAAGGAAGTGCCTGAAACTGGGATCAACACGCCAAGCGCCTCAAACTTCTCAAACCCTAAACGCTGACGCTGAAGCCCGAAATCCCCGAATCTGTGCAAAACCCTACGGCCCCATCCAACTCGGCGCTTGGCTGGAGGCGGCTGGGGAGCTCCGGCGAATCTGCATTTACTCACAGCCTTGTCGGACGTACCTGTCGAAGAGGCCTGTTGTGTTTTGTGAAGGGAGGGTGGCTTTCGGGGGCTGTGGGAAGGCTTCTCCGGCTTCTGAGTTTGTCCGAGACAGCTTGGATAGCATGCCTCCCCACGATTTCAAGGTTTCAGGGTGCGGGGTGCTTTAGGCAATCCAAACCTTTGTAAGGAGGGCATGGATGGGCTGGACCCAAGATGGGCTGTATCCATTCCCCTTGATCGACAATGGCGAGATCCAATGGCGCGACTTTCGCGACTCACTGCCGCTCCTGGCACCCGCGGCCGTGGTTACCGTGCCTTGCAAGTGAAGCTATAGGTCCGCTAGGGATGTAAGAGGATGTATAATGTATTCGATCGGAGCAGAATGCCTCTTCAGTCTTAAGGTGGCAATTCAGCAACTGGCAGCTCGGATGACGGCCAACAAGTACAGCAACGTCACGGTGCGCGCAGCTTTGGGAGGCTGCTTTCTGCTTGTCCTACACGGACTGGGCTCTTTCTTCGTGCTGTTGCACGCATGGCTTTTCTACACTTTGGCCAGAATGCTAGCTGGCAAGGCCATTCTCGTTCCAATGGTCTGGGGAGCTGCGGCAGTGTGTATTGTGGTCACCGACAAGCGGATGTTGCCAGAAGACTCCACACACTTTGGAACATTGCTGGGTCCCAGTGCAGCATTTCTGGATGCAGAGCCCTTTTGTGGCATCTACCATTGGTCGCATTCCGTGAAGCTGATGCTGCTCCGCTCCATGAGCTTCGTTTTCGACTGGCACCGTGCACTCTGTTCAGGAGCTTGGGGGAGTAGTCTTGATGTCATCACGTCGGGCATTCCAGACTGAACCATGATGGAACCCGAAGATGCCCATTGTGATGCCATGGCATGCCATGGCGTTCAGCTGGTTTGTTTGAGTGTCTTGGTGCCTTCCCTGCAGGGCGCCCTGGCTCAGAGAGCAGGTATACGTTCCTGAACTCACTGGCACATCTGCTGTACGCCCCAACCTTCTTGACAGGCCGGGAGGGGGTGCTGACTTTTTGGGGGAACGCACCAGAGGTGCACATACTTCGACCAACAAGCACAGGGGCATCAGGCCAAAGCCCGACGGAAGCAGCACATCTGAACTCTACACAGCGACACGACAGCCCAAAAAGAGGAGCAAGTGAGCCCAAGTCGTTGCGGCAACACACGACGAACAAATCAGTTCAAAGGGTGGCAGTCAGGCGGGGCACCGGGAATAACTGACTGCTCAAGAGGCCGGCAGATGAATCGTTCAGGTCCTGTCATCACCTTTGACGACTTCATGGACCAGTGCCACACTGCGAAGCCTCTGGGGTGGGCCTTGCTCTGGCCCCGTGGCAGCCGGATCATGTTTGGCTGCTGCATGCCTGATGCCGAGTCGTCGGAAAATGCTCGGAGTTGAGGTATCTGCTGCTGCTTGTAGCAGCCTTGGCCATGACAGCAGCGAATCCGCACTATGTTGAGGGTTCTGGCAGAAATCGGCCCAGTCATCGAAGAGCTAAGCGGCCAAACGGACAAGCGGCCAAGCGGCTGAGCAGCTAAGCTCGTTGGGTCTGCAGCAGAAGGATGAATCTTCGGTCTCTTCCAGGTTCAGAATCTTTAGCTTGGACTGCACCATGTCCCAAACTCAGTGCCCTCTTGAAGCATGTGTACTCGTATCATGTGCATCCCAGGAGACGGCATGGCATCTCCACTTTGTCTTTGCCATGGCGCGAGTGGACCTGCTGCAGGACCTGTGAAGTCAAGGAATCCGGTTCAGAGCCGTGCGAGTATTATGATTTTAACGACTGCTTTTGCCGGAGGAGTTGCCGCCGCGACTGGCGGCGACAGCGGTGTTTCTGACGCTGCAGCTTGTTTGCCCAGAGGTCTTGAGTTCTGGACTGTGACAGCGAAGCCTGAGCATGAGTGGAGACGGCTTCGGGATAGGAGTCCCAGTAGCACAGCCCGCCATGATGCCATATCCTCATGGCGAGTAGCGTACTGCTCTCCAAAAGTCACGGCAACCGAGCATCCTGGGGGGGGTCCAGGGGGTCGGCCCGCCCTCGTGCGCTTTTGGGCTTTGCCATTTCTGTGCAAATGAACGCCCCCTTTTTTGTGTACCACCCCGAACCTTTTAGTCTGAAGTCCTTCGGCTTAGGGCCCAGGATTCGTTTGCGGAGTTGAAGTTGCACCGTCGGCTTGGGAGGCTTGAGCGACAAGCCTTGGGAAACGATTGGTACGTAAGCTTAGCTGAGACCCCCCTCACATAAAGAACGTTCAGGGAATGCGATTCGGGGCTCTTGGCTTTCTTTTGATTGTTCTGAGTGAATCCTATTATACGGGGTAATCTGGCTCAGGGTGCGGGTGCGATCTCCGACAAAGCATGGGAGGAAGACAGCGATCTCAAAAGGGCACTTGCTGCCTGATCCAGTCGTTCCAGTCGTCAAACTCTGTTTTTGCAGCTATGCCATGCGCGACGTGAGCCGATTTTTTAATGCGTGCGTGGCTGCTTCAAGCACGTGCTGTCGCAGGGGCGTGCACTTGGGCATTTGCGGAGTGTGGGGTGCTTTTTGCCTTGTGCATGGTTGGGGTACCGTATACTGGCACATTGAGCTGGGCTGCTTTTTGCCGGGATGGTGTGCCTTTGGGCGCCCAGGAGGAGAGCGGCGCGCATGTGTCATAGCAGGTTGCCGGAGAGTTTTACCCCCATCCTCGGTGTGGGGTTGTTAGACTAAAAAACTAAACTAAACTCTCCCGCCCGCCCGGTCTGCTCCTCCCCCCTCACCGTATCCCACCCCAGAGTATCCCCAGAGAGTCCCTGGAGAACCCAACTCCAAAGTCCTTGCCTGCGGGGTGGGGATGTTCGAAGTACATGATGCTTGGCGCTCAGCCGCTAAGGAACATGATGTGGCTCAAGTTCCTCTGCATGTGGAGGTTTGGCCGAGCCGCTCGGTGACAAACTGCAAACCGGCTGCCTCAAACATCTTGGATCCCTCGAAGCTCAAGAGGCTCAACAGAGCTAGTACAGAGCTACCTGGCCAAGGCTTGGGCCATGGCAGATGGCATCGACGTGCCAGAGAACATGCAGCGCTGCATGTGCAACAACTTCTCATTGATGGGATTCTGGAGAGGCTGGCACGCCTCCTTCAATCGCTGGCTGGTAAAGTACCTGTGCCCAGGCAGGCCTTAAGAGATTTTGCTCTGCTAGTCGTCAAGATTAGAAAGAGACAGAACGAGGGCGCGAATGCGAGGAGGCTGACCTTGATGTCAACACAGGTACGTTCCACTGGGTGGAGCGCGACGAAAGATCACAGCATCAGCCGCCACCTTCCTGTTTGTCGCAGCCTGGCATGACCTTGAGGCCGGGTGGGGATCAGTTGTAAGTTATAACACCCGTCGGAAAGGAAGCACATTGAAGTGACATTGAAGTGCAGGGTTCGGGGTATCACGACACAGCAAGAGCCGCCAATGATGCCACTGCCAGTTGAAGCTTATGGCCTGGGGGCTACTCAATGTGGGCTTTCTGTGGTTGGAGGCTCGGCCGCTCCGCTGTCGAACCTCATTTTTTCAGTGTTTTTTCAGGTGGCACAGGTAGGGATGAGCAGGGCACGGCTTGCGATCAGTCAAGATTGATCTTTGGCTGTGGAGTGGCTTGATCTTGATGCACAACATGCCACCAGCACATGGTGCGCTGACCGCCTTGCTCTGATCCATGAAGCTCCAAACCAGACGCATGCCGCATGACCCTTTCAGGGCGCTGCCACTGCCGCCTTCCCTGGGCGGAAGCCACGTGCAGTGCTTGGCCTGGCAGGCAGGGCCCAGGAAAACGGGATTAAGCGGTCACCGCAGGATTCTGGAGCTCGGGGCTTTGGGAGAGCTGGAAGGTTGGCGGAGGATTCTGAAGGAAGAGTCTTTTTCATCTGTGCCCCACCCCCATCATGCAAAGATGGTTTTTTTGGCAGCAATTAAGGGTAGGGGATCCCGCAAATTTTGGGGAAGCCTTGGGGGGGGGGTCCTGGGCAGCGTGGGATATTCTTGGGCGGTCTCTTCGAAGCATCTTGACAGCCTTGGAATTTCTGTGAGTAGGCGGGGATGGCGGCATGTAGGGTTCGGGGCTCCAACACGACTCAGACCCAGTTAGCAGCTCAAAGTTACAACTCTTGCGAGTCGGCAACTGTAAGGTAAGGGCCATGCTTCTTTAGCAGACCAGCTGACGATGCGCTTATGAAACATCCATCGTCCCCTGTAGACGCCGCTTTTCTCTTTCCACCAAAGGCAGTACATACATCCTTGTCTTGATGACGGTCAACTTGATGCTGGGCTTCGTTCCGAGAGAGTTCTGGTGAGCTTAGCATGATGTCCTTTAGCGCTGCGGGGGAGGGCTTGGAACTCACACGAGCGCTGTTCCTCTGACTGGCGAACAATCCTGACTGCTGCCAACTTCAGAGCGCTGAAGCTCCCCGAACCCGGTTGAGTGAATTGTGGTGCCCCATACCTTGAAACCGTTCACGGCCCCAGCAGCGGAGCTGGGCGCAAATGGCTTGTATTGTCCCAGAACCTCCTCAAACCTCCTCAAACCTCCCCAAGCCCTAAAGAGCAGAGGATTGGCTACTCCACTGGCCTGGATGGCTTTGCAGCGCTGCTCCCGGCAATGGCGCAGTGGCAGGAGGCTGTGCGTGCCAAGGTTTTTGCGGCGGCTTTGAAGGTTTGAGGGGGTTTTCGGTTTTGTTTTCGTCTCTCTTTGGGATGTAAGTGAAAGGGTTGGATCGAATGTTGGGAGCGCGCTTGCGTGCGTGTGCTTTTGCGCGCACTGTTGTGTGCGCTGTTGCTTGCGTTTGCTTGCGTATGCTTTTGCGTGTGATTGCGTGCGTTCGCTTGCGTGCGCGCTTGCTTGTGTGCACTGGCGTGCGTGCGCTTGCGTGTGTGCACGCGCGCGTGTGTGCTTGTGGCGCGGCATGGTTGCTTGCGTGCCCGCTCGTCTTTGGTGGTGCTGGGATTTAGTTCCCTCAGCCCTCAACTCCAAGACTGCCTGGCAGGCGCTCTGGGTGCTGGCGGGGGCCTATGTGACTCTCTTCTGTGGCATCCAGGTTCACTGGCTAAGTACAGTATTCATGGCAATGTCCACGCCAAGCTGGAAACCGAGTTTTTTTCAGGAAGACACAGCAGAATCCGCAGAATGTCTAAACTTCACTGGAGGTCATGTTGGAGCTGCGGAAGTTGGATGGGACAACAGCGCAAGAGGTCGCTTGATGCAATACTGATGCAATCATGTTTCAAGACAGCCTCTGGTATGAGAGGTGGATATATGATGTGCTTTCTCGTTGGTCAGGTCTGTGAAGACAAGGTTGAAGCACTTTTTCTGAGCATGGCGGTATCACTCTCATGCTATAAGCTGGTTCTGAGATTCTTGCCGAGGCATTGACAGACACTAAGAAGGACTCATGAGCCGGACGTCTTCAGCCAAGAGGAGTTGCTTGCCTTCGTACACCCTCCTACACCGACAGCCCGAACTGCCACGAACGGGGCGGGAGTGGGGAAGCATCTCCGCCCAGTGATTCCACTTGTTGGAAGCACGCAAATGGCCACAGCAACCTCGACATTCCGAAGACCAAGAGAATGAAGACGGAGAGCGTGGAGGAGTGGAGAGGCAGTTGCCCGGGTAGCCCGAGGCGGTTGCCCGAGGCGGTTGCCCGAGGCGGTTGTTGCCCGAGGCGGTTGTTGCCCGAGGCGGTTGCCCGAGGCGGTTGCCCGAGGCGGTTGCCCGAGGCGGTTGCCCGAGGCGGTTGCCCGAGGCGGTTGCCCGAGGCAGTCGCCCGAGGCAGTCGCCCGAGGCAGTCGCCCGAGGCAGTCGCCCGAGGCAGTCGCCCGACCGAGGCAGTCGCCCGAGGCAGTCGCCCGAGGCAGTCGCCCGAGGCAGTCGCCCGAGGCAGTCGCCCGAGGCAGTCGCCCGAGGCAGTCGCCCCAGGCTGTCGCCCGCGGCTGTCGTGCGCGGCTGTCGCCTGATCCTGTCGCGCGAGGCTGTCGCCCGAGGCTGTCGCGCGAGGCTGCCCGAGGCTGTCGCCCGAGGCTGTCGCCCGAGGCTGTCGCCCGAGGCAGTCGCTCGAGGCAGTCGCTCGACGTCGAGGCTGTCGCCCGCGGCTGTCGCCCGAGGCTGTCGCCCGAGGCTGTCGCCCGAGGCTGTCGCCCGAGGCTGTCGCCCGAGGCTGTCGCCCGAGGCTGTCGCCCGAGGCTGTCGCCCGAGGCTGTCGCCCGCGGCTGTCGCCCGAGGCTGTCGCCCGAGGCTGTCGCCCGAGGCTGTCGCCCGAGGCTGTCGCCCGAGGCTGTCGCCCGAGGCTGTCGCCCGAGGCTGTCGCCCGAGGCTGTCGCCCGAGGCTGTCGCCCGCGGCTGTCGCCCGAGGCTGTCGCCCGAGGCTGTCGCCCGAGGCTGTCGCCCGAGGCTGTCGCCCGAGGCTGTCGCCCGAGGCTGTCGCCCGAGGCTGTCGCCCGCGGCTGTCGCCCGAGGCTGTCGCCCGAGGCTGTCGCCCGAGGCTGTCGCCCGAGGCTGTCGCCCGAGGCTGTCGCCCGAGGCTGTCGCCCGAGGCTGTCGCCCGAGGCTGTCGCCCGAGGCTGTCGCCCGAGGCTGTCGCCCGAGGCTGTCGCCCGAGGCTGTCGCCCGCGGCTGTCGCCCGAGGCTGTCGCCCGAGGCTGTCGCCCGAGGCTGTCGCCCGAGGCTGTCGCCCGAGGCTGTCGCCCGAGGCTGTCGCCCGAGGCTGTCGCCCGAGGCTGTCGCCCGAGGCTGTCGCCCGAGGCTGTCGCCCGAGGCTGTCGCCCGAGGCAGTCGCCCGAGGCAGTCGCCCGAGGCAGTCGCCCGAGGCAGTCGCCCGAGCCAGTCGTCCAAGGCAGTCGCCTGAGGCAGTCGCCCGAGGCAGTCGCCCGAGGCAGTCGCCCGTGCAGTCTTGGCGCTCCACTTCAGCATCGCGCATCGGGTGGCATGACTGTTAGTTCAACGAGCTGGATTCCGAGTATGTGTGCTACAAGTCCTGGATAAGAGCCTCTTCAGTGGAATGAGATGGGGCGTTCAAGAAGTAACGCAGCTGAAGCAGAAACAAAAAGGAAGTTCCTGATTGTTGTCGAACACCGCAACCTTTCATTGAAGCAAGCACGGGACATGGTACCTGCTTTGTGAGTCTTTTATGGTCGCCCCGAATAATTTGTGCAACAGCTTTCGCTGTGATACTCACAATAAGAACACTCAGCAAGCCCCATGACACACCTTGAATGCCCCCTCCCTCCTTCGCCTTTACGGAATTTTTGAACCCTTTGGGACCCAAGAATTCGTCTAGGGCGGGCAGGCGAAGGACTCGGCGCGCGAATTCCTGCTAAGAATGCACCGGTGCAGGAGCCACCATAATGACCTAGGACCTAGGCAATCCACGCGTAGTTTCCGACAAACCCACAGAGGCTGCCTTGAGCTCCTTAAACCCTGCAGCCCCTCAACCAGCGGGTTCTAAAGAACCTGCAAAGGGATCTCGGGCTGCCTGCGGACGGCACGCAGCAGCAGATGGCGAGGGCCCGAGGGGTTCCAGGTGTTGATTTGACGGAGGGTTGAGGTCACTTGGTTCGGGGTCGCTATGAAAATGCACTTCCTTTTTCAGCCCTTCTCGGAAGGTTCCTAGTACCCCCGCAAACATCAAACATCCGCAAACATCTGCAAACTGTAAGCACCTGCAAATCCTGAAGCCGCACGCGTGGCATTCTGCATGTCCGGGATTTCAGCTCCGCGGCGCAGCTTGGCCCTTTTGCTGGGGCTCCGCAGTGTGGTTTGACAAGTGGCATTCTGGCGAGTTTATCGAGCCTCCAAAGTTAAACAAGACGCCCTGGCCTTGTGTATAGCAACCTCTGATCATACAACCCCCCTTTAAAAGGAAGGACCTCCAAAGAAACAACTTCCTAGTCGACGCTTGCAGCTCGACTTCCTGAAAGCTTGGCCGCGATGGCTCCTGAGAAATCGCTGGTCGCGCTGTGCCGATGGCGCGCCCAACGCGGCAAACTGCTTCATTGGAGAGCGCAGGTCGGAGTTTGTCAGTTTGGACTTCTTGGTCTGGGGGACTTCTGGGGGTCATGAAACTCTGAAGAGGCTTTTGCTAGCGATCGGAAGCCATCGCCAAGCAGGCTCCTTGGAAGAAGACAGAGCAATTGCTTGGAAGGCGAGCTAGGCGAGTCTCAGGCGTGCAGGCACCCGCATGCCCCCAAACAGGAGACATATGCAATGGGATCCTGCTGCTAGCTAAATCTTTAGCTGTCGGCCACCCTCATCGCACATACCCTCCCGCCGCACAGTTTCCAGCTTCCGATTCTTCCAATCCTGCTTGCTGGCAGCGCCGGTGCTTGTGTTGCGGCCTCGCGTGCTTTCCGGGTCTTCCTGGGCCCTGGGCTTCATATGCCTGGCCAGAGCCCTGAGGTCGTGGGCTTCGACTACTTCAACAGGCGCGCGGATGAATGGCCAGGGCATGGGCTCAACGCCCAGAGCAGTTGTCATGACCACGACTGACCATTGAAGGCAGAAGACCCCCTACGAAAGGATGCTGCAAAAGAAGGACGAGGCTTCTCGGCTTCTTTTCGCAGGCTCAAGCTGCATCCGTGATGTGGTCTAAGCAAAAAGGAGTGGAGGGAGCGCCTTGCCGAGCTCAAGGAGTTCTACGCGCAGGAGAGATGTTTGTAGCACAAAGGAGAAATGGGCGGGAGGAGTGCGGGAAGTGTGATGGTGTGATGTACTCAGAGGATGCTCTGCCAGGATCCTGAGAAGAAAGATCCGCCGGCGGCTTACCGGTCGTGCAAGTTCCACGTGGCATTTTGACGGTGCCTGGACTTCTTCGGTCTAGGCCAAGTGGGACTGCGCTGGGACACTTCGTCCGAGTCAACCGGAACAGCCGATTGCTGCCCATTGGCCTACCCGCCTGGAAGGCTGGTGGGTTCCTTGAGGGATGCGCAGCTGAAGCAGGAGAGGTATGGGGAGAGGTATGGAGAGGTTTAGGGCTTCATGATCCGGGCTCTCCACGATGTATTTTCAGTTCTCTGGGCCTCAGATTTCCAAGGGTGGTCGTGTGAAATGCAGTCCAAGGCCAATTCTACGTGTTGTGTCCAGGTGTTGCAGTGATCCTTGTGGCTCAGCATTTTCTTCGTGAGCTGTGAGTCTGAGAGTTTGCCAGGTTCAAGAGTTGGAGGCTGTGGACGGCTGGAGATGGGAGTAATAGCCTGTCGAGGGAAAAAAGGGCTGCCCGCTGCCTCTCTGCGCATGCTTCAAACTCTTGGGATTCCAGCTCAACAGTTTAGGATGCTGACACACGTCGATCGGTTGGCCCGAGCATGTTTTGCAAAAGGCAAGTCACATCATCATCATCATCATCATCATCATCATCATCATCATCATCATCATCATCATCATCATCATCATCATCATCATCATCATTGTGTGCTCGGCGTCGCACTACATTGTGATTTCGGCTGAGGGACGAGTGCATTCCTCTGGCGATGATCTTGTGATAGGGGGAGCCTGACGCGTTGTGAAGTCGCCGAATTAGCTCTATCTGATGAGCACTGTTCTTGACGGCAACTTCATGTGCCTTTGATTTTCCGGGTGTGGCTGTGATGTCATCTGCTGGATGGGTTGTGGATGCAGTCATGGTGATCAGCCGGCCACGCAGGCACGGCTGGGTGCATCGTCAGACACAGTTCACATGGCAATCGGGTGCTCAGAAAAAAATGAGAGAGCATGGCATGGGTTGATAGAGTCTGATTGCTTGATGAAGTCCGAAGCGGGCACTTGTTCTAACTGCGCCGGCGTACTTTAACAAGCCATCGCTGCTTGCCCGAAAGCCCTTCTGCAGAAGGGTCACAGCTGCAGCTGCCAGCTTCTGAAATGCTGGTGCATGCACGGGGGCGGGGGGTGGGGGAGGTACGCAGGTGTTTGGCTAGACTGCTAGACAGGATGAGAACTCAAGTGATAGGAAGAGTCTGACTGCCTGGTGAAGTCAGAAGTATTAGCTCTATCTGACATATGAGACGCGTTGATCGCAAGCGAGGAGGAGTGGCATGATTGGACAGGTTGTGTCATGCTTTTGTGAGGATGGTTGTGGAAACGTTGGACTCGGTTTGGTGCTTGTACGGGATGAAAGAAGAATTGATAGGAAGAGTCTGACTGCTTGGTGAAGTCAGAAGTATTAGCTCTATCTGACATATGAGACACCTTGATCGCAAGCGAAGAGAACATCATTGGGCAGGTTGTGTCGTCCTTGCAGCTTGGGTTTGTGAGGATGGTTGTGGAAACGTTGGACTCGGTTTGGTGCTTGTACGGGATGAAAGAAGAATTGATAGGAAGAGTCTGACTGCCTGGTGAAGTCAGAAGTATTAGCTCTATCTGACATATGAGACGCGTTGATCGCAAGCGAGGAGGAGTGGCATGATTGGACAATGTTGGACTTGGTTTGGTGCTTGTACGGGATGAAAGAAGAATTGATAGGAAGAGTCTGACTGCTTGGTGAAGTCAGAAGTATTAGCTCTATCTGACACATGAGACACATTGATCGCAAGCGAAGAGAACATCATTGGACAGGTTGTGTCGTCCTTGCAGCTTGGGTTTGTGAGGATGGTTGTGGAAACGTGAACAATCTGTCGACTTGATTGAGTGCTTGTATGGGATGAAAGAAGAATTGATAGGAAGAGTCTGACTGCCTGGTGAAGTCAGCAGTATTAGCTCTATCTGACAGGTTGTTCGAGCGCCGTCTTGTTGTGGTGCAGCAAAAGCATGCATGCGCGATGCGACCGGGACCAAGCGTTAACGTGGCCTTGGTATCTGCAGTGGATGAGGAAGCGTCATAGTATCAGGTGAAATCGCCGTTTCGCGATGCCAGATGCATTTGCACTGAGCATATTCTGGCCGGCTGCCTTTTCGATTTACTGGTTGTTATTATTGCGTCTGGTAGTGGTTGGCTAGCTTTCTGATCGATCACTTTCGGCGTCTTGCGGCCAAGTTGATGAAGTCTCCACTTTGAACTTTGCTGTTAGACAGCTACGCCTTTCCACATGCATCTTTGTGAAGAGGTCAGCAAGGCAGCTAGGTAGTTTGTAAGCCACTCCCTTTCATACATTTTGTGCTCTTTTTTTAGAGTCGCGAGTCTTTGCACTGAGGCGCTGCGAATCGTCCGCGCGCTGGCAGCTGCAACGGCGGCCGAAGACAGACCTGCGACCCATAGCTCACTAGAGGCCGCCGAGGCCACGCAGCGGCACCATTGTTTACGCAAGTCAAAGCTTCGTTTCAGACTACTGGAATCGTTGTGCTTAGAGAGTTGCCCCAAAGCCATGTAGGTACTGCATGATTGCTGACCTCTGATTCTGATCCTATAGCTGCAGCTTTTCTCTTTCTTTTCATGTTGTTCCTGGTGCCTTCGCCGTGACTCTTCGCTTCGTTGTCAGGGGGCCTGCGGGGACGCGGCCCCACCTGCATCTGATGACAGGTGGCGGCGAAATTGGCTTGTGGGTTTGTCCCTAAACCCTAAACCCTAATGACTTCAAGTTTACGGATGTTCAAGGCAGGCCGTCCAGTCAAGGTAACGGTACAACTCCCCAAGTCGTACTCTACACATGCGCATGCGCCCCAGGGTACCGGACCTGTCCAAAGCAGAGGATGCGGAGGCTTCAGAGTTGTTTCAGAGTGGTCCACCAGAACTAAGATGTCGTCATTAGATTCTTCTTGCACTTCGGGATGGGTTGGAAGGCAACCGCGACCTCACCTGGAGACCACGCGGCCTCGCCATGACCTTATGGTCTCTTAGTCCTTTGTGTACCAAGCTTCGGCACCATGTTTCCGCGTGGATGTCGGAATCCAGAGGTTGCTGCAGCTCCATTCTGTTTGTTTGGTGCTGTGCGCCCTGACATGGGTGCATGGTAACTTATGCGATGCACAGTCATGTGCCGAGCATTCGATCTAAGGTTGCCACCAGCAGTCACCCCAACGAAGCGAATCCGCTCGAAGAGAGGAGCCAACGAGGCGAAGCTGTTTTCTCCCCGGCTCCGCTTTCTGCCTTTTTATGCCCCTGAGCGATGTTCAGCTTCCCTTGCGTGTTGAAGGCCTTCGACTCCCCCAGAACTGCAGCAGGTTTGCAACCGTGCCTTGGCATTGACCAGGGCTTTAATGCGTGTTCAAGACTTGGCATGTGATCTTAAACTGTTTCGGCACTTTTGGGAAGATCTTACACAAGTGCAGGAGCAGTGGAAGCCAGCAGAACTCCAGCCAGCAGGCGTGTTCGAGAAAGTGCGGCCTGTAACATCTCACGTGAAGACCGAAACAAGGTCGCCCCTGATTCCCAATCGCTCCCCACAACGTTTATGCCCTCATGTGCCCCGCTACATCCCACGCTCAGGTCTCTAAAAACCGCAGAGCTTACTACCGGGGCGCATCCCTATTGACATTTTCTCCCTATAACCAGGGCTTGCCAAAGCTCCGCCGCACTGGGGGCTCCGAGCCACTCAGCTGCACGCTGAGCTTCGCTAAGCTTCGCCAAGCTTCGCTAAGCTTCGCTAAGCTTCGCTAAGCTTCGCTAAGCTTCGCTATGCTTCGCTATGCTTCGCTATGCTTCGCCAAGCTTCGCTGTGCTTCGCTGTGCTTCGCTGTGCTTCGCTGTGCTATGCTATAGAGAGCTGTAGCTGTTTCTGTATCGAGACCAATGCGAATCATTGCTTGCATGGAGATTCAAACTCTGTATCGTTGCCTCGCAAATTCTTGCAGGAGCCTGGGCACAGGAGGCATGGAGCCAGGCGGGGCCCACGCTGGAGCCTCGTCCAAGCACATGGCCCGAAGCTGTTTGAGTGGTTTGTGTTTTGGCAAAATGCGCAGTATTTCCAATGTCAAACCCGTACCCCGGATAAGCTCTTGTGAGTCATAGGATCTCAAAACCTTGTGCAATACCGCGTTCCGAGGACCCACGGGCCCTGCACACGAGCGTGCTGCTCCGGCGCAGGACCAGGAAAAGCCTGGAACCGGCAGCCCAGCTGCCCAGAAGCATTGGTGGTTGAGGGCTTATGTCCTGACCAGAGCTTCATCGGAGTGCGGAGATCAAGCAGGATGGGCATGCCTAAATCAGGGTGCATGTAAATGTAGACAATTTCACAGCATAGACTGCGTGCAGTACACGTAAGGTTCGTCCGCGACATTTTTACATGGAAAGCTAGCGGAGCAAGGCTTGAGTTTACGTAGTCTTGCTCTAGCAAATATAAATGGGGGTTTCCGAAAATAGGGGTACGGTACCTGCGCGGGTCCCAAAAAAAGGGGATTCTATTCTATTTGGGGTGTAAAGGGGGTAACCCCTATTTGGGGAGTACCCATATTCAAGGAGATTTGATGGTTGCTTGCATGGCCCGTTGTCCCATTGTTCCACTTTGAAGATCCCGAAGCGCTTCAAATTCGCAGTGCCAGTACGCCTTTCACTGAACCGCACACTAAGCCGCTAAACCCTGACCCAAGCCAAATCCCTACCTAAATCCTCTGAACCCCTGGCCCTAGCTGCAACCACCGTTTCCCCAAACAATCAAAGCCTAAGTTCTTTCACAACTCTGATTGTGTGGTGTGCATGGTGGCATCCTGACTCCTAGGTTGGGAAGAAAAGGAAAACCGGCAGAGCGCCGAAGTCCACTTGCACCTCTGAAAGTGCCTCGCAGCAGCGCAGCTGAATTACGTGATTGCCCCCATTTGCAGAGGATCTGGCCGCCTGCCACTCCTGAGGGATTCTTGAGAGTGCTTGTTGTGGCTCCCTGAGCGCACGGTAGGAGTGCACAACAGTTCAGCCATCCTTGCCGCGGTCGTGAGCGAAGGCCGCGCAAGAGGATCAAGAAGAGCGCTGCCACAATACCCGTGATGCTTTGCTTGCACTTAGAGCCAAGTTCAGTAACTAGGCACAGTGACTGGGTCCTGCATAAAGACCAAGCTAACATCTAGCAGTTGATTAGTGACAATTAGTTTACAACGCCGGTGTCAGGTGGGAATTGCCGCGAGTGAGCTATGATGTTCGAGCGGTATGACAAATGATGAAAATACGCCTGCCGAACAAGAGCAGAAGACAAAATGCGTCGAAACAAGCACAACAACAATAAAGATTAATGGTAACAGAAATAACAATAGTAGCAGTTATAGTGATGGCAACAGCATAGCAATAGGAAGAACAGCATCCATGGTAAAACTAGGAATAGTAGCATCAATAGCAAGAATCTTCCCGGAGTCCAACGACCCACGCCGAATACAAGACAGGTGGTCGATGAGTCGGAGCTGGGGAGCAGATGCTTACTTCTTCCGACACTCCTTATAATGACAATCGGGAGACAAACGGCGACAGGTGAGGCACAAGTGCTTCCCGGAATCTAGGGACAAGCTGCTTCTGGGAGCCCAATAGGCCGTCTCACAAGTGCCCCTCGCCAAACTTCCGTCTCAGAACACCGAATGACAGAGCGGGGCAAAGTCAATTGCCGCAAGGCACCGCCAAAGCCCAGGGACAGGCCATACAACATCAACATTCAGAAGGGAGACCGATCACCGACAGGTAAGAGACAGACATGTTCAACCGGAGCCACAATGTATTCCTTTCTGGTCAAGCTACAACGCCCGGTGTTCAAGACTTGTGTCACAAAGTCATGGGGTGTGACCCAGGAGTGCTGAGATTGAAGACGAAAGCCAGGCCTGCTTAATTTCAGATATCTATGAAGCCACGCTTTTGTCATGATGCTGCTTGATGCTTACCCGCCCATCCGTGACGCGGGCTTCTTATCCTACAGGATACCTGAACTCTTGTAAACCTTCGTGCTGGGACAGCTTGTTACTAGCGAGCAAGATGGTTGTTGAATGTGTCAGGGGCGGCATTGAGCTGTTCCGTCCCGCGTAGTCAACAGTTGAGGCAACGGCTAAAGTTGCACCATCGGACGATGACCAGGAGAGCTGGTTTGCAGAGCTGTGAGATTTGCAGGGAAGGGGGTGCGGCGCTGTGGCGTGTTGCATGCCTTGAGGATCTAACACACCTTGTGCCCAAGCCTTCCGAGCACGGTGCAGATTGTGCAGATGTTGGCATTCCCAAGGCTCAGGCCAGTATGATACTAATAATAAAGTTATTATTATTATTATTATTATTATTATTATTATTATTGCTGTTACTATGATGATCTCTCATGGGAAGGAGCACGTAGTGGGTGGGCAGCTTCCGGGCGAAGGCCACGTCCATCCCTGACAACCCGGATGGCAGCCTGGAGGCCGACCTCCTCGCGGAGGCCCCCCCCCCCACCCCCCACGATGCAACAGATTGTGACTTCTCTAAATTAGGGTCCTTTTTTGGGGTCCTGGGGTTTAGGGTTGAGGGTTTAGGGAGTTTAGGGTTTAGGGTTTAGGGTTGAGGGTTTAGGGTTTAGGGTTTAGGGTAAGGCGGCCCCTCTTATTTCGGAAGTCACCGTAGCTGCCAGGCGCCAGTTTCCCAGGGCCCCGGCGTGCTGGTGGTGGCCGTGCCAACCGAGGCAGCTTTGAGGATGCAAGAGCCGGGATGCCCAGAGCATCCAGGGCATCCAGGGCATCCAGGTTCCCTTTAAGAATGTACTGGCAAGAATGTTGCAGGAATGTTGCAAGCATGTTGTAAGAATGTTGTAAGAATGTTGTAAGAATACTGCAAGAATGTTGCAAGAATGTTGTAAGAATGAATGTTGTAAGAATGTTGTGCTGGGGCTGCTTCGGTAGCACGAGGCTCCTCGGACAGACATTGCGACTTCTGTGTTTCCTATCTCAACGTGGCTGCAAATTGGGCTCCCCAAAGCGAGCTCAATACAAACTTCAAAGGCTAGTGTGGCGACTCGCTGTTTTGGAGGGCATGAGGCAACCGGTGTTGTGCTGGGTGATGAGGGTGTCGTACACAAGGTGATGGTTCCTCTGAGGGACCGTGTGTGTAGACACAATGAAGGGCCAAGCCCGCGAAACCGGAAGAAACTGCACATTCTGCTTCTGCTCTCGCAGATATTGGGTGCCGGAGGGTCAGATCGCAATGTTTTTGAAATGGCAGTTGGTGTTCGGCCAAAACACGATTTTCAGGGCTGCGCTTTGAGACACTGTGGGTGATTCGAAGAGAACATCTGCAACCGATCTCAAGGAGCTCGTGGTTCGCAACAGTGCAAGCGTTTTTTTTCTGCACTTCGCCTCTTTCTTGGCCGAACTACTATCCTTTTCGCCCAAATCCGGTAACTTCAACCCTGGAACTATAGACAATCCAGTTGCTCTTCGAAGGTTGGGGTGGCTGGGTCACCTCCGATGCGTGGCCGAGGCTAGCGGCTAGATATTCAGTCAGTTTTTTGGAGGCGCTAGCCTCTCCTGCAGGTTGAGGCGGAGGTCTTCCAGACCAATGTGGGGCAGACCGAGTGGGAGAGCGAGGCAGCACCAACTTCCTCAGCCGAACGCCCAAGCCATCCTAAGCCAGGTGCCCAGGTTCCTAGACATCGCCACCCCGAACGGCCAGCGTGCCTGTCTGCGGCTCGGACCCAACTCTCCGATCCTCGGATGCTCAGCTTGCTACTCCTGAGGTGCTGGCCGATACAAGCGCCTTGGCAAGAAGACAGTGAACAGCCAGCCCATCTGGAAAAAGGCTTGGTTGACAATCGTGCTTCATGAAGTTGTTCTCTTCCGACGGTTGTCCGTGTCACTGTCGTTTGGCTCTGATGTTGCGCAATGCATGCCGAGCCAGGTCGACGCAAATCGCTGGGTGTACAGCGGCACGGACAGTGCTTAGCCTAGCATTTCTAGCACCTCAAGCGCGCTTCTTGTTGGCCACAAACGATTCTCACTGATTCTCGCTCGACGCACGCTTTCCGCCTCCAACAAGGCACATGGCTAGTGGGCGGAGTGAAGCAGCGAGACATGGACTTTGGGTGCCGTACCTGGGCTGCAGCGGCCCCTTATCCTACATTCGAACCTGCCTTTCCCAATACCTTTCTCCCCAGGGCTGCTCATGCCAGACTCGCCCTTAAAACGTCTCTTGCTAAGTAGGGCTGCGTAGGGCTTCCGATGCTGCAAACGAGGCAGACCTCCGGTCCCTGTTCCCAAAATCCCCAAAGCCCTTCACGCTTCAACACGCTCAGCGCATGGAGGCTTCAGGCTTCAGGGATGTTTTCGGTGATGCTCTAAGTGCTTCAGAAGTGGGCCCTCAAGCCCCCCAAGAGCCGTAGCACTCACTTTCCACTGCCAGGCTCCGGAGTGCTACACCAGGCCAAGCTCCATGGCGGGCAGCTGCCACACAGGCCCAGGGAATCCCCGAACCTTTGGGCAGGTCTCAGACACCTAGGGGGGTTTTGACTCGGTAGGCGCTTGGGGCTTTTTGTGACTTCTTGTATTTTCCCTTATTGAGCTTAAGAGGATTGTGTTTAGGAATATTCTTCAGAGGGCTTTAAGGGCCATCCGAGTTGAGAATTTGGGGATTGAAGGGGGGAGGGGGGCTTTAAGGCTTCCAGTGCGATCTGCCGGCGCCAAGGAATATTCCACGACGACTGCAAAACTAAGAAACGAGACAATGTGGCATCACACATTGGTTGGTACCTTGTGCGTTTTGTCTGGCCTGAACTGTTGCTAAAAGTATGCACGTCCTGCTGGCGCCTCAAGCTGGAGTAAGCGGCGGATCGGAAACCAGAGGGGGGGGGGGCAACGGAAACCATGGGCAACAGACCGTAGAGGAAGCTACTGGGATCGTAACGGAAACCAACCGGGCACATCGCCGAAACCAAAGGGGGTCGGAACAGAAGGGTGAAACGTCGAGCTTTGGGTCAGGGTTTTCGGCTTCAGGGATTGGGTTTCGCACGCATCTGGTTTTCCTTACATTCCTTGGTTTCCGTGGTTCTGTTATGGTTTCCGGCCTGGTTTTCGTTACACCGTTACACCCCTCTTTGGTTTCCGTTACCACTGTTCCCTGCTACTTGTAGCTGCATGAAGTGATGTGGGCTGGCGCACTTAGCGCCACACAAGTGCAGCACCTGCACTAGTCAAAAGCCCTAAGCCCCGAGCCCTCTGAATCACGAAGCTCCAGGCTTGAGCCAGGCGGTGGCAGCCCTGGCTGATCAGTGCCTTTCTTTTGCCTCTGCAAGTTCTGGCACGCCTCAAGCAATGGAACTCGCAACGCGGAGGCTGGCGGCGTGTGGATGGCAGTGGTTGGGTCCAGGCTGTGCAGGGATGTGGGGTTTCAAATCACGCTGGCTCGAATTGTATAAGATCACTTCCACACAAGTCCAAAAGCCCTCCAAAACACTCCAAGGGCCAAGAGCGACGACCGTTCTGCATTCGCGAGGAGCGTGCGCACATGACCGAGGTGCGTGCGCAAAATCGCAACAGCGTGACATGCAGATACACTTCGAACAGACGCACGAGTGCGGTGTGGCCAAACCGTGTTATTGCAATGTATGGACATGGATGCTGAACGCGCGGGCCTAGTCGAGTGTGTCTGTCTCGGGCATGGCGGAACACCGAGAGGGGCATCGTTCGCGATTTGGAACGCGCACGCCCTCCGCCAAATGCAGGGCGCCTAGGCGAGAGGGTCTTGGCCTCATACGAGAATGCAGAGTGCAAGCACTGTCTGTGGAGTTGTTTGGGTTGAGGTTTCAAGATGTCTCAGGTTCAGGTCCCCGGTGTTCCCATGACCAGGGTTGGAATCATTGGGTTTGGCGGCCATGCGAAGGACCCGGACATCTGCATCACTGTCTTGTGCCCAGAATCCGCGTTCGCCTGCCAATGAGAGCTTACAGTCCCTTTACAATGGCTCAGGCCTCCCCAGTGATGCAGCCAGGCCCTGCGCAGCATGGGGTCGGCTGTATGTAAATGAACGCAGCACCTTGAATGTGGACACAAGTTGGCACCAGCATGTGGCCAGATTACCTGACGAAATTGAGCTGCCTGTGCCCCTGCGAGCTCCTCAGCTGCTCGTGAGGCGCTCCGGTCGTAGCGATGACAGGGCTACGCGAGGGTCGCTTTGGGCGCTTGGTGCACAGGACGGGTCAGCTGCTGAGAAAGTACTGGTGCACTGGGTAACTGATGAAACCTAGTCTTGGGGAGCTTTTCTCTATTTACGATTCTGGTTTTGTGATTTGCGGCGGCAACCTAGCCAATATGAGCCACGAGGCTGCGGAGATGTCTCTGCCGTCTCAGCCGTTGCAGTCCTTGCAAGTTGCTTTGTGCTTGTGTAAGGCTTGTGTTTGTTCGCAGACCTAGCTGCCCATTCTGTAGAAGCGCCATGGGTCAATCTATGGAAGAGAAGCGAGACTTCCCCATCAAGCTAGTCTACATCCAGCATTCACAGTGCTCTCACAGATTCGTGAGAAGTGCATGTGCCGGTTTTGATGCGGTTGGGGGGTCGAGGCTTTCGGATGCTGGGGCTTCTGGGATTTGTGGGTTTAGGTTGGTGTAGTGTTTAGGGTGTTTGGAGTTTTTTGTGTTCGTGCACCTTTGTAATTTGCGTAGTTTCATGACTGCAGAAGTGTCAGGCGGGAGGTGGCAGGGACAGTCTTCTGGAGAACGCATTTCTCAGATGGGGAGGACAGGGCCGGGCTATGAACGACTGCTGCACTGCAGCTGTTTTTTTTCGTTGCCTTGCATGTAGCTGACGATCTGCTGTTGCTGACGGCTTCCGTATCGAAGCTTGAACAAATGCAATGAAGCTTGCCCAAGATGCCGCTCAGCATGTGCTGCGACAGTACACTGCACGTACGATACGTCTACCTTTGCATCCTCAGAAGGCCAAAAGTTTGCTGTGTTTGTGTGTGGTTTAGTGTGTTTGTGTGTGGTTTGTAGGGGAATAGGCCCACGTCTCAAGGAGGAGCTGCAGGATGAGCACCTGGAAGTCCGCGAGCTGCAGTCTGGGGAGGCGCAGAGTTGGCTATCTGCGCAGCTGCCGCGCCGGAACGAAGAACAGAAACCGTATAAACATGTATGAACCACTTCTGGCAGAGCAGTGGGTGTAGTTGTGTGGAAGACGTGTGGAAGCATGTGGAACCCAAACCTGCCTTTCCCAAGTATCTGCCCGAACGTGACATGCAGCATGTGGCAGCTCCCAAGGCTCAACCGGACAGCCCAAACAGCAAGAGAAATGAAGAGGACTTGTGAACTGGGGGACTTATCGTCGGGCTTTCTTTGACCAGAAACTCTCCTGAAGCATCTGAAGCCTGGCTCCAGGTTTGGCTGTCCGTTGCCGGTGCCCCCGCTCCCCCGACAGCTGCCTTGGCAGCAGAGGCCCTCGCCTGTACTTTGCTGGGGCGCCCCATGCAGTGTCACTACGAAGAGGCACGGCGATGGCGGAGCCGCAAGATTGCCCGGAAGCCGTCAACCCGACAGTCAGACTCTCCCTGTGACCCTGTGAGGCCGGAGATTGTGCGACAGACGTTCTGATCCCAGAGGAGCTTCTGGAGAGAGCAGGGCAAGGCGAGCTCTGCCGGCTCATGGCGAAGCACCAGGTCATCCTCGGCTTCCACAAGTCAAGTGATAGCTCATGGCTCCAACTGGTGATTGTCAGCCAAGATCCCAAGCCGGGAATCCTGGCACTCCTGGAGCTTACGGAGGAGCTGCTCCCCGGCTACTTAGTGCGCGCCCCGCGAACCGTCTCGAGCGCGGGCTCGAGCGCAGGCTCGAGCGACTCGAGCTCCTCGCGACTGGGCGCCTCGGCACTTCGTTGTGCCGTCTACGGCGGGGAGGCGGCGTTGAAGAACCACCTCCAGGTCTTGTCGCGCTGCCTGGAGGCACACGAAAGCACATGCGATATGCCTCCCGACTCGTCCCATTCAACCCAGTGAGCCAGTGCATCCCAGTGCCCTGAGCTCAGCGCAGGTCCTTGCGGCACCCGTTGGTTTGACAAGTGCTGCTCCTGGACGCGCTGGAAGTGTGCTTTTGGCTTGCAGGGTTTCGTCTCAAAGTCCGATTGCGCTACCGTTGTCTTAGTTCTCTTAACTAAGTGGCAGTTCAGTGTAGTTTCAGAGTGCACACATCGAGGGTTCCTGGAATGCCCGGCAAAGAACTGAAGATCCCTGAAGCACAATTGAGCGAAGAGAATGAAGAGATCGTCCAGCCATAGAGAAACAGAGAACATCAAACCGGTTCACAGGGTGTAGCTTGGGTCTTTGAACTGCTCCCTGAAAACGGGCTTGGCAAAGCAATGTCAGCAGCACCAAACACAGGCTGTGTGTCCTCAGCTTCAGTAGCCGCTTTGGGCCCTCTTTGGCCTGCTGAGGCCTTGTCGTGGGCCAGCGCCCGGCCCGGAGAGCGGCGCAGAGGTTTCTGGAGATGGTGCGCTGGCTGTTGCGGGTTTTTGTACACAACATCAAAGTACGCAGCGATTTGCGGTAGCATGTGCAGGTCGCTGTTGTGAATATATGCAGTCTACAGTGTAGTCGCAGCCTGTGCGCAATGATACCCGAACTTTGACTTGAAGTACCCAAAACTTGCGGCTCAGTGCTCAGATGTTGACCACGTGGCAGCTCAGGTGCAGATGTGGACGCCCGAGGCCAGCACAAATACTGCAGACTCGAGATTGGTCCCAACACATGACCGACACACAGATGTTCAAAAAACTCAGATCGACAGCTGTCGTCGTACCGGTAGCAGGTTGTAGTTGTTAGGGACAGGCATTCGGAGTAGAGTGAGGGGCAGCCACAGTCGTTGGGCACCCTGCTTTTGGCTTCGCATGTACAGGTGCCGAGTGAGCTCGAAGCTTTTTCGGCGAGGGCCCAAAATATGCTGGAAGATTCATGTCTAAGTCACGGCCTGGAGGCTGTAGCCAGAAAACTCCTGCAGGCCAAGGCCTACGACACCTTGTGGCAAAGAAATGACTCAGTGTGATGCCGAGGCCAGCATCAGGGTGCCGCAGGCCGCATGGAAGGCATCAGATCAGAGTGCCAAAGTGTTTTGTCCGCTGGATTGGAGCTCTCAGCTGTAGCTGGGCACGCAGGACAGGTGTGGACAGTGATCACACAGCACGCCTGAACAGATTTCACAAGCGTCATCATACAGTGTGTCATCGCCATGTCAATTGATGCTCCTGTATGAAGACGAGCTTCCGAAATTGAATATGCCCGTCCCTCTGGTCCCTACGCTGCAACAGGGCGTCGAGCCACAGCTACGCGCCTTGGAAACTGAGCTTCAAGTGCGGGAAGCCTAGAGGGCTTGAGAGGGCTGTTCTGAGCAGATCTGAAGCATTGCTGTGCAGGACGGGTAATATGTGCAATTACGTGTATTGAGCACTAGGAAGAATGCACAACATGTGATAAGGAATGACTGCCAGAGTTGGTAGGTCGGCCGTCTGGTGCTCGCAAACAGATGTCCAGACCGACAGCCAGAAGCTGAAAGCAGGACGCTCAGCTGCGAGGATAGGGGAGGGGGGGGGCGGTAGGGTGGCATGAGTCGGACAACGGAGCATATCTTTGCGAGATGTGATCGAGTGGTGCAGATACCCTCTCACAGGCCGAGCTGGACATGGATGGTGAGGCAGCGCTTTGCTGTGCAAGACGAACAAAGCAGCGAAACAATCAGTTCCCAGGACGTTCAGCCCGGAGCAGAAGTACGTGCTGTGTTTGAGGATGGTGACTGGCCAGCGGCTTAACGCACTGATTCTTAGACCGGAGCCAGGGGGTGTCAAAAAAGCTTTCCGGTCCAGCGTGCAAGGAGTAGACCAAATTTGCTCAAATTGCTTAAAGTGCTGTACCAGCTTAGGTACGATGCAACAGTTACAGATGTGGATCCTTTGAGCGGCAAGGCGGGCGCACGAGTCGTCCGCAGCATGCTTGAAGTCCTGAGGTCACTGAGGTTCCTTGAGCGGCACTGTCCCATGATTCAGGTGGAAGTTCTCTGGTCTTGTGATTCCAGCAGGTCAAGGATTCCGCGGCAGGACAATGCATCGCTACATGTCCTGGCAGTTTGTGGAGTGAATGTGTTGACAATTCAAAGTGGCCCCTTCTCAGGACGTGAGGCCAAAGCCATCTGCAGAGTGCAAGCGAAGGCACAACGTTAGCTGTTAGCTTCTGCTGGGTGTTCGACAATACCCCATCATTCCCCAGCCCCCCCCTCTGCCTGGGACCTCTGCAGACCTCAGGCAGAAGCACGAGGCTTGGCTTGCCTCGGCTTGGCGGCTGGCAATCTTTGGTCCCTTGCCGCGGCCCTGAGTCTTTTTACCTGCACGTGTCAGATGCTGAATGGCGCATGATATGTTCATGTGCCTGTCAAAATGGTAACGGAGAGCAGTGTATCGGCAATCAGTCATCGGCCTGTGCTCTCCTCAGGCGGGAACGAAAGATTGCTGCTGCGAAGATCGCGGTGATGGTGCAGCCTGCCTGTTACTGCTGTCATTGCGACAGCTTGTTGCCACGACATCTGCCACATCGCCGAACTGTTCTGGGAGCTTCAGCATGTTCTCTTGGCTAGCTCCTCTTGATCGCATCCACTGATTCAAAATACGTGCAGTTGCATCCGGGAAGGTTGAGGAGCAGTGTCATGGCCTGTGGACCACGGACCTCCTTCGAACTACGGAGGTGGGGAAGGGGTTACCGAAAGGTAGACGATGCTGCGAGCCTGTAGCCATTCGACTCAGCCGCAGATGATGGCCAGGATTCTGAAGGTATCACTTCCTTCTAGATCGTCATGAGAAGATCAGCTTTGCACGGCTAAGTCGTTCCTTTGCATGTCGTCTCTTCTCCGCTTCTTCGCAGGAGCTCCGAGGGAGCGTTGGTGAGGTCCCGGGTCCACCCACTTCATGTTTGGCTTTCAAAGCGGCTGAAAGGGGTCATAAAACTGCGCCGTTTGCCGTTTACGAGTCTTTGGAGCATCACACGATGTTTGACACTGCAGGATGCCAGCATCGACGTGAAGGTTATGCCCCTCTCCTCGCAAGGCGCGGTAGTGCATGTTGAAGTATGTTATAGTGACTATAGTGATGGTCTTGGATTTGTGTTCTAGTCTGGCCACTTCTTTGGTACAGCCCCGAGGTGCCACCACCTTCCTGCAGCATCTCAAGAAGCGGCTGAAGGCTGAGCCCAGGCTGCTCTGTGTTCTTTGCAGGTTTTGGCTCCTTTATCCCTCTTGGACAGGAAGCCCTACGTCGGGCCAGTGTGGCCTCAGGATGCCACATGGAGCTCCTTCGCGGGCTGCCCAGCATTGCCACCAGCTCACGGCTGTAGAGCTTTCACTACTAGTTGCCGGTTCAACTTTGACGACATGTTGCAAAGGATCAAGAGCCGTGCTCTGCCTTCCGAGATGGTCGGGGTCTGGGTAGAGGAACCATGAGGAACTGCTGGTCCAAAGGTCGATGGGCGATTCTGATGGTCGGCTCGTCAGAGGAGCGCAGCCGAGGCCTGCACATCAAGGGTTAGGGTTTTAGGATGTTTTAGGGTTTTAGGGTTTCTAGGGTTTAGGGTTGAGGGTTGAGGGTCTAGGGTTGAGGGCTTAGGGTCACTGGAGTGAGTGAAGCGGCAACTCGAAAAGCCCTTGGATCCTCGTTGCTCTCTGGGCTTGTGAACACGCAAGAGGTGAACAAGCCCCGCTGAATCCGACGAGCCGCTGCGTTGATCCTCTCTGAACAGAACCTGCGGATGAAAAGCCAGAAGAACGACACGTAATCAGCGAAACTGCACGCCGAAGCTTCAGCTCCACATCGTTTGTTCGGAAGCTCGGAATGCAGAATCGGCCGACGCATGCCAGCGAGCCATTTCTTCACTTCTTGCCGGAAACTCCGGTGATTGCGACCTTCATGTGGCTGGCTGTGCCCAAGTGTTGAAAAAGAGCCAAGCCACTGTATGCTAGGGCATGCTGTGAGCAACCTTCGGTACATCGTATCCAAGATCCAAGAAGGTCTTTTCAGATGCCAGTGGTGTGAATGCATCCGCATCGGAACCGATTCTACATACAACACATGGACACCTCGTTCGCAGATTGTGGACGTGAAACCTCGCCCGAATGATGTGAGTACCCGACAAAAAAACTTCGTTCGTGCAGGCCATGATTACCTGGAGTGGATGGCGTCTGAGGAGTCGTGGGGCTCAGGAAATGGCCAGCATGGGCCAACGAAGTCCGTGCAGATTTCTCAAGAGCATTGCAAGATATTGCGGGAACTCCATACCTTCAAAGCCCTCAAAGGGCCCCTAAAGGGACATATTTGCAATGACCCACCGTGGCGGCGAAGTCTCCCCTGAGGCGAGAACGGAGCCGGGGAGCCGCGGAAGGTGGAGCCGGTGGAGCGGCGAGCGCTCCGGCAATCAGCCAGGTGGGATGCTATGCAATGGGATATATATGGGATGCTTTTAGGTTCCTGCGCCCAAAGCTATGGACCCGCAATCCATGTGGCTGAGCCACCGCGATCAATATTTTGTTGCGCACGGACAGCGGGTTGACGTGCTCCGCATGCATCTGGGCTTTTCCTGTTCTTGAGGGCCTCTGGTTCCTGGTTTGGGACGACCCAGTCAAAGCTCGAGACAGGACGCAGTGCGCTGGACTGATAGCGACGGTGACCAGCTGCTTCTGCGACTGGGAGAGCGCCAGTGGCCACTTCACTGCAAGTGGTTTGGAAATTCTACTCACATGCCTCGCTCACTCCAGTCTTGTATAGTCATGACAGAAGTCTGCAAAACAGGGGATGCTGTTGAAATGCTGTAGCCGCCATGTTGAGCTTAGTCTGGACTTCTTCATGAATGGCGTCTGCAAGGCGTGGTGGGCGAGTGGTTGGGCTCTGGCATTTAGAATTGCCGCATGCATCTGGTGCAGTCCGATCACGGTGCAAGAGGCGTGCCACCCTTTGGCTGCACGTGCTACTTGTGCTACGCGTGCTAAGTCTCCAGGCTCAAGTTTTTGGCTGTCCTCATCTAAGTTAGGCGTGTTTTCCACTCCATGCGAGCTTTCCTCAAGCTTGGGGTTCAGAAGTCTCTGCTCTCAGCTTGGCATTGGATCGGCTGCACCATGAGAAGAGATTGGCCTTGCCTTAAACAGATTCCTCCTCCTCGCATCTCCTCGCAGCGGCAGAAGAGTGATGGTCACAATCCTAGCTACATGCCGCGGGTCCATTTATAGGAAAGACCTAGAATGCTGAGCTTTGATGCATGGGCTGGTCAGGCTTGACTTTCTAGTCGGCTCAGCTTTCTCAATTGAATTTGCACTGCACATGGCTGATTTGCAACTCCCATGCTCGTCGCGTGAGAATGATGGTCAGAAAGCGCGGCGTTGGGACAACACGTCATCAGACATCCGTTGCTCTCATGTTTCTGAGTCAGTTTGCATCCGACGCATGAAGGCCTGAATGCAGCTTCACGAGCTGCGAGGGTACTGCCCGTTACTGCTTGCACAGCGGTGCAGGTCCGAGACATCACCACGCTTTCCGCAGAGGCTCGTGTTTGGTTGTTTTCGTGAGCTGCAAAGATGCTCCGCAGGACAAGCATAGACCAGCCATATTTGTTGCGTCGCTGCTTCGACCCTGCTCAGGGCGAAGTTCTGCGCCTGTCCATCTGACACGCTTTCTCTCAAAGGAATTGTGGAGTTGTTTGCGGCAGCCCGTGGTGCTGCCGAAGACTGCCAAGTCCCAAATGTGGAACAAAGAAGTCTACTAACCAGTGGCACAAGAATTGCTGCACTGAGCCACGAGACTGCTAGCATGTCCATGCATTCTTGCTGGTCTACCTTCCTGCAAGTCAACAGCAGCAGTGTTTTCTTCACATAGTTGCCCTCCAGCTTTTGATTCCGATGCAGAGCTACGTACAGAACTACTGAGCAATTCTCGAAGGATGCTCAAAATCAAAAGAGCGGGAGAAAGCTCTTCCGTCAGGCGGGGCATGGGGGCCGAAGGCGCGACCACGCGCTGCGTGGAGCAGCCGAAGCATGAGGAGGTGGGCCGAAGTATCGGACCCGTGCCCCGAGCTGTCCTGAGCCCATGCAACCCTGGGTGTTCATTTTGGGGCGACGCCGTGGAGGCTGCCAAGCACACCCTGGCGTTGTTCAACCGCAGCGTGAGGGCCCGCACTGGCAGCGCGGCACTCCAGCGAAGTCCGGAGGCCCAGCCATGTCCAGCGTGTCGTCATTGTATGTCATACTCGTAGCAACATCTAGAGACACAGCGAGTGCCACATCGTGTGCATCTGCTGCAAAGTGCACTGAGTAATGCCTGGCTGTTCAGATGAGGCGATGTTGTTATTGTGGAGACGACGTGCTCCCAAGCAGCCCCTGGGTGGCGATGGGGATTCCGCATGCCTCCGCGTTTCCTCATGTTTTCGCGTCTTTCTGCAAGTTCAGCCATTGGTAACACAAAGATACACAAAGTATAGGAAGAGATTGGACGCGAGACAGGCTTTGAAATGATTGGAAGAGATTGACAGCACGTTGGTGTCTCCAGGTCTGGTTGGAACCCGTTGAGCTCCGAGTGAGGACCTTAGCCGCTTAGCCTTAGCCTGCGCTTTCATTTCGACTCGGATTCTCTCTGTGAAGGGTTGCGAAGGCGCTTAGTTTCCGGAATTCAGGCTCATAGCCATCATGCAGTACTTGATATTGCTGGCGTTTGCTTCAACTCACTGAGGCCCTTGAGAAGAAGACCAAGACGATTGCCGCTGCCCAAGTGCCCACAAGCGCCTACAAGTGACTCGCAAGTGACTGGAAGTTGCAGAGTTGGAGTAATCTGGATGTTCCCGGTCACTTTGAGGTAGTCTTGCCAGATGGCTGCGGGAGCAGTAGCGACTGGCGTCCGGCAGTCCGACCCACAGTGTCGAGACTGGCCGTGAGATCTTGTCACTGTTCCGACTTTGGTCTAGGGTCAGGGGGCTGCTTGAGGCAAAAAGGTCTCAAGCCTGGCAGAGATTCAATCCCTACAGCTCAGAAATGGTCAGGTGTCAACATGTGAGTTGAAGCAAAGTGAAGATAGTGGGATCTGCTGTAAGTTTCCTTGCAGCCCCGCTATTTCGCACAAAGGCAAAGTGCCAGATCCTGGTCCACTGGCGCAGATTTGACTTGCTTGGGTAGTGCAGCAGAACTTGGCACGGCCCATTCCGATAGAAGTTAACATTTTTAATCTGGGTTCCCGGGCTCATGGCGTCAAGAAGTGTGATACACGATAGCCCAGGCCAATTGCAGCCAGGAGCGTCAACACGCTGCAAAGCCCCCTTCTGCGGCCGAGCCGCAAGCACCCCAAGCCACTTCCCTACTCGTACAACCCCCGAACGGCATAACCCCCCGAACCCCCCAGAACCCTTGCGGCCCTGCGGCCCTACGCCAGGTGTGCGGCACGGACGCTGCTGGGCGTGAAGAGGCTGCTGCCCGGCTCCGCGAACTGGTGCGGAGCCAAGGGATGCTCAGGAATCCCCCAGCGTCAATTTGCACATGTCTTGGCCCGACCCACTTAAGCATAGTTGTCAACGAGTGGCATGGAGGAACAGCAAAGCCATTAACGGTTCTGAGGGTCTTTTTGGGTAGTTTTTTGTAGATTACATTCGAAGCATCGCAGCCAGGGTTGTTTTGGAGCTTCGCAGTTTCTCCTGCGCAGTGCTGCCAGTATGCAAAGGGGCTCTACCTGCAGTCGCTGTAACCATGTTTGAGGATATTATGCTCGGAAAGGCCCACCAAGTCCTACCATGAGCCTGAATTTTATACTTGAAAGAAGCTGTGTAACCGGCTTGCGTTCCAGATCTCAATCCCATCAACGCAGAACTTCGCGAAAGTGGTGCGAAAGCATTCCATGACAACTCCTCCCTCACCACCGCTCAACCGTCCATACCCACCAGTTAGTACACGTCGCCGCTTTATCTCGCATCGCTGGTTGTTTTACGCATCGATGGGCGCCCACATTGGGGAACTGCATTTCCCAAAATATTTCTCTTGTTTGTCGAAGTCGGCCTCGTTGTCGTCGATCGGTGTTCACACTGGGGAACTGCATTCCCCAGAGTGCATCTCTTGATGCGTCGAAGTCGGCCTCATTTACACAGCCTTTACATGGTGTTTTGCATGTTGGCAGTGCTCAGAACTCTCGACCCTCAGCCCAAAACCCAAAACCTGACATATCGATCGGCGTCCACATTTTGTATTACGCCCCGCTAGGCGCGGACCCTCAGCCTAGATCCTTGAACCCTGCAGCTTTCGGCCCGAAAGCCTGAGTAAAACCCAACCCTAGCCCTGGGGCTCAGGTTAAGACGCCGGCCACGGCCGCCGAGCCCAAGCAAAGTGTCGAGGCGGCCCGGAACCCAAGACTGTTTTCTGTTGGACTCTTTTGGGGTCTGGGGTTTAGAGATGTTTAGAGTATTTATGGTTTAGGTTTTTTTTTTTGTTGCATTGTTTGGGGCCTGGCTGGGGCTAAGGGTTTTTAGGGTTTACGATCTTGGCTTTCAATGCTTTCGGGTTTCATGGGCGCTCCCAAGGCCACGCCGGAACCGGACCCCGTGGAAGAGGCTTTACCTGAGGCCGGGATGCCATTTGCGGGTTCCGAGTTTTTACTGCAGCCGACATGCCAGGATACATCAGACAGCAGAGCTGCAGTCCCACCACAGGCGGGCGTTGGGGCCTTGAGTGGCTGCCCAGACATTCTCGAGTCGTAGCTTGCAAATGCACTTCCGGAACGAGCGGATACGAGCGCTTTTGTCAAAGACGTGCAGGCGCCAGAGCCGCCGGCCCCGGCTCAGGCGCCCAGTGTCGCAGAAGGCCAGGAGGATGACCTCAAGACAGTCCCACAATGTCCCACATCTTCTTTTCGCCGCGAAGGGGCAGTGCCGCCTCAGTTCGTGGCTTCTGTGTCATTTCAAACGGGCCTGGAGGGTGAGCTATGTTGAGCTACTTGTATGAAACTCGGCGCATGCTATGTCCTCTGCGTGTTCCTGCTTTCTCCTTTCATCTTTGCTCTTGACCGCTGCGCTTGGCTCAGCTCAAGCAAGAAATATCGGTGGGTCCTCGGATCGCCGCAAGCTCTACCCTTTCGTATCCTTCACACTCGTGTCATGGTGGCTGATCTGCATGTTGTTTGTTGGAATCCTAGGCCGCTTCTTCTCGCACCTTTCTTGACAGTTTTCTGCAGTTGTCGGGCAGTCCGTGTGCTGACAGCGTGCTACGTGCACCGAGGCACTCTTTGGCGTTGTGGCGCTGGCAACATTGTGGGCTTCTAGCGCAGGCTCCAATACTCGGGGGAACCATCAGTTGGTCCTGGAGGAGATACAGCAGTCGCTTCAGGCGGTCATGCGGTCCTGCGATGTCTTGTGTGTAGTTCGAGCTTGTCCTGTCGGCAGACTCGTCGTCCTGTTGGTCGTCGACCCTGCAGGAATCCATGCAGGAGGTCCTGCGCGGCGGGTCGCGGTCGGGGCTCGAGAAGATCGAGGCCAGCATTTGGCAGACCTACCAGGCCCTTCCGAAGAACGAGTTCGGGCACATCGGCCCACGGGCGGTACGGTACCTGGTGCACAACTACTTCGCCAAGGAGCACGGCTGGCTCATCAAGGGCCTGGAGCCTCACGGCCACCAGGCGGACATGTCGCAGGTCCACGAGGTGAACATCCTGCAGGACAAGGCCCCCGCCCTCGTGGAGTCCCTCCTCGAGGCGCAGCGAAGGGGCCGCGGCCTCGCGCTCCAGGACGCCGTGGCCATGGTGGCTACCCTGGAGCGCCTCATCTTCGATGAGGCGATCAAGCTTTTGCAAGCCTCGTACAACTTGAATTCCCTTCCGATGGAGCCCGTGGACACGGTCGGCATCCACGAGATCTTAACTTCATACTTAGTTTTGTTTGAGATGGGAGATCGCGCCATCCTGCAGAATCCTGAGCTGCATCGGGCTTTGAAGGTCCGTGCCGCAGAGGTCGGGGGCAATTGGCCACTACTCGTGGAGTTTGAGCAGGATGCCGTATCGAACTTCAGATTCACGCACAAACACTCCCGAAATCCTTTCCTCGCGCCCACATTTTCCTTCGAGGATGCGGTGGACATCGTGGAAGGATTGACCCGCGACTATGGTAAATGGCAGAACACCGAGTGCCTACAGATGAAAAACGAGCTCATGGAATTGGACACGCAAGGCCAGGAATTCGGGAAGACTTTTGTTGGGGGATGCTGTGACAGTCTCAAGCTTGCGCAGGTCACGGCCTGGTTCCCTTGGGCCGGTTCTACTCGCAGCCCGAGAACGCGGAGTACCACTTCACGGAGACGCGGGAGTATCTGAGGCAGATCGGGGCACTGCAGGAGTCCAGCGCGGGCCTCCACGTGCGCATCGCCAACTACATGACGGGGCCCTCCAACTGCATCGCGTCGTCGTCCTACTACTCGGTCTGCTGCCTGAATGAGTGCGAAGGCCTGATGAACGAGCTGGAGGCCAAGGTGCTGGCACCGACCACGACACCCCACCGCCTGCTGGACCTCGTGGTGAACATGTCCTCGGCCACGATCGACGCTCCGCGCCAGATCCCGGCGGCACTGGATCAGAAGCTGCACCTCATCGCCAAGCACAACGATGGCCAGGTACCCCTGCACGGACGCCTCTTCGCCCAGTGGATGCACTACGCCTTCCCCCACGAGTGCCCCTACCCGCAGATCGCCGAGGACGCCTCCGTCCTGGCTCCCAGCCATTGGCACACCTTCATTCGAATGGTAAAGGTCTGTGTGGGATTTCACATACTGGCGTTACAATTTTTACTACAAAGTTTTACATGAGGGTTGTCCGCTCATGCTAAGTCTCGTTTTCCCTTGCAGCATGGCTACGTTGCCCTTGTGCTGTTTGCCTTTAATATCTCACACCAACCTCAAGGCAAGCAAATGAAAACCGCAATGTGCAGCTCTGATCCTGCTGTGACCTAAGGCAAGACAAGAAGACCGTGGTTTCCAAAAGTGAACGAGAGCAGCTGGCCGAGGTCCATGCGGCCACGCAGGCAGAACCACCGTTGGGCCCTTTGTAAGGCATGAGCAATGCAAAGGCTGTTCGCTAGGTAGCATTCATGTACCATGGTTGAGAATAAGCGGTCACTAGAGATCTTTGATTCTCAGCAGCTTTTGTCCTGCTTTGTGTGGCCTTTGCTGGCAGGTTGTCGAAGAGGACGCGGATTTGCTCATCTGGAACGAGACAGAGGCCCGGGCCCATCTTCTGAACCTTACCTTGCTGAAAAAAAACTCTCGTCTGTTTCGGAAAAAGGTGCCTCAAGCTCTGAAGTTAGCGCGACAAACGGCTTGAGGTCCTCGCTGCACATGACGACCCCGAGCAGAAGCGCTCCTACGGATGCTCAACTGGACTAATTGGATTTGGCATTTTTTGGCTTTAGATGGCTTAATCGTCGGATGGTCAACAGAGACTGTGGGTTTCGGGGCTGGGGGCCTCTTTTAGGCTGGGAAGGCCATCGCTGCTCGAGCTCAAAGTCCCAAACTTGGGGAGCGCCATTGTATGCAGAGTATTTCAGACCTGTAGTCGGGTGTTTAGGTTGATGGTACAAATGCGCACTTATCGAGCCGTTTTGACAAGCTGTCAGTGGGTCATCCAACTTGCAATGAAGGCTCCTGCTTCTCGAGGCATGCGCATTTTCGCTCAGCTTGGGCTGCTGGCAGCCTTGCTCCGTGCGGCACTGGGGGCTGTGGCGCTGCTTCCTGGAGGCTGGAGAATCGTTCAAGGCTTGAGGCTTGCGACCAGGCTAGTGACAGGGGGCCTCTGACAGGAGATTTTTGCTTGCCACTGTTGAAGAATACATCCTGAGAGAGGCTTACGTGGCTTGTTATTCCAATAGATCAGCGAGTTCTGTCATAGGTGCACCTGTCAAAACGCGTTAAGCCGAAGGCTACAGGAGCTACAGCCCAAGCCTTGACCCTGAAGCTCCCACCTGCAAGGCTGCAGCAAGTGCCATGCTGCACAGCTTCCCTTCTGAGACTCCGGATGCAGACCTGAGTATGGGCAGAGCCCTGAGGTGCATGTCAAGGCGACCAAAGGGCTAGCATGAGCGGAAAACGAGGTGCTGGCTCGCAGGTGTTTGGAACCTTGCTTCAGGTTCGGCGGTGCCGAAGTAGGAGAGAAAGGCTCAGTTCAAGCTTTCACACTGCACAGGTGCTGACTCTGCAGTCGAAGACGGTCGAAGTAGCAACACCATGTGACACACGAGTTCCATGTCGGTTCTGAGCTTGCTCTACTACTCGGCTTGGGCTCAAAGCGCTTTACAAACTGCAAGAAACATCGACAGTCTCTCTCCGAGACATCGCAAGCTCTACCTGCATATATCTTGGTCACGATGGCCACGTGGCAGCAGGAAACCTCATGTTCACAGATGCCACTGAATTGCCTACTCTATACCCTTGTTGTCCCCCATGTATGACAACGCTGAGGCGACCTTCATGTTACTGTTTGTGGCCGTCTCTGGGGTCGCAGCCTCCACTCCCGCAAGCATTCGTGGCAGCCACATGCTGGCAGTGGAGGAGGTGCGGCAGTCTTTACAGCAGTCCATGCAGGAGGTCCTCCGCGGTGGGTCGTGGTCGGGGCTCGAGAAGATCGAGGCCAGCATTTGGCAGACCTACCAGGCCCTTCCGAAGAACGAGTTCGGGCACATCGGCCCGCGGGCGGTACGGTACCTGGTGCACAACTACTTCGCCAAGGAGCACGGCTGGCTCATCAAGGGCCTGGAGCCTCACGGCCACCAGGCGGACATGTCGCAGGTCCACGAGGTGAACATCCTGCAGGACAAGGCCCCCGCCCTCGTGGAGTCCCTCCTCGAGGCGCAGCGAAGGGGCCGCGGCCTCGCGCTCCAGGACGCCGTGGCCATGGTGGCTACCCTGGAGCGCCTCATCTTCGATGAGGCAGTGATCCTGCTCCATGCCGCGTACAGGCTCAACTCCGTGGTACCAGTCGTGCAGTTGGATGAAGCATCTATGCACGAAGTACTATCCTCGTACTTAGTACTCTTCGAGATGGGCCAGAAGGCAGATCTCAACAATACCGACCTCCATCGAGCTCTCAAGACGCGTGCAGCTGAAGTGTCCAGCAATTGGCCGCTACTTGTGGAGTTTGAGCAGGACTCCCTGCACAACTACCTCTACGCCAACAAGGACAAGAGAAATCCCTTTCTCGCAGTGCAGATGTTCGATTTCGAAGACGCCGTGAGCATCGTGGAGAGCATGGCTCACGGGTATGGCAAGTGGCAAAACACAGAGTGCCAGCAAATGAAGCGGGAGCTCATGGACTTGGACAGCGAAGGTCACGGCCTGGTTCCCTTGGGCCGGTTCTACTCGCAGCCCGAGAACGCGGAGTACCACTTCACGGAGACGCGGGAGTATCTGAGGCAGATCGGGGCACTGCAGGAGTCCAGCGCGGGCCTCCACGTGCGCATCGCCAACTACATGACGGGGCCCTCCAACTGCATCGCGTCGTCGTCCTACTACTCGGTCTGCTGCCTGAATGAGTGCGAAGGCCTGATGAACGAGCTGGAGGCCAAGGTGCTGGCACCGACCACGACACCCCACCGCCTGCTGGACCTCGTGGTGAACATGTCCTCGGCCACGATCGATGCTCCGCGCCAGATCCCGGCCGCACTGGAGCAGAAGCTGCACCTCATCGCCAAGCACAACGATGGCCAGGTACCCCTGCACGGACGCCTCTTCGCCCAGTGGATGCACTACGCCTTCCCCCACGAGTGCCCCTACCCGCAGATCGCCGAGGACGCCTCCGTCCTGACCCCGACATACTGGGAGAAAGAGAAGTCGACGGTGAATCGCACGGAAAGGGCCCAACTCGCAGAGGCGCATCATTCCATCAGCGAGGTCCCACCCTCGGATTGCTTGAGCGTTGTTTGGGCTTCAATTGTAATCTACCGAGTATACGACGCGCAGGCAAGACTTTGCTTTTTGCAGCGCTCGGAGCTTCATTACTGATCGCGTGAATTAATGCCACAATCAGTCTAGCCAAGGCACCGCAGGTAGCGGAGGACGTCCTGGAGCTGTCTTGGTCGGATCACGAGCTTCTGGTGGTTCAGGAAGTACCGAAGGCCGGGGGAAGCGCCCAGGCAGCATGGACAGTGTGTCGCGGGCAGCTCTGCAGGAGGTGAAGACTTTGCTTCATGGAGTGAGTCGAAAAGGGCAGACCGTCCACGAGAGCGAGAGACAGAGAGACACAGAGAGACACAGAGAGACACAGAGAGACACAGAGAGACGCAGAGAGACACAGAGAGAGAGAGAGAGAGAGAAGTCCCACTACCCACTAGTGGGAATCCTGCAACCCACTAGTGGAATCCCACTACCCGACAGTGGAAAATAGTGGAAGTATTCGCAAGAGGAAATCCCAGTGTAAACCACACTGCTCACCTGGGAAAATTTGTCAACCTTCTGGAGAGCTCCCTCCATGCCCCAACGAAAGCAAGAAAGAACGAAAGAGAGCGAGAGAGTGTCAAGTGGCGCAGAAAGAAGGAAAGAAGGAAAGAAGGAAAGAAGGAAAGAAGGAAAGAAGGAAAGAAGGAAAGAAGGAAAGAAGGAAAGAAGGAAAGAAGGAAAGAAGGAAAGAAGGAAAGAAGGAAAGAAGGAAAGAAGGAAAGAAGGAAAGAAGGAAAGAAGGAAAGAAGGAAATAAGGAAAGAAGGAAAGAAGGAAAGAAGGAAAGAAGGAAAGAAGGAAAGAAGGAAAGAAGGAAAGAAGGAAAGAAGGAAAGAAGGAAAGAAGGAAAGAAGGAAAGAAGGAAAGAAGGAAAGAAGGAAAGAAGGAAAGAAGGAAAGAAGGAAAGAAGGAAAGCAAGGAAAGAAGGAAAGAAGGAAAGAAGGAAAGAAGGAAAGAAGGAAAGAAGGAAAGAAGGAAAGAAGGAAAGAAGGAAAGAAGGAAAGAAGGAAAGAAGGAAAGAAGGAAAGAAGGAAAGAAGGAAAGAAGGAAAGAAGGAAAGAAGGAAGGAAGGAAGGAAGGAAGCCAGGAAGCCAGGAAGCCAGGAAGCCAGGAAGCCAGGAAGCCAGGAAGCGAGGGAGCCAGGGAGCCAGGGAGCCAGGAAGCCAGGAAGCCAGGAAGCCAGGGAAGCCAGGGAACGAGGGAACGAGGGAACGAGGGAACGACGGAACGACGGAAAGACGGAAAGACGGAAAGAAGGAAATAAGGAAAGAAGGAAAGAAGGAAAGAAGGAAAGAAGGAAGGCAGGGAAGGCGGGGAAGGCGGGGAAGGAGGCGGGGAAGGAGGCGGGGAAGGAGGCGGGGAAGGAGGCGGGAAAGGAGGCGGGAAAGGAGGCGGGAAAGGAGGAGGGAAAGGAGGAGGGAAAGGAGGAGGGAAAGGAGGAGGGAAAGGAGGAGGGAAAGGAGGAGGGAAAGGAGGAGGGAAAGGAGGAGGGAAAGGAGGAGGGAAAGGCAGGGAAAGGCAGGGAAAGGCAGGGAAAGGCAGGGAAAGGCAGGGAAAGGCAGGGAAAGGCAGGGAAAGGCAGGGAAAGGCAGGGAAAGGCAGGGAAAGGCAGGGAAAGGCAGGGAAAGGCAGGGAAAGGCAGGGAAAGGCAGGGAAAGGCAGGGAAAGGCAGAAGGCAGGGCAAGGCGGGAAAGGCAGGGAAAGGCAGCAGGGAAGGCAGGGAAAGCAGGAAAGCAGGAAAGCAGGAAAGCAGGAAAGAAGGAAAGAAGGAAAGAGGAAAGAAGGAAAGAAGAAAAGAAGGAACGAAGGAACGAAGGAACGAAGGAACGAAGGAACGAAGGAACGAAGGAACGAAGGAACGAAGGAACGAAGGAACGAAGGAACGAAGGAACGAAGGAACGAAGAAGAAGGAAACAAGGAAACAAGGAAAGAAGGAAAGTCCACGGGTGCTGGGGAAGGGGAGTCCCTCCTCCTTAAAGCCCTGCAGAGAAGAAGGGTGTCCAGGGGGGGGGGGGGAGCCGTATTTCGGGGCGAGAACCGGTCACCAGTCGAGAAAGCCTGCATGATTTTCGAGCCAACTTCTACCAGTGGAGCACGCATCAGTGGGGGGGAAACAACATGCTTGCAACAAAGGGGCGGTGATATCGGGAGGATCTCCCTCCCCCGTCGTTCCGCATTTCTTACAGACAATAACAAGCTTCGAAAGCTGGGGGCGCGGAAAGTGCAGGGGGTTCGTGAGCCCTTCGAAAGAAAGCAAGGAAGGAAGAAAGAACGAACGAACGAGAGCAGAATAAGAGCAAGAGTTGTGTCAACCACGGTCATGCAAGGAAGAAGCGAGTTTTGTGCGTGCTTCTTCATGTGTCACTCCGACCTCGATCATGCAAATTGCCCTCCTTCCCCCATGCAGCAGAAGCGGAAGCAGAAGAAGAAACAGAAGAAGAACAAGAAGAAGCAGAAGCAGAAGCAGAAGCAGAAGCAGAAGCAGAAGCAGAAGCAGAAGCAGAAGCAGAAGCAGAAGCAGAAGCAGAAGCAGAAGCAGAAGCAGAAGCAGAAGCAGAAGCAGAAGAAGAAGAAACGCGAGCAACAAAGAAAGAGAAGCAGACCTCCTGCAACACTCAGGGGCGTGGGCTCTGCGTAGGCCCTAGCCCCTCCTAGCCCCATGAACAAAAAAGGTGTCAGTCAGAATCCGGGGGGGCACAATGAGCGCAGATCGAAAGATGGGCCGGTGACTCCTCGGCCCAAGGAAAGAACGAAAATCAACGAGATTTCAAGAGAGATGACCCGTTTGAACCAAGGTGTGCTCCGTATCCTCATGCAGCTGGCCCTACTACTCGGACTGTTGCACACCACGATGCGCAACTGCAGCACCACCATGGCTGCTGCGAAGAGAGATTCCAAAGGCGGCCGGGCTGCAACGTGGGAACGCAGGACATCAAGGAAACAGATCCCGCAAATTTGCTATTTGAGTATAACTGCACTCACATTGTGATTGAGTTATTTCCTGCACATCAAGTTCAAAAAAACTCTTCATCCGACCAGGTACTTAGTCGCACAAGTGCCGGGTGGTGTTTCTAGAGCTTCATCGAAGGCAGTACTAGCACTTTCTCGTGCTTGTACCGGCAAATTAAGAAGTAGCCACAGTGTGCTAGGACCGGTTGCATGTGGGTCTCCACCATGTGGAGCCGTGTCTTGATCTCACCAAAAAACCTGCCAAGACAAATCTACCTTTGAGCTCCCATTCTGAGAAGGGCCATGGACGTGCCAGGGGTAAAGGAGACGCATCCAATGGTCCAAAGGACTGCCGGTTTGGATGACCTACTGCCGACCACGCAAAAATGACTCCACTGGCTGTTTCTGCGTAGTTCGCGTCAGTTTTCTTGCAAAACTCTTTGAGGGAGTTCCTAGTATGAGTAGTCTAAAGAACTGCCTACATTTGGCTTCGCAGGCAGCAGCCGGAGCAACCCCGTCAAGGAGCTGCGGGCGCTGCCGTGGCCAAAGGAGCCCAGCCGATTTCCAGATTCGGTCGCGAGCGGTCGAAGTTCTTACAGTCCAGAAGCACAGAATCGACGATACTAAACGCGGGTGCACAGTTTATGCTCATCAAAACGCGCGCCGACATGTTCGAACTCGCAATAGCAGCAGAGTGATGGAGATTCTGGAAGGACAATCAAACCTGGCAAGCTTTGCAGGACACGGGTTGTTTGGTTCACTGATTGCGAAGGGTCGTGTTGGAATTGCGATGTTTGCCGCCTTGCCCCCATCTTGGGTTTCTCACATTGCGACTGCTTGCTTCTGAAGACTTGCGTAGAGAGCGGAGGCGAAGGCCTTGAAATCCGCTTTCACTCTTTGGTCTCATTTGCATCCTACCCAATCAACGTGCTCTGAGAGGAGAAGGTGTTTTGGGGTCACCCGCCGCTTCCCAGAGGCAGGGCCAGCAGTTGTATAAATGTAGTTTTAGGATGCCCACACCCATGACCGAATCATGGGTGGCCAAAGTCTGGGATCTCTTCCAAGAGCTCGGTGGCAAGAGGTGCTTGAAGATGTAGCAAACATATCGGGACTGGGACGTTCACCACTGCGCCTCGAGAAGCTGATGCGAGTGCTCGGCCCCCCCCCCCCCCGCCCCATCTCCCACCCTCCCCTTGATTTTGTTAGAGGTAAGTCGTAAGTTTCAAAAAAAGACGGCATTCTTGATTGTTTTTCTGCTTGCAAAGTATTTTGGCAGCAGTGGATGGTCACGAAATCTCGAAGTTCGATTGGGTCGCAAGCTTCAAATCATACAGTTTCATACAATGAGATGGCATTCTTAAATGCTGTTGGATGCTGCAGGTGCACAGCTGCACAGTTATTGAAGAAACATGAATAGACGAAATCTGAGTTGCAGGCTTATCGTCGTTTATTTGTTTCAACGGCACGGAACCTCAACTGAATTGAGGTGGCTTGGGCTACTGCCCCGCTACTCTTTTTTGCGTGCATGACCCCTCCAGCATTAGCATCGGCGTCTGAACCCAGAGGCGCTGCTCAAAAAAAGTTGCCAAGAAGCATCCGATGGTGCCCATCTCCTTTTTGCTTGCAGGTTGGATCCGTGTATGGTCACGCAACCAGGACGGCAAGGGCTCTCGAAGTGTTCAGACCAGGTGCTCATCATGCTTCCGCTAGCTTGAGAGCCTTGCGAGCTCCCGAAGCCCTTGAAAGTTCGAGTCGATGTTGAAAGCGAGACGCGGCTCACAGGACCAAGAGTACTACCTCCGCGTGACAGATGGCAAAACCACTTTCAATATTTCAGAAACTGGCTACCAAAGCACAGGGCCCTGAGTTAATCTTAACTGCGAGGATGCAGACAGCAGACTCCAGGATCTCAGATGCATCTGAATCATCTCAAAGAGCTTGAAGATAGGGCAACACCGGGGCCATGTCTTTGGTGACCACTGTAAACGACGCTTGCAGCTCTGTCTTGGCGCTTCAATGATGCGTGCTCGGGGCGCAAGCGCCGCTTTGTTTAACGCATGCGCCCTCGTGGCGATGAGTCTTTAGGTGCATCATCGGTTGCAGCCCGGCAGTCCTTCGACATTGAAACTACTACTGCTAAGTACAGCTAACATGCTCAGCCCTTATCACTGGAAGGCAGCGCCGCGTTGATGCTTCAGTTAATACAGCTCCGTGGCACCACTCTGCCTCAAAGAAAGTACACATGGCAGTTTGAAGCGTCATGGCATGGCAAGGGTCTGGGACCAGTGAGCACAGAAGGAATGCCTTATGGTGTCATGAACCATGATGCTACCATGTACGATTGTAACAGCTGATGTCATCATACACCGGAGGAACCATGCACGTGAGGCGGGGGCATTACAGATTTTCATTGTGGGCATGTGAGTGAGTATCTGTTCGTCAGCTGACTCACAGGACATCATAGCCGGTGGCAAGTGAACGTCATTACATGGCAGCATGTGCTGGCTGTGCACAAGAGCCCGGTTAAAATCAGCGCCTGTAAACTTGATATGGGTGGTTGAACGACGATCGCAGTCTTGATGTTGCACAACGATGCGGAACACACTGCTTCAAGGAGAGGCCAAGTATGAACAAGGAGCTTTCACGCCAACTCACATGCAGATGTAATGCGGCCATGCAAGACATTGACCACCTATGCGGGGCTGGCAGTTGCTTCGAGCAGCCGTTGGACGTAATTCCTTGCCGGCGCAGACGCGCATTCTGCGCTCATTTGCCGGACTCCCTGTCTGAGAGCAAGGCTTTTGCTTAGGTTCGTTCTTCCAAGAAGTAACGAAGCCACAAGTTAGAAGAGATTGGTTCAGCACCAAAGCCACTTTCACACGTCATGGGGCCTGGGTTCCTTCAGCATCGGCTCGATTAGCTGAACTAATCACTCCAACTAGTGGCCATTCCTAGTCCGAAGGCCTACCAGGAGCCCCCAGCCGTTCTCAGTCCCCTTCACAAGAGAGCTCGAAAGATGGGCAGAAAAAAAGGTTCTTCAGAGCGACCTCGGCGGAACCGGCGGCGAGCATCCCGAGGAGCTGATGTTTGGGGCGAGGAGGCCAGGACCGAAGTAACTTGAAACAGCGGATGAAGTGTGTGTTTGAGTGCTTGAGTCATAGATTACAGGGTAACCCCAATCTTGAGACATCTTAAGACATCATGCGGCTTTCATACATGTATGTGTGGCATGCAGAGACGTCCCTGGTGGAGCACGTCTACACTTTGCAGATACACTACGCAAGCTTCCAGGGCGCAGTTCAAGTTGCCTAAGTTGGGTGCGCAGACTGAAACGTGCTGGAGGTTTGGCAGCTTGCCATAGAGCCCCCAGAACCCTTCATCTTTGAGTATGGAAGTTTGTTGCAGGACGAGGACAAGCAGAGCAAGAACTTTCGCCAGCTCCGGTCGCGGGCCTCGGAGAGCGACTTCGCGAAGGACTTTTGTGGGGCACCTAGGAAGGTTGACGGGCACGAGTGGGGTTCTGAGAAGGGTTATGCCCCCTTTTGCGTGACCTCGGCTCGACAACTAGAGCTTTGACGGTTCAGAGTTCGGCTTAGGCATGTTTGGGGTTTAGATGGCTTAGGGTCCTTCATGGAGCAGCTCAGGCGCATGCCGCAAGCACCAGAACTCAATATGCTTTGCGGTCAGCTCTTCGTAGTCCTTTAGCGCTTATCCTAGTCATAGTACAGCCCCTTCTATTTTGGGAACCCTAAACCCTAAACCCTAAACCCTAAACCCTAAACCCTAAACCCTAAACCCTAAACCCTAAACCCTAAACCCTAAACCCTAAACCCTAAACCCTAAACCCTGAACCCAAAAAAGGGTAATTCAAAGAGCTGGCCAAGTGGGAGGATGCCAAAGAGGCACGGGAGGCCCTTCGCTGGAGCCTCGGCCTGGACTAGATGCGGCACAAGTTGGGGGCGTAGTTGTATTGGAGGTTTAGGATTTAGGGTTTAGGGTTTAGGGATTAGGGTTTAGGGTGGTTTGGGGGTGGGTCTTTATTCTTGTTCTTAAGTGCAGGAAGAGTTCCTGATAATTGTTGGTGAGTGTGTTTTGTGGTGAGTATGTTGCAGTTTCAATTTACTGTACTTGCTACCCCACTCCCGTAAACCTTCAAGTTGGAGCTCCTAGGGCAAGTTCAGGATAACAGGCTCAGAAATTCAAAGCCCGGACAAGTCAGACAAGAGCGAGCTCCAACTTTTCCGTCCTGCGTGTCCCAGGCACCGCAAGGAGGTACACGTTGGAGAGGAAGTGAAAGGTGCGCTCGTTGAGGCGAGCATCGAATCTCCCCCGTCTCGCTGGTGGGATTCCTGGGATGCAGAGTGGGACGAGGGATGGGACTGGGAGGAGAAGTGGCAAAGTACGAGGCCAGATGGCATGCCTGCTGGCCCCTCAGAGATTGTAAGTGGCAAGGATGATCCTCGACGACCTCGAGGCCCTCTTTGGCCGTCGCTTGACGCGGATGGCTACCAGCCAGTGGCGACCCTAAACCATTCCCAGCTCGTGGCAGCGATCGTCGCCGCGCGCAATGGGCATGCAGACGAGTTGCAGTGGCAGGCGCTTTGCCGCCGGGCAGAGCTAGTTGCCATGTCCATGACGCCTGCAGAGCTGTTGGCTGTTGCGAGGTGTGTGGCCGAGCGGCAGTCTGGTCAGCTACGCTTGCTGTGGAAAATTGCAATGTTCGTGGTTGAGCATCTAGGCTCTTTCACTGTTCAGGACTTAGCCTGCCTGGCAAACGTGTATTCTTCAATTGACTCGGTGCATCATGGCATGCTGAACGTCGTTGCGCTCATTCTCGCAAGTTCTGATGATGAGCGGAATTTAGATCATGTCCTGGCGGTGGACATTCTTGCGTCCTTTGCGAGAGCACAGTATCCACTACCCCTCTTACTACAAGAAGCCCGGAAAGCTCTGCTCACCGATACCGCAAACCTCACACCCAGATTGGCTCTGAGCGCACTGCAAAGCCTCTCCACATTGGAAGCCCTCGACGGCGAGCTGCTGGCAGCCTTGCTAGATCGAGCTTTACTGGACTCCGGGCCGCAGCAAAGCGTGCAGCAGGCGTTTGCCACCGCTGCCTGGGCCTGGCAAGTGCGGACGCTCCTCGAGAAGGTGGATGAGAGCCATCTTCCCGACATGCCGGAAACGGAGGAAAAAGACCGTGAGGTGCCTTCTACAGCTGGTCGCGAGGCCCTGGAAAGGATCACGGAGGTGCTGAGCGAGTCGCTGCAGTCCTGCGACCTGCGGAGACTGCGACTCATCCAAGCAGATGATGGCCCCCTGTGTTTGCTAGTAAGTTCAGGAAAGCCCTCGCAGATGCCGAGCAAGTTTCTTCTGGCATCTGCCCTTCTGCTTACGCATAGGAAGGAGCCTGACGGCAGATACGGCAGTCTGGCCATAGAGTTGGTGGCGGCGGCTGCGGGCTCAGCGCCGCAGCTAGCCGCATGGTCTACAGAGCAACAGGTGCAGTGGCTACGCGTTGCAGTTGAAGCAGCAGAGGCTGCTCCGACAGCCTCGAAGGCTGAGCTAGTTCTGCCACTGCTTCAAGCTATCCCTGGACATGCGTCATATTTGCTGATCCCAGAAGCTGCCTGCCTCGCAAGTTTGTTGCCGCGAGTCCTCGCCCACTACCCATCATCTGTAGCGGCTGTAGCCGCTGTAACAGAGGCCAGCAGTGCTCTGGCAGAGGCCGTCTGTCCAGAGCTGTTCCGCCTGCGGGTGCATGAAGCACGGCAAGTGCTTCATGCTTACTGCACATTGCTGGCAGAGCTCGAACTCGCAGACCAGGCACATGCACAGGCGCTTCTGCCTCATGCTTCTACACTGTTTCAGAAGATTCTGGATGGCTTCCCTGCAAAGTTGAAGTCTGAGAGCGTCTTCCATCGACGTGGCAGTGGAGGCCAGCCTAGCCCGCGCGAACTGGCAGCATGGTGCGCGCTCCTGTCGGATGTCGATTTGGTACATCCTTTGGGTGTCAAAGTCCCTGAAAGAATATGGGAGCTTCTGGCCGCTGAGTGCCAAGAGGCCTTGACAGCAGCCGGTCTTGGACAAGAGAGTTTGGATGAGGAGTCTGGAGCAGCTATCGCAGAACAAATGCTGCAAGCCTTCGTGCGGAAGCAGGGAGAATATGGCTGGGACATTGCAAATTCTGAGACTCCTCTCGGGGTCATGGCCGAAGCAGTGCAGGTTCTCTGGCGGCGTGCGGTGGCCAGGGACGGGGAGCTGGAAGATCCCATGCACGAGCCCGCTGCCATCCCAGGCGAAGATGCGGTGCGCCTCAGGAGGCTCATGGCGCAGCAGGGCCTGGACTTGCCTGAAGAGGTTCTCATCTGACCCCTCAGCGATCTGGGGGGTTTAAGGAAAAGAAGGGACTCCTACTGCTGAGTTACTACTGTCACCCAAATAGTAGGGTTCCCTCATAGAATAAGGAATGATTTCGCAAACCCAATCGGAGCCACCTGAGGCCACCTGAGGGATGTTAAAAACCCTCTGTATTGAAAAGTAAACAGAAGCGCCCCACATGACCAGATGTGCGTTTTTGCTCGATGAAACGATAAGACTTAAGAAGAACGATAACGTTCAGATCAGTATCCATGCTCGATGAATCGACAAGAGCAAAAAAAAACCTTCAGGGACATCCTTCGGGATAGGGGGTTCTCACGCTTCCGCACCTGGCAAAAGCCGTATTGTTGGGCGCCACAGCCTCGTAGTAATGGCAACCTTGCAATGAGGGTGTATACAGCCCTGAATCCGGGAGCCAGGGGCAGAGACTAGAGTACACTGAGGAACAAGTTTCGTTTGTGACTTTGTGATAGGCGACGGATGTCCATCAGACTTGTTCGGTGTTCGGCGGTGCAACTACTTGTTTGTCCGTCTGGCAACTACCATCCGTGTCGCGGTGGGACGATTCTTTCTAGGCTCCCATCGCAATCATTATACTCCGACGTCTCGCACTGAAACGAAATCCACCAGCTTCGTTCACAGGGACACGCTTCCGAACCAAGGCTCCACCTTTCAAGTGAGTAGACAACTCGATCATTCTGCCCTGTTGGGTTGGCTCCCCCTTGATAACTGATGACCCCATTTCCTATGCCTGTAGAACATTCAGGGATCCAGGTTTTGAATTCCGCACTGCACGCATGCGCATGCCGAACCGCCAGCATCTTCTCTTCTCATGGCGCCTCTGGTGTACCCTAGCCATCGGTGCCGGAAGCGATTCCTGCAGCATGCCAGGACTCGTTTCAACTCGTTGTTGAGCCGGTTTCAGCAAGCTCTCGATGAACAGCTTGCCCATGTAGCTTGCAAGCAGGCTCACCGCGACCTGAGTCAAAGGCTTACTGGTGCACTTGTTGATGGTGAGACCGTGACTTTCGAGGACGAGGGAGCCTTGAGCGCTTACACGCTCAAAAGGCTGCGGCCCCGAAGCCGGGCACTCTTCGAGGTTCTTCTGGCGGTGGATTCTGCTGAAGTCTTGTCCAGCCTGCTGCGAAGCTGTCGTGCAGCGACCCAGCAAGGACGCGAGCTTCGCATTGCGAGCCTCGGTGGTGGACCTGCATTTGACCTGGTCGCGCTGCTTGCCACATTGGAGTCGCTGTGTTTTGCCATTTCTCAGGAGCCGGATGTAGCAATGACTGGTGAAGGGTGTGACCCTGGAGACCTTGTCGCCTTGCAGTGCGCGATCCGCTGCACGGTCTTGGATTTGTTCCCTTCTTGGAGCTCAGCAGTGGCCGCCGTGGGAGACGTGTCATCAAAGATCTGGTCTCGTCAGTCGCCTGAATTTCTGGAGCTCCTGGCTCCAGTGGATCTCCGATCTTCTGATTGCCAGGAAATCATTGATGCAGTCTGCAAGGCTGACGTTGTGATTGCAGCATACGTTCTCCACGAGAATGAGGCAGCAATCCTAGGTGAGGATGGGGTACAAGGAGCCTTCCCGCAGATCTTTCGGCATCTTCCACTAGACGTGCCGCTAATTTTCTTGGACGCCACACATCGTCTATGGCCGCAGTTGGTAGCATCTGCTGAGGCTGTGTCCAGGGACAGCTTGAGGGCCATTATTCCCGAAGGCCTAGGCTCCCACATCCACGCTGCGCTACTGTTGAAAGGCACTCGGATGCCAACAACATCAACAACCGATTGCAGACGGCAGCTCGACGCTTTTACTGCCCACCAGCAAGCCAATCAGGCGCGCCTCAAGAAGCTGCAGGGCAGGAAGTCTGCCTCAGTCTTGGACATTGACGGATCTTGACATGGCTTGTTGCAGCCTGTGAAAGCGTATTCTGACCCTCATCAGCAGCATCAAGAGTCTCAGCGATGGTCGCGCGTGCAGGTTTTGCTCGACGGCTGACATTCCTTCAGGCCCTGAGCAGCTGGTGATACGGAGAAGGGCTTAAGTGCCTGCAAGAAGTGCTGCTCAGGTTGCCAAGCGCCAGTTGCGCGTGCGAATTGCGCGAGCTACAGACGACGTCAGATGCAAGATTTCGAGTGCGGGACTAGATATGGTGGGAACGACCGATCCATGCCAAAAATCTCAGTCTCAATCACTTTGGCTTTATGATCAAAACCCCCGTCCCTCCAGACAGACACGCACGCACGCACGCACGCACGCACGCACGCACGCACGCACGCACGCACGCACGCACGCACGCACGCGCGCACGCGCGCACACACACACACACACACCCCTGGCGCCGAGCGCTCACAGCGAGCTAGAGCTCAGCGCGCCGAAAGTTTATCATCTACAAAGACAAGGATCCCTTGATCGAAACCAAAGTCTCAGCCTGGACACGTAGCAGTTTGCTTTTCCGAATGCAACACAACCGTCCACGGCAACATCCATGATTGCAGCCGCGCCGCAGCAAGAATTGTGATTTTAGCCACCGCGGCAAAAATCATGATTCTTGTCATGGTACGGCAAAAATCATGAATTCTTGTCGCAGCACGAACGTCTGTAAGTGGGATTACAATGAGCGTTCCAGCTTCTCACGACGGGTTCATTGATGGAGGAATTTCACGAAGTTACCCCCGACTTAATTCATGATTGCCAGGCTATTCTATGGTAGGTTTTCGTATATTAAGGATCATTGATTATCATTTGTAATTTTAATGGTATCGAATTCTGATTTTCGCTTTAGTCGGAGGTGGGCTTTGGGCAATCTATTG